ACGTACGACGATCCGTGTAACTGCGTATGACTCCGATTCACTCGCCAACATGGCGGCCGTATGACGCGTTTGACGTAGCAGTGACGTCGCAGTGACGTCGCAGTCACGCGCCAACATGGCGGCCGAACCAGTGCGCATTCGTTTCTGCCCATGGCCATTCCTGCGCTCAACGTTCGCACAACTTTGATTTCTGAATATTGTCTACGGCTTTAATTAATAGCACATAATGATAAATATATAAAGATGGAATCAATTAATCATATTGGTCATATATGTAGACTTGCCCGAAGAAATAGAAAAAAAATTGAGATATATTTTTAATTTCTTTTTCTTTTAGTAAAGGATGGAAATGTCTATTCATAGGCTTGTTCTTTTTTTCCTCTTTCGCGCAATTTCGATTCAATATATAACGTAGAAAATTCATAGTATATTATGCTAATGATATGAATTACGAATGATTCGATTGTTTTATCGCGCTTTTCCAAAGTCAAATCTTATAATATTTATTTTTGCATTTTAAAAGACTGAGAGCGATTCATATACAGAGTTTGAAGAGATATCCAATGCACGACAAATTATACTTGCGTTGATTAGTATTCATCAATACCGAACTGTTAATCGCGAATACGTACAATACTTTCATACATTTTTTTCGCAAAGAACGATATACGAAATGCAATATTTCGCGCCTCGCGTTTCACTCATGCAGCCATCTTTCTTTGCTGTTTAGTATCGCCATCTGCATTCGCGTTAAACGCCAGAATTACGTAATCCCGATACTTCGACTGCCGGTAAAATCATCATTTTGTGCATGTCGGTAAATTGTTAGAATCGCGTCGCGCAAGCATGATTTTTTTATTTGTAACCTAACAAAATATGTAATTAAAAGTTCATGTAAAACACGTGTTTTTAATCAAATTACATATACTTATTCCGTTACTCTAATACTTGTACGTTAACAGATTTAAGTTACACACATTGCATAAAGCTTCCAGAGAAAAATATCCAGAGGCACAAATATTTTATTATTTAAACGAAAATCATGCGAAGATGAAACAATAGGTTAAAGAAGCCGTATAATCATTGTACTTTTATGTATAAACGTTTCACAAAATAAAATCTTTATAAATGAAGTATTACATTAAAAATATTAGTATAAAATTAAATATCCATGTGAGATTTAAAATTTCTTGTCCTTTTTTTTCTTTAGAATTTTTTTATTTTTTTTTTCTAAAGATTCTTTAAGCGAGAACTGCTTCTTTCACAAGACTATTGAACAATTTGAATATCTGATATTTTTTTAGTAGTTTAAATTTCGTGAAAAAATTCGAGAGTAAATTAGATTTTACCGTATTACTGCACATATCGATTAAATGCTATATCAAATATGTAGTGTAAATATTTTAATTTTTTTGTATACGATCTATTTTTTATTCTATCGATGTTTTCATAGTGATGCACCTTGAGCACTTTGCTTCATATGTTTGCACTAAAAATATATTAAAGCAAATTATTTCGCAAATTTATTATTCTAATTTTTATTTAGAAAGACTAAGATTAAAAAAGACGTATGAATTTTTTCAGATATTTCTATTGAAAAAAACGCATCAGATAAAACTGACTTTCCTGTACATTTTAAATGTGCCAAAAGATTTGCTCTTTATTCCACTTACTGCAATAATGTACACTAAAAATGACAGTTTAGTTGAGTTAACAAAAACTTTTTTTTCTCAATGTACGTGTGTGTGTGAGACTTTAAAAATATACTTGGATATAAATACATTTATATTATTAAACGATTAATATATCTCGTGAGGTTTAATAAATAATTAATTAATCTGTGTACACTGAGAAAAAAAGTTGTTAACTTAACTAAACCATTTAACTAAATTATTGCCTTTTTAATTGGAATATTTAACTATTATAAATCTAACATGACATTTATTTAACTTGATTATTTCAATATTTCAATTAAAAAAATAATAATTTAGTTAAACGGTTTAGTCGAGTTAACAACTTTTTTCTCAGTGTACGCGCGCGTGTGTGTGTGTGTGACTTTAAAAATATACTTGTATATAAATACAATTCTCACATACGTCACAGTACGCGTTAAATATTTCGGCAGCGAGCTAACACGTCATTCGACCTTGTGACGTCATTTGGCCTTGTGACGTAGCGCGCTATTGTTTACATACGCGACGACCTCCCCTCATTCGCACGGCGACATTCCAACGGAGAAAGTAGCGATACGGACCGCTCCGTATTATCGAATTCTTTTCCTAAAGGTACGATCGCGATTAGATCAAAATATAATAATTCGACTATTACAAATGACAAATAATTAACTCTTATAATAAATGCAATTGTGGCGACGATAAATTCATCGAAACGCGATCTTTCATTATTGCAAATAAAAATTGAAGCGAAAGGGGCAAAAATTACAAATTTTCTCGCAATATTCTCCGATTATCGAACTTTACGAATAATAATTATTTCTTTAACATTGCGTAGAATGAAATTCGATTTCGCCCGATGTTTTAAACTTTCCTAAACTGCATGCATATATATCATATTAATTAAACGATTGCTGTATCATCAATTTACATTACTTTAATATTTTAATCTTATGATTCGCGTTATTATGCATATATTATACATCAACAAATAGAAATAGTTAATTAGTGTAAGAATCAAGTGGTGCATGATTTTGGCTTCGTTTAAAAATCGAGCGAATTATTGTAATTTTTGTGTTCTTCTCTTGCAATAATAATAAAATAATAATAATATTATAAAAATACGTATCTCGTATGATTATTTTGCGATCGAGAGTGCCCTGCAAAGTGGCGATCGTTTCTGTATATGACTGAAATATAATTAACTGAAATATAATTGTTTGTTCGCAAGTGAATACGTGATTGCTACGAGGAAACAACAAAGGATGAAACAACAAAAGAGAAGGACATCTGGAAAAGTATCGGACAGAAAGCAGGGAGAGAGCCTGAAGCAGCCAGAGACATGCGGTGAGTAATTTATAAAAATTATTTATTATTTATTATTTATATACACTATTTTTAAAATAGATATATTGCTTATTATTTTATTATCGTTTTATTTTTCGATCATTTAAATATAGAATTCGGATTGAAATGCAGTAAAACAATCGAATCGTAGATCTAAATAATTAACTTAACAAAAAGATCCATAAAAGATATATTAGTTCTTTTAATAAATAATATCGTATACTTAATCTATATAAAAATGAAATATTATCTATTTATTTCTAAATATTAAATACTATAAATTTAATAATTATATATTTTGTAAAATTTAATTAAAAGAATCTTTAAGATATTCCAAAAGAAACGAAGAACTTTTCTCAACGTAGAAAAAGTTTATTATAAACAAATTTAGTTAATTATTAATAAGTTTAGTTAATTATAAACAAATTTATATTTAATTATTATAATTAATTTGTATTTAATTTTATTGAAATTTTATTATTAATTTTATTGCATTGTCAAACTCTACGCGATCTCTGTAATGATAGCTATTCACGAAATAGATACAGTGAAATAATCAATTATTATCGAAAAGAGGCAATAATATAAATCTTTTAAATCTAATTTAAACTTTTGATAAACGATATCAAATTTTTTTATTATGATGAGAAATAATCAATTATTATCGAAAAGAGGCAATAATATAAATCTTTTAAATCTAATTTAAACTTTTGATAAACGATATAAAATTTTTTTATTATGATGAGAAATCTTTATTAAAGATCATAATTGCAAATAAAAATGGAAATAACGAAGTATAGTACGAAGTATAGTAATCGTTTAATAAATAATTAATCCGTGTGTACGTGTACGTGTGTGTGTGACTTTAAAGATGTGTGTTTAATAAATTATTAATCCGTGTGTACGTGTACGTGTGTGTGTAATTTTAAAGATGTGTGTTTAATAAATAATTAATCCGTGTGTGTGTGTGTGTGTGTGTGTGTGTGTGACTTTAAAGATATACATGTATATAAATACACTTGTATATAACTTTAAAAATATATATTTCCGTTATGTTAATTATCCGATTTTTATTCGATCGTTTTATTGCGCGTTCTGAATCAAATTATATTTAGATCAAATGATATCAGAGAGAATATTTATTTATTATATTAGAATTCTAAATGTGTGTGTGTGTGTGTACACATATATATTAGGATAGAAACGAAATAGAAATACAAGAATAATCATTGCTCGTAAAGATTGCAACAAAGTAATAATTTATAATTTTGATTCCTATCGTATAATCGAGTATCGTATTTCGAGAGCAATCAACTATTTAAATAAAATTGTATATAACTTACGAATATATTCCACTTATTCCGGACGTTAATATCGCGACAACGACGAATAAACTTTTCAAAAAAGTTCAATTCAACTATTTCATATATAAGGCAGTTCTACCAATCACTGATACAAAAAATTCGTCAATTGACCAGTTGGTGAAACTGTTTCAGTCCTGAGTATTTTCTTAAAAGAGCTGTTGGCGTACATACATGCGTGTATTATGTTTACGCGCGTTACACGTTCGAACGAACCTTGACATTCTCGCGGGTAAAGTCACTAGATTAACAAAGTACCGCATAGTGCAGATAGTGCACACTTTGTGTAGCTATCTATACTAAGTGCAATTTTTCTAACCTTGATCCTGGTTTGTCCTGTGTCCTGTTGTGCGTGAGGTGAGAAAACTCCTTCTGTTGCGCAGAAAAAGAAGAAAATATCAAAAATGCCAGGTTGTTGCGTGGAGAAATGCAACAATCGCCTATATCTATACTATCGGACGCCATTTTTGCTCCAGCTTATCTTATTGAGATCAAAATTGCGGTACTTTGTTAATCTAGTGAATTTACTGCTTAGAGAGAGAAAGAGACATAACCTAAATTCATTGCTATCTCTTTTGTGGCGCGTTTGACTCTCTTACAATTTATTCTTAATCTATGGCGCAGGCAGCTCCACCATAACCTCCAAATTGAACTGATACCGCCATGATACACTGCCGATTAATACCGAAAAGTAGAGCGATAAATTAAAAATATCAATAATCAGGAATCACGCAAGATCTCATGTGCTCGATTATTGTGGTCGCTCGTTATGGAATATGATAATAAATCGTTTCGCGGAAGATATTTGGTCATCGCGTCTCTCGGTCACTCGATTAGAATAGTTCGATGTAACCGTTGAGGAAAAAGTAAAGAGGGGTGAAAACGTTCGCGGACTTTACGAATCGCCTGTTTTTTTTATCGAATATGTGAGCCTTCCTCGAGATTCGCATCACTTTACAACAGTTTATAAATATATATATATATTTATACATATAGATCTACGTATATATAAATAAATATATACATACATCTATATATGTATGTATATGTAAATGAATGTAAATAATGGTGTTTTGGACTGTCATTTATTCGCTAGCGATATTTCTGCACTTCAGTGCCATACAAGCAAGTATGTATCTTCTCAGTGTAATTATTGTATAAATGTGAAAGAAATACAAACTCTTTGTTTCCTCCAGAGCCAGAGTCGCAGGGTTACTGCGCACCATACAGCGGCAAGATCTGCAAGAAATATCTCACTGGTATCGGGAAAGTCTGGTTTAATGATTCCAACGACAATCCCGGTGGATGGCTGAATGAGAAGATCACGTCGAATCTCTGGGAAGAATTGATAGAAACGCTTCTAGAGCCATGTCGTTCGGCGGCAGAAGTGCGTTGTCTTAAAATTATATATTCCAAAGGATGAGGAATCAATGAGTTAATATTTGTTACTTCTATTCTGTTGTAGAAAATGCTGTGCATGTATGCATTTCCGTTATGTCACGAATCGGTAGGCCTACCCTTATGCTACGAGGATTGCATGGCTGTACGTCAGCAATTTTGCTTCAACGATTGGGCCATCATCGAGGACAACAAGCAGAGAGACATTTACATTCGTTCGCGTGGACACTTCGTGCTACCGGAATGCGAGAGCCTGCCCAAAGTGAACAAGAAAGTGCCTACTTGCTCGCATGTACACCTTACCGATATGGATGAGGAAGTTGTCACTTGTAAGTTATTGCACCTTTTTTTGAATAACATCACATGATATAAAAACAGATTATAGAAAGCTATAATAATAAACTATCGTATTGACTTTAGATGATTGCATCAGAGGCAACGGTAGATTCTACATGGGAAAGGTCAACAAAACGAAATTTGGATTAGACTGCCAATCGTGGAGCGCCCAAGTGCCGCACAATCATGATAAACCGCCCGATGTCTTCCCGCAGATTCAATTCAGTGAAAATTACTGTAGAAATGCGGGTGGCGATGAGCCAGTGCCATGGTGCTTCACAACCGATCCCCTCATACGTTGGGAGCATTGCGATATTCCTGTATGTGGTGGGTATAATTGAAATATTAAGAATTTTTTTTTATGTAAATTATATATCAAAACATTTAGAAAGTAGTAAAATTCGAAAATATATTTTTTAAAAGAATAATTCGAGTTATTGTATCAAAGAAATGTTTATTTATTTATTTATAAAATATATTTTCTACAAATATCTTTAATGTAAATTAATATTTCTTTAATTATTTTTTCCTAATACAATAAATAGTATTGATGTCAAAATAACGATTCAATATCTTTACTCAGATAACATGACAACTAAAGTAGAGATTGAATCAAAAGATATAACGATGGATACTCTATTTAATAACACACTGGTGCTCATATTATCAGCATTGGGCTTTGCAATCATAGCCGGTGCATTACTGTCTATCCTCCTGAGCCAAAGACTGCACAAACGTCATCGAGGCTATAATCCAACTGATAATCAGGTGCGTTTATTTAAAAAATATTTTAGTAATTGTGTTCATATGCATATATACACAATTAAATATAATTTAAAAAATGTTTTATATATTATTTATAAATTATATTATTTCAACTATATTTTCTTTTTTTGTTTATATTTACAATTTTCGCGTTGATTATGTAATAATGCAACTATTCTAAAAATCTTCCTTCTTTGTAGGACGTGAACATTGATTTAGATAAACTTCCCAACAACGAAGCGTATCATAAGACGAGCGCGCAGCTGAATCCCAAGTTGGAAAAGCTGGAGTTTCCGCGAAATAATATTATTTACGTGCGGGACCTGGGCCAAGGCGCTTTCGGTCGCGTGTTCCAGGCAAAAGCGCCAGGGCTGATCGCGGGTGAGGAATTCACGAATGTTGCCGTGAAGATGTTGAAGGAAGAGGCATCGGACGATCTGTTGCGAGACTTTGAGCGAGAGGCGTGTCTCCTCGCCGAGTTCGATCATCCCAACATTGTGAAGCTGTTGGGTGTGTGCGCGCTTGGCCGACCGATGTGCCTGCTGTTCGAGTACATGGGCCGCGGTGATCTCAACGAGTTCCTACGCTCGTGTTCGCCCAGCAACTACGTCATCCGAATGTCCACCACGGCAGATGACAATGGTCCCACAGCGGGAGAGCCTTCGCGGCTCTCACACATGGACCTAATCAACATCGCCCTGCAAGTGGCGTCCGGTATGGTATATCTGTCCGATCGAAAATTTGTCCATCGCGACCTAGCCACGCGCAACTGTCTGATCAATGATCAGATGATTGTCAAGATCGCCGATTTTGGTCTATCACAGAAGATATATTTGCAGGATTATTATAAAGGTTGTTTCTCATTCTCTCTTATTAGTATTATTAATATTTAATATATCTAGACGATGGAAAATGTAATAATATTCTCATAACAATATAGGGGACGAACAAGACGCTATCCCCGTCAGATGGATGCCTCTCGAAAGCATACTTTACAACAAATACACTGTCGAATCGGACGTGTGGGCGTTCGCTGTATGTTTATGGGAAATCTTCAGTTTCGCGTTGCAACCATATTACGGAATGACGCATGAAGAGGTGGTCAAGTACATTAAAGAGGGCGATGTATTGCGATGTCCAGATAATACACCGCAGTCGATTTACGATCTGATGAAGCTCTGTTGGAACAGGCGACCATCTGACCGGCCTACATTTCGCACAATCTACCAGACCCTTGACGGCATCAGGCAGGAATTGGAGGTCGAATGCAGGTCGGACAACGTTCCGCTACGTATTCGAGTGTAATAACGGTAATAATCGATTTAGTTTTTTTTTATTTTCTTTTTACAATCGCGTACACAGTGTGAAAAATTTACATAAAGTATTCTAGATATTGGCATATATATAAAAATATTCTCAACATTTTTCATTTTATTATTTTATTTAAATAAATTGATCTAAAATTCAAATTTGCGTTTTGACAATAAATATTAAATATTTTTTATATTTACATGAAAAATGTTGAGAATAAAAATTCAAAACTTTAGATAGACTTAACTTGTACCAATAGTTTAGATATAGAAATGTTGCCTGAATAGCATTTTGTGTTTTAAGGAAGATTAATAAAGATTAATAGAAATTAATATTTCTCTCAAAATGTATTTAAAAAAGATAACAATCATCTGGACAGTTCAAGTTTGAGAAGAAAGATCGTTATAAAAAAGTATAAACAAATTTCATTTTTATGCAAGTTAAGTAAAGTGTAGAATTTGCATTATATTATTTTGAATCAGAAATTTCACACTGTGTAACAGATTAATTAAAAATAAGAGTTAGCACGTTATGTGCATCTTTACTTACCTCGATTACATTTCCAGGTAATTAAATCTGTATTGTGTATCATGTGTGATGTGAAATATCTGCCTGCTTTTTTTAATTGAATTCACCACGATATTGAATTAGTTATCAGTCGCGAGAAGTCAGAAAAGGACCAATGTATAAAGTGAAAGCGCAATACTGTATGATGTTGCGTTAACTTCTCTTCGTCTTCTAAAATATGGATGTTCGTCCTTATCGAGGGACATAGTATTGCTCTTTTATACTTTCCCGAAAATCTCTTCTTTCGGATATCGTGTTAACTCGAAAAGATCGACGCTCGTTTCTATTTAGTGTTCAATTAGCTTCCGATTATCCAATTAGAGCTGCCATTTTTCTGATTCTCGGAATCAAAAATTCCGAAGATAGTTTTTTTTTATCTCCGGTTCATAATAAATGTAAATATATATATGGATTCGCGCGTGTTTGTATCAATGTAATTTTAATTTGAAAATAATTTTTATAAATGACAATTTTATAATTTAATATTTATTTTTTTTATTACTTTTTAATTAAAATTTCTAAGTATAATTTATACAAAAAGAAAGAGATCTTTATTCTTTTATATAATTCATTAAAAAATGTAGCATGTTATTTTTATACATGTACATTATACATTTTTCTTGAAAAAGTTTTATATTTCATAATTGGTTAAATTATTTTCATTATATTTTCAAAATATAAAGTTGTTTAAAATTATCTTTCTTTAAAAAGCAATTATTTATAGATAGAAAATTAATTTCTCGTATTATATTATCCTTATTTTTCTCGGTAATATAAAGTAAAATTTATTATTATAAGAGAGTTATTTAAGTTATATTATTATTAAAATTTATTTATTTATTATTTATATATATTTATAAAATTTTACAAATGTTTTTAAAAATATTTGCGAATGTTGCACATTTTCATTATTAAATATATTTAAGATTCGTTCTCTGTGCATCTTATATAAGAAAAATCGACGATTTATACTCATATATATAAATATTTTCAGATAGTAAAATATTAAAGTGGCAGCTCTAATTTCGGATTCAAGTAACGCTTTTAGCAAAGCATAACTCGAATCTGTACAAATAATAATATAAAAGCAGTGTGGCTATAAAAGTGCATTTAGCGACGTTATATCTAGAGGCTCCTTGATTGTTAGACGTGTGTTAGGTTGTTAGATCGTTTGCTGTACTAAAGAAAAAAAAAAGACATAAATGAAACCTATATTAAGTGTGTCGAAGAATTAAAAGAATTATAAGGAAAAAATGTTAAGCGAATCATTAAATGAGTGTACACTGAAAGATTGTTGTAAATTAAGGAAAATCGCGTTTCTTCTACCGATGCAAACCGACGTTTCGCTATAATTTTCTTTTTTGTGTGTATAATAATTTTAAAATTATCTTCAACATCGGTTGCATAGCTCTTTTAATTGCGTTTAGCTTACTAATTATGTTTAATGTGTGATGCGTAGAGAAATTCGAAGTAGGATTTTAGTATACGATGTAGGTATATGGGAAAATACCTTACGGAAAAGGCTAATCGTGTTATTTAGTTGTCACTTATTTATAGTTCGCGACCTTCGACTCGCTAACTGCCTTGTTAGGAAGATAATTTGCTGTTTCGTTCGACTTGTAATTTTAACGAAACACACCGAGACTGAAACCGACACTAGCCATTTCATCACTGCCGCAATTACATTCCAATAAATGTATTATTGTTGCTATACAAAGGAATCGTATCCACATACGCTATAGGTGTTGCGTGTATAAGGATTTTTTTTCTTCTTTTCCTTCTATTCAGCGTGTAAGAGTATGCATAAGCTATATGTAACAGTATTTCTTCGATCTTGTCAATTTATTTTTACGAGTAATTCGCGTGTTCGTTCCGATTGATCGTTAAAAGGAAAAAGAAAGGAAAAGAAAGAGATAACACCACCCGGTACGTCTCTATCAGGAAAGATATTTTCGCTATATCAAATGAAGTACTACGCTGCGATATCATGGATGTCATCGCAACGAGGACAGAAAAAATTAAATCGAAGAGGATTTATTTCCGAGAAAAAAAATATCCACATCTTTTTGAAAAATAGGAATCACGCGTTACAAGAATCGCCGTGAATTTTTCTTTGTTGTTTTTCAATGTGGATTGAAAAAAGGATTTCGGAAATAAGTTTCTCCATCGACGCGCTCTTCCATACATCGATGTAACTCCTCCATTCTGCGAAATACGACAACTCAATGACATAACGCGATAAGACATGCGAATTCTTCCAACGAACAATCGGTGTAGTGTGATCTTTGTAAATAATCGATAAAACGTGTCTCACGAATCTATACCGCTGACAATACCGTTTATACTATTTCTATACAGTATATACAGTACCGATTGTACCGTTTTCGATCGCTCTTTCCGTTGTAGATTTCAATTGTATCACGCTGAAAATATCCAATAATCGATATAATTGTATCACAAACACCTTGAGGGAAAAAGTACGAAACTTTACCGAGATGTACAACTTTAACGGAAGGAATAAACAACCAATTTCATATTACTTTAGATTATTTTCTCCTCTATTACAGATGTCTCTAAACAAAAATGGAGTACGTGTTTTTTTTGTGTGTTGCATATATTATATTAAATATCTAAAGCTAATATTGACCAATCAAAGAACTGTATTATTGTACACGACTATGTCTTTACATTGCATTGCAGATATATTTTCTGCAATTACATTTTTTTTGTTTATGTATGTGTGTGTGTGTGTGTTTAAAATAATTCACTGGTTTTATAAAATTAATTAATTTAAAATAATTCACTGGTTTTATGAAAAACAAACTCGATTTGCATCTTGCTCTTATTTATATTTATGTAAGATATCACATATATTTTATATATGTCGCAGACTTTGTAAATTTAGCATTATTTTACACAAAAGGCCTAGACTTTTTATAAGACGCCAGACGAAAAAATTCCACGTCCTATAAAAAAGCTAAATCTTTTTGTAAAAATAATTTTGATTTTATAAAAAGCGCTACAACAGCTTATAACAGCCTACAACATATATATTTATATATGAATTATATATATATATATATATATATATATATATATATATAACATTTTCTTATACTAATTTAGGTGTAGATATACATAAAATATTTTATATATGATATAAATGTGTTCAGTGCAACAAGTTTCTAGTTACGATATGATATTACACATTTTTGGTATTTATGTCTCTCTCTCTTAAATGCGTTGTGATACTTAGCATAAATGTGCAAAATATGGAATGATTATTTTCCGAAGTGACTAGCTTTGCTTGACTCAGTTCTTGTATCTTTAACACGCCTTGCGCTTACATCGAACAAAAAATATCTTGATGTAGATTCTAATCAAAATTTTTTTACAACATTTGTAGACTCTATCATTCTACATAAGCGAAAATCAAGAAACAAGTTTGTACATTTATAACTGATTTATACAAATATCTGATGCGATACCTTAAATCATTATTACGCCTAATAGTTATTGCAATTCAACTCTTCCTATATATACGTCTAATATATGCTGAACACTTAGGGACTAAGGAAAGGAACGTGACTCGAATCGATACTTTGAGATCTCCTAATGCGTGCTCATATACAGCATAAGTTACCGGAAATAAAATGTTTTTCTTAGACTAAAAGTACGAAGGAAATCGTATAGAGCACAATTTGGATGATTTTAAATATTTTTAACATTTTTATAATTACATTAACAATTACATTAAATATTTAACAGGAATATAATATTCCATTAAAAAGGAAACATTAACGAAAAGAAAAAAAATTATGTATCAAGAATTTATTTTTATTTAAATTGTGCTCCAGATCTTTTCGTACTTGTGAGAGAACTGTATTTAAGTATTCTATTCCTAGTGACTCACCTTGTACATTTTTATCGCTTATGTGTACAATTCTTTGTGTTATAGCTTGTGTTATGGAAGATACTGAAAGGTATATGCAAGTTTTATGGCCTACATTGTCATTTGTATGAAATGGTAATAGTAAGATTGTACAATCAAAATGCGTCCTTTATATTTTGAAACTGTCGCACAGCCAAATCTATCGGTAAGTTGAACTTGTAACTGGTGAGGCGGTCCAAGGTATGAAATGCATCTTGGAAACCTACAAGTTTTATCGTCAAAAGTATTACCTCTCTTTAATTATTTAAATTTTGATACGTACCTGTCTTTACAACATAGCTCCATGAAAGATAATAATTTTCCAGAAGATATTGGCATTGCAGGATCAACTTTAGCCATATCACCAGTTTATTCGCGCTAAAAACAAAAATTATTCTATACAAATTAACAAATAACTATAATAAATAAATGCACATTGATGAAGAGCTATAATAAAAAAACTTGAGAAAGCAATATCATGCCATTACTCACTTTAAAGCCGCGCAGACGAACGCCTTAAAGTGCGAATCGTAACTTCGCTTGTATGGACTATGGGAGGCAATAATATTACCTATGGTTGTCAGTAGGGTCTAGAAAAAAATATATAGAGATAAATAATGATACAGGATTTCCATTTGAGCGCAAAATGTCCAGTGATATCATATATTAGTATTGCAATCCAGCGTGAAGAAGATTCTCGAAGACAATCAATTGGAAAGACTTATTTATTTTATTCTCTCGTCAATTTGCAGTTTCCTGGACATCCTGCATCTTTTATAACGTGGATACCTGCTTCGACGAAGTTATCCTCCCAGCCGCAAGGTCGAGATTGAAGCTCTGTGACAGCTTCTGCGCGGGACTGGAATTGTAACGTCGTCCGTTTTTAATCTCGTAGTACTTGAGTATCAGTTCCCAGACGTGCATAAAATTCGCCGATGTGACATCGCGCTGCGGAAAGCAGCCAACGAACGGCACAACGCTGGATCCGGAACGCGTCACATCCGCGGTCAAGCCGTGCTGCACGAGATCCCTGATCGAGGTCGCGAGATGTTTCCTTACGGCAGACGTGAGTTTCGCGTTGGCATGAGACGCCGAATCCGAGTCTGATGTGTAGTCGTTCTCGTTGTCATCGATATCGTCATCATCTTCCTCGTCGTCGTCGTCGGGCCGGCGCTGCTGCCGCTGCGACATCTCCGCGATCGTCTCCAGCACGTGCTCGACGGCGATGTCCAGTCTGGTGCGTAGGTCGCGCCAATTGTGTACCGAATTCTTATTTCCGCCAAAGTTCCGACGTACTCGTTCGCTGCCACAACCCAGCTGCGACATCAGGAACATATGCAGGAGCGCGACTACCTTTCGCACGGTATTCAGGGTCCTGGTGCGACTGGCGCTGTTCGATTCCCCCTCAATCGGCCCCCTGCCCCGGTCAAAATGCCGTTTGGCGTAGGAGGCCGATGAACCGCTTGCGTGCACTGGACATGCACACGTGCACGCCAACGTTTCCGTGCTGACTTCGCCCTGAAGATAGTTTATGAAACGCTCCAAATCAGCGACCTGCGTCTTCAGCTGGCAGACAAGTTGCTCCTTCATCTTCAGTGGGCTGACAATCTGTCATATGAGATATCATTAGCAGTTGCTTCAACTATATCGCATACAAATATTACGTTATGCTACACAAATATCTCAGAGACACATGTTCTTTTGATCATAGCTTGTATAACTTATTTAAGGATTAAGCGAAAAAATATTTAGCTTTTTTACAATTTTGAATATCCTTTGCATATCTTTGATTTTGAATTAAGATTTTATTAAAGCCTCGAGATATTTTAAACAATGATTTCGAAATTTCACATACTTGACTTATGGCATAATCGACTTGCCATCTGAGATCATCCGCCGGTAATTTGCATAGATCGTCAACGTCAAAGTTCAACTTCTCTTTTAAGTGACCTGCGAGTAGAGCGTTTTTATTATTTTCCATTTCCTCTCTTTTGCGCAATATATTTCGATAAAATTCTGAAACTCACTAATTACGATATTTTGCCTTTCGAGAATGACGCTCTGCGGTAGATCGGCATCACCAGTCTCATACGCATATTTTTCGAGATCTTCTAATTGAGATTTCAATTGACTTATCAATTCTCTCTGTTTCGTTCTTTGCAATGCCATTTTGGATTCGACTTCCGCATCAGTAATTACATCAGTTACCTATAGTTTTAATGCGATTAAGCAAATAATATTAAATATAAGCATTAAGAAAAAAAGGGATTTTGCAAAATGTTCTCTTATCGTTACTGTTATAGCTAAAAAAATTTTTTAAATTGAAAGCATTAACAAGAATTTAAGCAGACTTTTATCTATGACAGTTTAAATTAATAACATATAGAGAAGGATTGGATGTGTCTGGATATGAAAATAAAATAAATAATTAAAAGAAGAATACTTTGAAAAATTTTATTGTGCATTTAGAAATTATATTAAAAGAACAGAAAAAACACAGGTATAAAACATAAATATAAATTTATAACTTATATAAATAAATAAAATATAAAATGAAAAAGAGATGAGTAATAAATAAGAGATAAATATAAAAGTATGATATAAAAAAAAATGAAAGTGACTAGATGTAGAATGAATGAGTAAAGGTATGCATTAAAGCGATAAAAATAAAATCGCTAAATAAAGCGATAAAGAAAAGTTAATGAAAATACTATAGAAAAGTCATCTACACTGAAAAAATTGTAGAAAATTTGCTTTCTATGACTTACGCTTCGATCACAGCCTACAGGAGACATCGGCGTGATAGATCTACTTTCTAACAATAAGCTGTTTGGTACATCCGGTATTCCCCTAAACGCGAATTCCTCCAACTCTTTGAGCAGTGTTTCCTTTTCGCTGGCTGGTGCATCCACAATTTGTCGTAGACGAAACTGAACCTGTACAGAAGTTTTCATTAATCAGTATATTAGTATTAATTAAGCGCAAAGTAAGACAAGTTCAATTGTGGATTAATATAGTTTCGATTCTTGTACCTGAGCAAAGTGGGTGGTTAGTGCTATGAGAGACGAGTTCAACATCTCCTGCTCCTCTTCCAGCACTTTCACCCTCTCCATATCATAAGCAAGACTAGAAACATAAGGGGAAATTATTTTACCTATAATGCATGAAAAAACTTATTTTCTATTTACATTTTTAATTATGATTTTTATGTCTTAATATGAAATAAATAGAATCATGTAAATGCTTTGTTGTAAATTATAAGTATATACTTTTGCTTATAACAGAATTTGCCAAAAATTCAATTGATGGATTAGCAGAAGAAAACCAAATGACCCAAAAATATTTTGTGATTAAACTCCTCTGAATTATTTATGACATTTCAAATTTTCTTACTTAAAATATTGCTACTGTAAGAATATTCTGAAATATCATCACTCTTTGTGTCATGAAATTAAAATTCTAAAAATTTTTAAATAATCCACGAGATGTTGACGAGAGACAAACATTATTGCAGAAAGTTACTTTCAGCAAGTTGAACAGCATTCTTGGCAAGCTCTGTCATAAAGAAAAGGTATTTATAACTCGAAAAATAAACAATTCTAGGTCCAGGTAACTCTCTTCATCCTTACAAAGAATATATGCTAAAATCTGATCATGATTTCTCATTCTCTATAGATTATATGTTACATATGTTATATATTCCAGATTGTTGAAAGAGAGAGAGACGCACTTGTCTATGTTGGCATTGACGTATTTATACTCGTCCCCGAACTCATCGCCGTCATTCGCCCCAACTGGGGCCCATCTTTCCCCAGACGGTCTGCTCTCGCTGCTCTCGTCCGAATTCTCAATCTCGTCGCTCTCGCAGAGCGCCCGCGAGTGTCGCCGTACGCCGTCCATTGTCTCCTTATCGCTCATCACCTCGCCTACCTCCTGGTTGGCATGTTAACAATACGAAAGCATATCGATCTGTACGACCTTTTGTGTGTCGGACACGTATCCGGATCGGACAGCCCGACGTCTCGCGATTGTTTACGTACCATGACAGTTTATGTCCCGATGCGCACGATGGCTACCTCGAACGCAGACGACCCAGAGACTCTAGATCGCAGACGCTTCCTTTTTTTTATTCTTTTTTTCCCGATATCCAAATCATTATTAATTGATCGGGTGCGCACGTGTACGTCCGTGACGCCACAGCCACAGCACAGACGTCAAACGGATAAAACATGGACTGCGATAAAGAAGATACGGACGCAATATGGAAAAATCGTGGACAAAACCCGCGCATGCGCAGTAGCACATGCGCGGAGCGTCCCGTTTGCGATTGGCCACAGCCAATTATATCTGTGCCTAGGGTAACCAGCAACGATTGACCAACGGCCGCATTCAGCGAACTCAACAGTTGGGCAACATTACTAGATTTTCCGATGTAATTCGACGCTGATTGGTCGGACCTAAAAGTAGAAACCAATTATATTCGATTGTTACTTAGCGGTTGAATCCGCTGAATGCGGCCAATCAGAGAGTTCTATTTTGAATTGGCCAATTGACGACGTGGTCAATCGGACGCCATCCGCGGACGTCGGGCTTTATAAGAATGTTTATATTTCATTGCAATGAAAATATGTATTTTTTATTTATTTATTTCGAATATTATACAAAGTTAGTAAAAAAAGAGAAAGTGCAGAAGTGTAGAAAGAAAGGAACAGATATCTACGTTGAGCTTCCGTTCTATTCTCTCGCTGCGTTTATGACGTATCTCAGAACGTTTGAAGGTTATGTCATTTGTATAACATGGCGTCGAGCGAGAGTGGTGATTTTCAAAAGGTGTTGGAGTATCGGATTTTCAAGTGCTCCAGTTATTCTTCCTGTTACGTACCCGAGTGAGTGTCCAAATCGGCGTCCCTAAGTCGTATCGCAGCTGTTTTCCTGACGATCGAGAAAGGGGAAGGGAGCAAACCCCCCTGTACATAATCTCTTAACCTAAAACTGACTTGATTTCAGCGAAATCTCTTTTTCTATTCGAAATAAATAGCGTAAAGCTCAAGGAATATCTCACGATCACTCATCGATTCGTCTTTTTTGCAGAAATATCATTGTCGATGTTCCATCGGATCAGACTTCACGTTGGTCCTCCGACATCGATAATCATCCACAGGTAAATTGTCCATATATACCCACATCATTTCATTATTTATCTTCTTGTCGATTTTTCAGTACCTTATTCTTAAGCTTCAAAGTCCTTCCATCGTCAAGTACATCACTTTTGGCAAATATGAGAAGACACACGTGTGTAACATAAAAAAGTTTAAGATATTCGGTGGATTAGAACCAGAAAACATGATGGAACTTCTCGAAAGGTCCGCTGAGAATTTATTCTCCGCATTAACTCGCTCTGTTTATTAACTAACTTGGACTTTGATGTTTCAGTGGATTGAGGAACGACTCGATACCAGAGACATTTGATTTGAAACATGTTTTGGGAAGCGAAGGAAATTGCTTTCCTATTCGATATGTAAAGGTGCTTCCATTACAGTCTTGGGGTCCTAGTTTCAACTTTTCAATATGGCATATTAGACTAACCGGTATCAATGAATTCAAGATTATAAGGCCTTGTCTCGAATGGTTCAACATGGTAAATTCATCATGGAATAAGAAGCTTTCTGTTTGTGAAAAATGAAAATATAATCACGCGTCCTATTGCAGTATCGGCAGAAGGAGATAATAAGACTGTGCATGAAACACTTTCGACAAATGGAACAACCCGAGATTGTTGAAACTCTGCAGAGGGTCACCGGCGTCCCGTTGGAGGACCCGCGACTGTCGACGCTGTATAATTTGCTGGTTACTAAAGGCGACCATCTGCAAGCGGAACGTTTCATCAGCAATGCGCTCTCAAGTGAGTCCAAACGTGTGTTGATCGCATTTAGATCTCCTTTGTTTCTTTTACATTCGTGATGCTTATAACATCGTTAAATGCGTTAATTTTTAGCGGGGCTCTTAAGCGATTATATCAATGCTCAATCTTATAGAGCAATTTGGACGAAGTTATCATCTAGCGAGCCCAAACCCGGGATGCGGGGCGGCCATCAGATGGTGCTCGACCCTACGGCCGAGGTGCTTTATCTCTTCGGCGGGTGGGACGGTAACCAGGATCTTTCCGACCTATGGTCTTATGATATAGAAGCCGGCAAATGGACATTGATATGCAAGGATACCGAGGCGGTGGTCGGTAGTACTCGATAAATTTAATTCAATTATACAATATGATATATTGCAAAAAATGCATAATTCTTTTATCTGCACGCATACATTGGATTCAACAATAAATATAATCAAATATGCTTTGCAATTATTTATTCAATATTGTATCTCTTTATGCTATGTCAAGCTGCACTTTGGAAGAGAAAATCGATATAAAATTCTTTCGAATATATAAATGTATGAAAAAATAATAATTCTTTAAATAGAATCGTAAAAGAAGCATATTTGTTTATATTATAAGATGTGTGTATGTGTGTATATGTAAAATAAAATATATAGCGATTTATAAAATAAATTCCATATCTTTTTGTAGATTTTTTACGCGAGAATTCCTTCACGTCGAGAAATTGCTGTGCAAAGAGTTTAAATTTTATTTATAAACAATTTTCAGACCAAGAATGGAGCCTTTGTTAATTTTTCTCCTCTAATTAATTTATATTATTTTTAGGGTGGTCCGAGTGCGCGTTCGTGTCACAAGATGTGCCTAGATCCACAAAGACGGCAGCTCTTCACATTAGGCAGATATCTGGACACACAATATCGTACGTGTGAAAATTTGAAGAGTGACTTTTATGTTTACGACATTGAATCAAACAAATGGACACAGATCTCAGAGGATACAGGGACTATGGGTGGGCCGCCACTCGTGTTTGATCATCAGATGTCCATGGATGTGGAAAAACGCACCATCTATGTATTCGGCGGACGAGTATTGGCTCATCCGACGAAGTAAGTTGAAGGAAGAGAGAAAAAGTAGCTTTATTCGCATTCTGTTTATTTACGGATTCGTTCTGATGTTGTTTCTTTGATTACTCACGCAGTGCTGACGAACACGGTCTGATACCGGAACCGCATTTCTCGGGATTGTACTCCTATCATGTGCCAACCGGTACCTGGACCAGACTCGCCTGTGATATCGCCGATAAACCTTGCTCGAGAGATATGCCTATTTACAGATCCCGCGCCGGTCATTCCATGCTATTTCACCCGGTCGGTAGCTTAATTGTTGATTGAGATATAAGAACAATAAGAACAAGAGCGAATGCGCGCTTTAGATGAGACGAGATATTAATAATGCATACTTGTAATTTTTCCAGCGATCGAGAAAGTTATACATATTCGCAGGTCAGAGAGGCAAGGAATATCTGAGTGACTTCTTCACTTACGAGGTCGATACACAGCATGTCGAATACATAAACTACAACGAATTTGGCACGACAAAAGACTCCAGTCATGTTCCCGCAGCCGGATTCACTCAAAGAGCGACCATGGATGCTGAACTCGGCGAGATTTATGTTTTATCGGTTTGTATCCACGCGCAGTGAAATTTGTTTGTCATTAAAATTATATAAATTATTAAAGTTATATATGATTATAATCATTATACAATTATATACATGTACTTTCATACAATTGTAATGTATGATTTATATGTATAGGTATGTAGACACAAGGTGTCCGGAAAATTTAATTTAAATTTTAATTATAATTTTAATTTTTAAATTTTAAATTTATTCTCAGGGTTTGAGTAAGGATAAGGATAAGAGGGACGACAATGTGCAAAACTCTTTCTGGGTGTACAATATTCGGAGCAGCAAATGGTCGTGCATATATCGCAACGAGAATGTCGGTGAGAAATATTGGAGCAAAATGCAAGATTACGAGCCGTGTCCGCGATTCGCGCATCAACTTGTTTACGATCCCACAAGAAAGGTATGTTGTGATTTTGTATCCTGGTGTCTCTTTAAATAAATAAGTAAATTTTTAAAATTATTAAGTAATTTCTTTTCAAAATTTAATTGTAACTTTTCTGTAAAAATTAAAGAAGTACACAATTAAAAATAAAAGCTTTATGTAGAATCATATTTTCCAAAGCTGATAAATTAACTGATAAAAAAAAAGTAGCTGATAAAGTACTGATAAAGTAACATTGAAAATTTATTAAAAGAAGATTATTATGTGAAAATGTTCAAAATATGTATAGTATATCATAATTTTTGCTACGCGATCAATTTAAATATAAATAAAGAATATCTCACGACGATACAAATTCAGCGATAATATTTTACGAATCACTTCCTTATCAGGTTCATTTTTTATTCGGCGGCAATCCAGGCAGATCTTGTTTACCAAATCTGCGTCTGGATGATTTTTGGCAATTGGAACTGCGCCGACCTACAGCCGAACAAATCCTGAAGAAATGTAAATTGATTATTAGGACGCATAAATTCAAGGAACTCGCCTTAAGCAACAGCATAGAAGCTCTTGAATATCTGCAGACGAAAATCTTTGAGATTATCGATCACGATGACACGCAACAAACGAGAGAGGTATCGAGATGAAATCGTATTTATATAATCGTACTTATTCATATTTATTACTCGCAGGCCAAATTTAATTCGTTAAACGTAATTGTTGAAATCTTATTCATCTCCAGTTGTTATTTTCTTGCAGTTTCAATTGTTGACGTCGATTTTATTCCGGAAACAAAATAGTTTGTCAGAAGATGCTTCCCAATCGAACACGATTCTAAGCGAAACATCCTCCGGCACGACGATGACGCAGCAAGGCACGAACGCGCGCGATGTACATAATTTGCGAACCGAGCTTTATGACAAGCTCGTGGAATTTTTCCCAGAATCATTGACGCAACCGCGGGCGAATCTGATTGATCTCTTACCGTTGTAATGGACGCAGTGACACGAGTCGTAAGACCTTAATGACGGAATGTTTTCTGGTGCATGTTATTACATTATTTTTTTTTCTTTTTTTGTTCTTATTATTTGAGACGAGAACTTTTTACATCACAATTCTGTAAATGGATGACGAACTTTGCCATACTTTTACTGATACGATTTGCTCTCCTATGTTGGATAAATCATACTTAATCGCGAGGAAAAAAATGGTTAGAGTACGGTTCTACTAAAAATGGTTAATACAACTCCAACAATTTTATTTATTTTTTTTTATTCTTATAAAATAAATTATTAAAATCGTTAGAGAATTTTCCTTTTACAACAAACTTTTACAAAACAAAGCATCCTTTTTGCTTGTTTATACTTATACTTTGTTATTGTTTGTTTGTTTGTTTATAGTATGTACGATTAGGTATGATTTGTGAAATCAATCCCTTGGAACTTTGTGATATCGATAGCTTTCTAATCAACTGGTTAACTAATACATAAGTAAACTAGAGATTGATTTTATAGATAATCTTTTTCATATTCTGTATATGTTTATAGCGCGGCCATAAAGTTGTTTATTATGTTTGCTGAAATAATATATTTATCGAACGAAGGGCTAGAGATGATAAATGCACTAGGAAAGTTCTTATCGAGAAACGTGGCAATTTAATATTCGCGAGATGTTTCACTCAATACCGATATATACTCAATTACTTTTAACGCGAAAAAGATCGAGAAACAGTTCGCTCCGCTAAATTCAAATACAAATGTTGTAAATTTAGTGAAACGAATAATATATTTCTTAATTAAAAACAAGAATATAGTGTAAACGAGACGAGAAAAGACATAAAAAATATTATGATCAATCCATATGAAAAATTCTTTCCTTTATCAGTTAATTATAATTTCAAATTCTAATTAATTTAATAAATTATACTTGATTAATTATAATTTTAAGTTATAATTAATTGTAAATAACGCGAAATTTTGTGCACTGATCATAATATGTTTATTCCATGATTCCATGATTGAAATAATCATCTCTCTACAAATTTTTCGCGTAACAAAAATAACAGAGATATTTCAGGTAATTGAGTTGTGGATGAAACATCCTGCTTATATATCGATATACTTTTTCCCCCTTGTAAAATATCTTTTTTTAGATATATTAGTTCTGTACTTTCGTTATTCCTTTCACGCTCAATTAATTGAAAAATAAGTTTCTACTCACCAGGAATGCCTTTTAAATAATGAGATGTAAAATCTGAAAATGTATTATTACAAATGTCGACGCGAGTTGGTAATGAGACTCGTTTTTCTTTCTCGACTTTTCCATAGAAATGTTATTAGCTCTTTCCAACACAAGGATAAATTTTAAAATCCTTAGATTCTCATTAGTATGTAAATATTCGCGACGATAGATACGTGGTATTTTTTCTGTATCCTAATCCCCTATGCGATAATTCACTTGTTTTATCGATGACTGAAAGATCTTGTATATAACGATTGTATCACCTATATTTCATAATCAACCTCACGAATTTAAAATCGCTATAAAGAAATGAGGTGTATAAGCGAAATTGTAATATGTATATTGTGAAACGTTAGGAGAAGCGAGAGATTATTGCTAAAATCCGAACGTGGCTTACCTTTGTACATAATATATAATTATACGATGTATGGAAAGTGGAAGATTTTTATAATGTGATTCCAGTTATGCTAGATTACTGCAACGGAATTGTAAAGAGAAAATAAAGAAGGAAGGATATTAGAGATGTAATATACATATATATGTGTATATATAAATACATATATATATATACACATATACATGTATATTGCATCTCAATTGCGATATGGGCTATAGAGCCGAGTATAGTTTTTGTCGTGATAAAAAAAAAACGACGAGATGGTGCCGCTGCCATTCCTCCGATATATAAATACACACGTTATAGATATCTCGAAGTTAGAAGGATTAGATAATACTTATGTGCATACAGAGATATATAACATAACATACATACGCGAAATATTGATTTCTTCATGCTTCGAGATGGGAACGAGACGAAATGTTGATATAGCCGCGCAAATACTCTCTAGTCAGATTAAAAAAATAAACGTTTATAAAATACATATGAAATTAATGACGAGTTTGGGATTTATTTACACACAAATTCGCTTAAAGAATGCTAAATTTATTCACCGAAATGCATTTTCCATCCAAGAGATTATCGTATAGAGATAATTTTATATATGTGTATATATAAAATTACAATATACGATAATTATATAATTATAATTATTTATATACATAAATTATATATATCTTTATAATATATATGTGTATATATATGTATAATATACAAATGCAATATATATCGCATGAGAAGACGGACAAATGCATAAATATTAACATTCTGTTAACAAACGGACTTGAACCGAAAGAGACCAATAATTGATTGATAACATGTAAAAGGTATAAGTGTAAAGTTTCTCAGTCTCTATTATTAATGTAAATGTAAATGTATATATGTGTATGAGCAATATATATATATATTATAATATACACTCTTATTGCAAGGAAGCTTTATACACCGGTATTCGCAATTGCATTGACTTCCCCTTGCGCTTTGTTCATTATTATTTACGAAAATATACGTGCTTACATCGATAACATCACGTGCTTCATTGAACTTTGTGTTTATTATTAAAATTACGTTAAAACTTTGGTAAGACTTAATACGTGTTATCCCTATTAATGGATTCATATACAATAATGCCTAGATTCGAAAGTCATAGATTTTTAGAAGCACCACTGGTAGGTTAGCGTAATACTGGAAGAGAATATAAGAAGTCGCAAGACTCGAAAGAAATAATGATATCAAAAAAAATTGTGCTACATAATAAGCAATCGTGCAATGGTCTATAATTTCAGCGTAAGAAAAATTTACGCAATTAGATTCGTTAAGATTATCTTGGAGTCTGGCAGACCATCGAGAATATAATGAGGAGAATTTCCCATGGACGTGAAGTCGGCTTTGAACAACGTCAACTGAAGCTCCTTTCGCGCTTTTTGAACGATGTAAACCATTAACGAGAGTCCCACCAATATCTGTAATGATAACGATGAAAGGAATTATTACTTTGGACGTGAACTTTTTTTACAAAAACATATAAACGCACCTGCATGCAGAATATTATGTAGCCAGTTGCAGCCGTAGATCTATCCTCCAGCACGTCTTGCATCGATCTCAAACTACTGCCCAAGTAGACATTGATTAATTGCGCCGGCAACAATCCTATCGCGCTCGCTATGTGGTAATGAAAACCACCTATGTTACTGACCTATTTACAGATACATAAGTACAGATATATAAGTATATACAATATATGTATGACATACATATAGATATATTATATTATATACCGCAAAAATAGTGTTTTGAAGACCAAAAGGAATCGGAGTGAGTCGCGCGAACAGCACGATCTTGAAGGCTTGAGGCCCAGAGATGACGCGGAGTATCGCTCTCGCCGTATCGCTTTGCAGGAGGGCGCCTATCGGCAGTCTGGTGGACAATAATCCCAGAGTGACATGGGCTATGGCTATGCCGAGATTCGCAGAGAGTATCACAATCGCTATGCCGTGCACAGCACCGAATAAATAGCCGCTGGCGATGATGAGGAACAGATAGCCGATCACAATCGGGAACGACACCACCGTGAACAGGCCAATGAAGATTATAGCGATCATCCAGGCGTTCTGATGTTCGATCCAATAGAGGAGCACCTTGATGTAATCCCTGCAGACGAAGACTATGGCGCCGAGGAAGGCCAGGGTCGCGATCGTGATCGCGACGTAGCATATCGAGTTCGAATTGACGCAGCTGACAGTCGTATTCTTGGACGAGTGCATCTCATCCTCAACATCGTCAATGTCGATGATCTGATCCATATTCGATCGACCTTTCTAATATTTTCGACAATCTCTCAGCGACCAGACATCCCTCGACGACAACGTACTCTTCGAGAAATCTCAAAGCGATAATTAATAAAAAATCGTAAAGGATAATTTTAATAAATAATACTTGAAGCACGTTGTATGTAAACTTAGTGAGACGATAAATTAAAGAGATTTTACCTCGCAATATGTATCGAAGAAGTAAACTGTCTTAAAACCAACGCAGATCGTAAAGTCCCAATTGTTAAATGTATTATTTGGCAACATGACATCGGAATATAACAGATCTATTAAAAGAGTGTTACGTCAAAAAAAAGATATATGAACACACAATTCAATTCTGTTATTCCAATTACGCATAAAGTTCTTGCTAATCATCAATAAAAAAAATTGTAATCTCCACGGTACATTAAATTAACTGTCAATGATCCAGTTATTGTAAACAATTGTGGGAAGCGTGGCAAATGAACATGAATCATGAGAGTGGAGTGAGAGGGAAACATTTTTGGGACGGGATCAAAGTGCATTTTAAAAATGAACCTGGGGGGAAATGAAGTAACGTGATGGGAGCGTCCCATTTGACCAGAGCCAATTGTATCGACCTGTGCCTAGGGGTAACCAGCAACGATTGACCAATCAGAGAGTCCTATTTTGAATTGGCCAATTGGCGACATGCCACCCTAACGTGATTGGCTGCGCCATATTGTTGCTTTTGCTTTGGCGGTATCGCATGCGCATGTGCAAAGACTCGTCCCAGACTCGTATTCGGATACAATGCAAGAGGACTCTATCTATTGATGTTTTTCAGATATTTGAAGAGTAAAGAATTAAATTTCACAATTTATTCTATATTTCATATTGTCACATGAATATAAAAAAATCCATATTTTTATTTCCGAATTTAATTCCTTAATTTAAAAAAAACACAGAAAAGGAATTATATTTATGTTTGGAGGATATAAATAATTGACATATCCCTCCTATAGCGAAGTATATACGCTACTGAAGTCTAGGCTGATTATCTTTACTGTATGCGAGCAAAACAAAATTAAAAGCTCCGATTACTCCGATATTAAATTATCCACAAATAGGAGTAATGAGTTAATTAAGATCCAGGCAATGGATTGAAGCGCAATTTTTTTTCTTTAACTGTGATTTATTATATAATTATTTAAAGTCGCTCATCTCGGTCTCTTATTTGGAGCATCAACAGTAGCTGTCAAAAAACAATTTATTTACATCGATATATACACACATACGCAAAATGCCTACACGTTGTATTGCTGTTGGATGTAAAAATACCGCTAGTCCTAGCGGGAAAACTGCAACGCAAATGAAATTCGAGAAAGTAATGAAAATAACATTTCATTCGTGAGTATAAAATCACAAGATTCTATTAGAAAATAGTAGAAAAAGATATTTCAAATAATTTTAGTTACTTTGTGATTTTAAATATTTTCCCTTAATCTATTTTAAAGAAATCTTGTTATATAAATAAAAAAAGACATTGATTGTTTTTTCATATAATCTACATGTATTATCGTACTTTGTAGATTTCCTTCTGATCCTATTAGAAGAGCAGAATGGATAAGAATAATGAAACTTGAAGACAAAATTATTACCAACAGAAGTCGTCTTTGTTCTCTTCATTTCAAGGAAAAATATATAGATCGTACATCTTTAGTATATGTAAGATTGAGGGAAAATGCTGTTCCACATGCAAGTATTTTAATCCTTTATATAAAAATGTATGTTATATAAAAATACACAAACATAAAATAAAATATACAGTATAAATGTAAAACATAAGCGTATAAAATAATATAATTGATACTTTTGTATGGTTTAAGAAAAAAAAATGTAAAATTATAATTCCGATCAATTAATGTATTTTTTACAGATATTTGAGGATTCATTAGATTGTGACAATATAGACACAGCTATGAAAAATGAAAGAACCATATTACCTGCACAATCAGTTAAAAGTATAACTTTATTACATCTTATTCTCTTATACATTATTCTCAAATTAAGATTGTACATTTTTTTTTATTGATATAAATTGTTAACTTTTTAAATAGCATAATAAAATTAAATAAATTTATTCCAGCAACAATTTTGACTGAACCTTTGAAGCCTATGAAACAGGGAGATAATCTTGAACAAAATTCTGTTATTCGTAAGTTTGATAAATTATGTATTTATTGATAAATAATTGTAAAATATTTTGATGTAGAATGTAAATAATATTTTATATCACAGATTCAGTATGTGACAAAGAAACAAATACGGCGCCTTTCTTATTACAAGAAATACGAACATCAACTGAGGATAAGGAAACAAGAATCTCACCTGAAAGAATACGGAATATGAATCTCTCTGATATAAAAGTAATTAGACAAGAAAGATGTACAGAAATTAAAAGTTTACGTAAACAAATACAAGCTTTACAGAAGAAAGTCTGGCAAAAACATAAAAAAATTGCAATTATGAAAACTATCTTGAATGAATTAAAAATAGAAAATATAATTAGTGATTAACAAAGTTTCTTTTTTATGTTTTAATAATATAGAATATTTTATATATAAAATTAATTTTCTGTCTGATATGCTTTAAAACTCAGATAAATACATATTTCATTAATTTTGAATTATATATAACTTATTTTTGTGATACTTTGTAGTGTACATAGGATACATTTATAAAACATTGAGAATAGAAAGATGTAGGAGTGTAAACATGTAGATGCATGCAGCACATTTTTTTATGCTGTCTTGTGTATTTCTGTTTGCCACAAACAAATTCTCATAGTTGAAGCTAAAAAGTATTGAAATTTTTATATGTAATATATACAGTCTCTCTCTACTTTAATGATCTAATTGCAAATATAAGAATATAGTGAAAATTTAGTATTATATTTAAATTCTCGAATAAAAAGTTGTTATTAAAATTTATTTCTTTAATATATAAGAATTTTGGTTATATTGTGAAACAACAGTTGAGCGAATACGATAATGTGCAATAGGCATTTCGTGACATTGAAAACATTTTATTCAGTCAGTAAGAAGCATTCTACATGATGATAATAATAATCATAGTATAATCCGTGATAATAATAATAATAATAATTAATAATCATAATTCATTCGTAATAACCACAATTTGTAAATGTACAAGGTAAACACACACATTCTCTCTTTCTCTCTCTCTCACTTTCTCTCCCTTTATTTTTTTCTCTCGCTCTTCTTTCTCGCAATTATCTCTCTTGCTCACATACGTTGAGAATTGTCATTTATATAGTACACATAAAATTACAGAGAGAAAAATTCACCAATATATAAATCAAACATCGTACTCTCTCTTCAAAGACTATGAATGTAGTCAATAAATCATCCCTATCATCATCTCGTCTCTGCTGCAAAGATACTTTTCTTCTTGATACTTTTCTTTCTTTCTTTCATTTTTTTCAGTTCGGCATTCGGCAGCGTTGTTGGATTTGAAGGACTACTTCTCTTAAAAATCCGCAGCGGCAACGCTCTTACACAATACACTTTTCTAATACATTTGTACATTTGTAGGTCCGTCTCTCTTTTAATCCTGAGAAACACAGTGTAGATCTTCAAGTGCACAAAATCGATCGGTGAATTTATCGCTCTCTCTCTCTCTTTCCCTCTCTTTTGTACTGAAACGTACTTGTAGAATGAACAAAGGAATTTAAATACAAGCTGCATTCTTCTATAATACAGACTCAACAAATAGAAATCTCTAAATTTCCACAGAATTTCTTGTTGATAAAATTAATAAAAACTCCTTATTCTCGTGTCTCTCAGGATTATCATATATAGAGGCGATATTTCATACTCGAGAATAAAAATCTACACGAATAAAAGTCTATTATACGCGCATCTCTCGACGAAGCGAGATTTTGCGATCCCGTAAAAAATAACGTCGGTGGCCGGTACGTGTGTAGAAAAAAAAATGTATAAGTTGTCCGCTGTGGAATTTATTTTTCTTTTATTACTGTAAATCCATATTTCTATTGATTTGAGGTAGTGTATTAAATGTAATAATCCTATTACCTTGCTGCTTCTATATGTTGCGTGTGGATATGTGTGTATCGTATGAATACTCCTTTCGCGCATCTTATCACACTTGCGACCGCGAGCCCAAAGTAGGTACATATATATGTATAAATATATGCGCGCGCGCGCGCGCGCGTGTGTGTGTACGTATAAAAAATCCAGCGTATATAGAATACAAATATTTCAGGCCTTGTAGGAGGAGTATGTTTCGTCTATTGCAAAAAATCTCGTTCGCTATTGATACACTATTGGTAATCGGCAGTAATCGAAACTTGAGAGTCGCAAAGATCGGAATTGCATCTTTCCTTTTGGGCTCGTAATTCGCGTCGGTTATAAGTGCGCTTCACAAAATTATCATCTATGCAACGAAGCCCGAGGACGCCGAATATCGGACAGACTCGAGACGTTCCGTCGTTTTCGCGCGCGTGACGAAACAATCGTTATCAGCCGCGTGGGTGATTCTTTAGAAGAGCGAAGAAGAAGTCCCGTCCGTACAAAATTCGACGTCTTCAAGCTTCATTTTCTTTTAATACCAAATACGACAAGGCTGCTGACATTAGGCTTGCTAGCACTTTGTAAATAATGCCCAGCGATTGTGCTATTTTGTTTAAGTTTCTCTTTAACTATTATTTCATGAATAATCATTATCACATTTTTTTCTTTTTTTTTTCTCCTTTAATTAATTCGTTCTCGCAGAGATCGTCGGGGAGAGAGAGGGGGAGGGCGTGCGACACATCGTCGGCGCCGCGCCAAGTTGGCTCAATCTATGAACACTTCTGTAAAAAATATAATATCTATGGATGGTTGAGCCCTTGGCCAGCATACGCAGCGAAGTTCGAGTTTAGTTTACTTTTTCGCGGAGGAAGAAGGGGGAAGGGGGGTTGAAGGGAGATCACTTCTGCACGGAATGTGAGCAATATGAGCTATATAACGCATATATTTCTAACGTATATAGTCTCTGTATAGAACAACGTATATGTCGCTCGACTCTTCTCCTCGCTATTTTAAAAAGGAACATTTCACACTCGCGGGGGGAGGGGACGCAAACGAGGCTCCCACCCGCTCGTTGATACACGATATAACAACGTTAAAAAAATGCAACCTATATATTTAAGGGGGATCGATTAACGCGATTCCTCCCCCTCCTCCCACGATTCCATGCGCGCGGTTTGATTGTACAAATATCCTATTTTATCGGTTTGCAGAAGTGATTATCGCCCTAAAGTCCTTTTTCCTTTGTTCGTTTGTACGTTCGTCCGTCCGTTCGTCTATTCTTATCGTATATGTGATATGACAGGCTCCCCCCCTCTCTCTCTCTCTTTTTTTCTCTCCGAGAAATCAAACAATCAGTCAATCAAAATCAAATCTGAGAACATGACGACAATTTTGAATTTTGACACGCTCGTGTTATCCTTATATTACCATCAATATAAGTTTAACGACTTAAATCCAACGCAAAAACAACATATATATAAATACAATGCACAAGCACATTGTAATAATAATAATAAAAGAAAAGAGAAATGAAACTTAACGTAAAAACATGACTCACATCCAAATATTTTTATAATAGCCTCAACAGTTTCACCAGGGGAAAAACACAAACGAAACATACATATAATATAGTAAAACTAGTAACTACTTCACTACTCTAAGACAGCGAGAAAATCCTAAGACATGCGATATCGACGAAATATCGTTTTTTGCTCGTTTTTTTTCTTTCTTTTTGCTCGTTTTACAAGTTGCGTCGACTGTGTGCAAAGTTCCTAGAGATAAATGTGTTTCTTTTTTGTCTCCTCTTCTCTCGTTTCTTCTTTTTTTAATCTTGAATTTTCCAACTTGGGCTGAATGTCTTGTGATTTTTACGCTTTCCATTAACAATTAATTCAATATCGCGTCTCTCCTGCTATGCGTTTACTGATTTCCTCCCTTCTTCTCTTTCCCTATATAGCCGGAGAATATTTCAAAATAAAGCAGAAAAATGTTCTGCTTTCAACTTTTACGTGTAATTCACAATTTTCAATCTTGGAGCCGTTAATCCGCTACTCGATCCAACATTACGATACAATATTACCCTATTACGACACATAATTTCCATTTAAGCTCGTATGTGCCATCATGTTTGACGTCGTTTCACTCGCCACGTTTTTTACGCTCGCGTAGAATACCATTCTTTTTGCGATGGATCTCATCTCTCAACTCCACAGATCAAAATTGATCTCTCTCAGACAACAGTTAAAGATTAAAATCATTATTAACTAGAATTATCAATTACACGACCATTAGTATGTCTTATACAGTAATAAATTACCATCGTGCTATTTTTACTCCGTCGACACGTTGCCCTTTTTTTTAAATTACTAGACGTTACGACGTTATTTTTAGCTTAACTTAGTAACGAGTATTAGTGGCATCTGCTTTTTGTTTCGAAGAAGAAGTCGAATAAATTTATTTTTTGCCTTTTACCTTAATCGTTAATGCTGTATGAAACTCCAGGTCTCGCCAAAGTCCCGAAGTCGTTACTTAATGATGCCGCTTTTTCTTGAAACCTACAATAAATAATTTCGTGATTTTAGTTCTCTTTATCTTATCGCGTTTTGCGAAATTTATCGCGAAAAGTCTTACTCTTTTTAGCCTTGCCCTTCCTCTGAGCTTTTCTCTTTTTGGCGGATTTGGCGGATGACTCGCCGAAAGTGGTGATTTCTTCGCCGAGAGTGCCCAGAGTCGTCATCTGACGACGCCTGTGTTTCTCTTGCTTGGTGACGGGCAAGCGTGTCATATAATTCTCTTCGTATTCGATCTTCCGTTTGTCCTCGTGCACCAAAATCGCCCGCTTCTCGCCCAGACCCTGGCTGTCTTCCACAGGCGCGTCTAGATACTCCTCCTTCAACTCTCGCAAAACTGTGTTCGACACAGCACGTCTACGAGCTCTCTCGCTGGCCTTGCGCATCTTCTCCGCCATTGTTTCATCGCCATCTGGAGAAATTACATTTTATTATAACGTAATTAACAAAAATTAGCAGCCGAGTAAGTCCAAGAAATTTAAATGTCATGTATCAAGAAGCAGCCGATAAGAAAAATTAATATCTGGTATATATTAAATATATAAATATTTTTATCAGAACCGACCATAATGGACCGCAGCGAGTTTCGGCGGCACATAAACGTTAGACTTCCTAGACTGTTGCGTTGTTGATTTGAAGCCGTCCGTCTCCTCCTCCTGATCGCTGTCGGAGTCCTCGCCGTCGAGTTTTGCGACCAGCGCATCGGGATTCGCCCTAAAGTTACTGGGGTCGTCGCTGTTGATGGTACCGGTTACCGCAGTCTTGACGAGCTTATCTATTTGGTACTTGAGCTTGTGATCTATTGGTCGGATTTTCTCTAGGACAGTCCTGATCTCGATCAGACGATCGATCGACGGATCACCCTCGATACGCTCGCCGGAACATTTTCTCAATACCACGTAGGTGAGATTGATAAGATAGGAGAGTAACATGTGATACTTCATCTCGAGAAAACTCAGACCCTTATCCGTGGAGATCTCGCCGTTCTTCACGCGCACCAGCATATTGTCCACGAGCTGGTTCACCTGCAGAACATTGGCATTCATCTCCCCCAGCAGGCGGAATGCCTGTGGGAGATCCCTCTGCTCCATCTCGTCGATAGCCTGCAAGACGCATCGTCGGGATTATTAAAAATATAATCATACGGTAATCATATGATAATGACAGAAAAAAAAAATAAAAGTGACAAATTAATTTTACGAATCTTACGATCATCGCGATAAGCTTCCGCGCGATTCTCCAGAGTTTCCGAGAGATTCAGCGCGCGACGTCTTGTTTATTTACGTCGGATCCGATCTCCGCACTCATAGGTTAAGCACGGGGACGAGGAGCGAAGGAGCTTTTCCGGCAAAACGCTCGTCCGAGCGGCGAGTCTCGCGCGGAGGGCGACGAGAGCCCGTGTAAAAACCCGTCGCGAATCGCGTACGTCCCGTCAACGGCGGTGTTTCATTCAAAAAACGTGAAACGCGGCGGATTTCGCTCGTGAAAACGCGCTCGGCGGGTGATTTCGTTAGGATTTTCGGCGAGAACAACCGTTCCCGGCTCACCCGCGGTGATTGTCCCGGGAAAAATGTCCGCCCCGGGACGAAAGTACGGGAAAAAAGCGCAATAATCTGCTGCCATCTTTCCTATTTACTAATGGATGACAGAGGTGGAGGAAAGAAGGGAAAAAAAAAACAATCAAAAATTCCCGACGCGAGAACCGACGCGAGAAACGCGGGCGGATTCGCGCGGCGCGGCCGAAAAACACGAGGATAACACGTCGCGGCGACGTCGCTCACCTGCACCATGCTTCCGCGTGGAAAATCAGCCCGACAGACGCATATCCAAACAACGTAACTTGTAATTAAACGAGTCCCCACGTGGGACGATATTTTCCTCTTTTCGGGGAAGAGTGGGGGGTGTATTTTTTCGCTCGGAAAAGTCTCGTCAGTGGAGCGACCGTCGCGCGGACCGTCGACGGGATCCGCGACGGTCGCGTCGTCCAGGACACGCTCCCCCGGCCACCGATCGACGCGCGGCGATTTTTCCGGACTCGGCGAACCGTTGACGCGTCACCTCGTCAAACGTCAAAATCGCGTTCGGTCTCTCAACGAGACGGGACTTCCGCTCGCGCGACGTCGACGCCGAGAGGCGCCATCTTCGAACGCCAGATCCGCGCGACTCGAATATTTACTTCTTTATTTATTTATTTCGCTACTGGAAATATATCAGGGTGTTCTCTTTGTCGCGCTATTATCGATAGGAAATACGGGGAGACTCGGAAAGTCTGTTTCCATCTTGGAAATACTTTTTTCAAATCGCGCTTCAGTTTTCGCGGATCTCGCGTTTCCGTTCGTCTGGCGTGTCTAGGGACTTTTATCCCCTGAACTACTAGCGTTGGCGCGCCGACGCTTCGCCGCCAACTTCGGATCGTACGATTTTCCGACGCATGCGTAGATGCGAGTGACCGGTCACGTGACTGTTGCCTTGACAGCCACGTGCTTTGATGCGGCGCCTCCTGGGATCTATAAAAATTGTTTATATATCCTTTATTATTCAAGTAATTATAATTACAATTGTTATCGATTCTTTCATTACGATATAATATTATACGTAGTATTATAATAAGATTTAGAAAGGAAAGATAATCGCAATAATTCGAATGCATTTCAAATCTTGTATTGATTATATTAACATCAAAATGTTATTATCATTTATATATCGCTATTTATCGTGACAAACTTGATTGCGAGAAAAATCTTCAAGCTATTTTTTTCTTCGATATATATTTTATTCTACATTTTTTCATTGAGGAAAAGAGAGAGAAAGACCTATTGGAAGTTGCGCTACTGCGCATGCGTCGGAAAAGCGATCCCGGGATCGTCGCACGCATGCGCGAAAAGAGGGCCTGTCTATCAACACTACGGTCTTGACGTGACATCGCGGGTGCGAATTTGAGGTGGCGACGAGATCGAGGACGAGAAACTGTGCGAGTGAAAGAGAAAGAGGGAAAGACGGCGTGGCGCGCCTTCGTAAAGAGTAACGATACGAATCGCGTAGAATGGTAGGTGCGATTTTCTGGCCGGTCCTGGCGAGGTTCCCCGATTTCGATCTCATGAAATTAACGCTTCGCATGCCACGCGGATTACGACACAACCTTTCGCGTTTCACGACTGTGCGAGGCGCGTCTCGCCGCGTGCGAGCCGCTGTCAAACGGCGCGATTGACAGGACGATTTACGACGCCGATCATCCCCTGCATTCCTCCTTTTCGTCTTCCGCTTCTATCTTATACGGCGCCCGAACTGTGCGACACACGTACACGTCTAATGATTCACTTCGCTATGTATGTTTGTGTTTACGCAATTGCGTGGTCACTAGCATAAGAAAGAGAGATCTGTCGTCTAAATTAGATAAAAGAAAAAGAATGATAAGAGTCGGATATAATAGTTTATTGACGAAAAGATGTGTCGTAGCACTTGTTGCATAAACGAATACTTTCTTTTTTTCATAATAAAATACTGATTTCTTTGCACGCGAACAAAATGTTCTGCTTCGCGCAAATCTTGCCGGTTTATTCTCAATATATTTTGCAATGTTATTTATGCAATTTTAATATCAATCACTTGTATTTGTCGATGCAGGGAAGATTACAGAGACATGGTGCCGTATTAGTGGTAATATCCCTCTTATTAGAAACCAATGGCTTCTATGTACCTGGAGTTGCTCCAGTGGAGTTCAAGAAGGGCCAGAAGATTGATGTTAAAGCTGTCAAAATGACCAGCATCCATACGCAATTACCATATGAATATTACTCTCTTCCCTTTTGTCGACCCAAGAAAGAAATTGTTTACAAGTCTGAAAATTTGGGTGAAGTGCTGCGAGGTGACAGGTATGATATTTTTTTTTTACATTAGGAAATTTTATGAAAATAATTCTTCGACTTTTATGATTATAAATTTAATCTTATTATTTTAACTTTTATTATTATAAACTTAATTATTTTCATTTTCTTTTCAGGATTGTAAATACTCCATACGAGGTTGTAATGGGAGAAGATATCAGTTGTAGATTGTTATGTCACAGCTCAAAAATGCCGATGACCTGGAACGAACCTGAATCCCAGCACGTTATCCAGATGGTTCAGCACGAATATTTTGTCCATTTGTTAGAGCATTTTATTACTATACTTGTTTAAGAAAAGAAAAATATTATTTTTGCTCATCTCTAAATTTTTTTCAGATTAATAGATAATCTACCAGCAGCTACTAGAAAGAAACACAAAGAGACAAATAATGTGGTTGTTTATCAAGGATATCGCTTGGGTGGAATAATAAATGATCAAGTGTACATCAACAATTATCTTAAGCTAATATTAAGCTATCACAAACATGGCGAGTTAGTATCCATTTTATACAGCTCTCTGTATAATTCAATTTCAAATTTATTTAAATATATACAAGAGTTTAAACTAAATCGAATAGGAAGATTTAATAGTTAAAATTGAGTAAATTAAAAATAACAATAAGAAAAAGAAGTATAAAAGTGAAATAACTTAAAAACTTATTATTTCTTTTTTACTTGTACAAATGTAGGGACGAATTTAGAGTAGTCGGATTCGAGGTTGAAACTCGATCCGTTGACACATCTCAATTAAAGTTCGACGGGAATACCTGTATGGTACCGAACGAAGCAAACCAGCAGTTTGTCAATTCCAAAGGCACAAGCCTCCTGTTTCTATATTCGGTTGAATGGAAAAAATCAGACGTGAGTTGGGCAAGCAGATGGGACGTGTATCTGGGCATGAGTGATGTCGAGATTCATTGGTTCTCGATCATCAATTCCCTCATTGTCGTCTTCTTTTTATCTGGTAATATAAGCACTATAATTTGACTCTTTTAAAATCCTTATATTTAAGAAACATTTCACTTTTAAAAACCTTGTATTTGAGATCATTTGCATTTAGTTTCTCACAAACTTTTTTGTTACAATATTTTTAAACATTCTATCATATTATGTATCAATCTAATAATAAATTATTATTGTATGTGAAATATGATTTTCAAGAAACAAAATATATACTTAATTAAAAGAATTTAATATTCATATATATTTCAGAATACTATACATTAATCATTTGTTAATTTTTGAATTGTATGTTAATCGTTCAGGAATTCTGACAATGATCATGGTGAGGACGCTTAGAAGAGACATTGCTCGTTATAATGCAGGCGAAAGCGACAGTTTGGCTGGTCTTGACGAAACGATCGAAGAGACTGGTTGGAAGCTAGTCCATGGAGATGTGTTTCGACCGCCAACCAACTCCCGCTTATTTGCTGCCGTGATCGGCAGTGGCATCCAAATTTTTTTTATGGCTTTGATCACAATATGTAAGAGCATAATTAAATTTTCAATGATTCAGTGTAAAAATTATATGATGACTATATATTTTCCATTTGTTTCTGCAGTCTTTGCAATGTTAGGGATGCTATCGCCAGCGAGTCGAGGTGCCTTGGGCACTTGTGCGATATTCTTGTACGTGTTTTCCGGTTTGATCGCCGGTTATTTCTCAGCGCGATTGTACAAAACGATGCGAGGTCGAGAATGGAGAAGAGCCGCCCTGCTGGTAAAATTTAATAGATTATTTATAACAATATAAATGTGTTTACATATTTATGTAACATATTTGTATTTTTCTATACTTACATATATAATTAATTTTCTTCTAATTCTCTCTATAATTATTAGTGAAACAAAGTATCTAATTCTAACAGCATTACTGTTTTATATTTTAAAAATTAATATTATACAGACGGCGACATTTTATCCTGGTATAGTCTTCACGACATGTTTCTTCCTAAATTTCTTCATATGGGGAAAACACAGTTCCGGTGCAGTCCCATTTACTACCATGATAGCTCTGCTGTGCCTCTGGTTCGGCATCTCACTACCTCTGGTCTATCTCGGTTACTTTTTCGGCTACCGTAAACAGCCCTTCACACATCCAGTTAGAACAAATCAAATCCCCAGACAAGTTCCTGACCAGTTGTGGTACATGAATCCAATATTATGGTAAGTTTAAAAAAGATTAAACTTTAACTTATTTTAATTTTGTTGCCAAGTATCATTATTAAAAATTTATGCTATCCGTTTATGTATGAATACATTAATTAGATCAATTTTTCTTATTTGCAGTACTTTAATGGCTGGAATCTTGCCGTTTGGTGCAGTATTCATAGAACTCTTTTTCATCTTGACTGCACTGTGGGAAAATCAATTCTACTACCTCTTTGGATTTTTATTCCTTGTTTTCTGCATCCTTATAATTTCGTGTTCGCAGATATCGATAGTCATGGTCTACTTCCAGTTGTGTGGCGAAGTAAGTATGAGAAAATTAAAAAGCCATATTTTTCTCTTTGATGAATTTCTAATATTTTATTCGATATTTTTTACCTTTTTTTTCAAAATTGTAAAACGAATATAGTTTTATACTTTAATCATTTGCAATTTAACAGTACATTCCTTTCATTTCCTGAGTTTGTATCAGTACTAATATCTTGATTCCTACATTTTAATTTCATCTGCAGGATTATAGATGGTGGTGGCGGAGTTTCATCGTGAGCGGTGGATCAGCGGTTTATGTGCTGGCGTATTCCATCTTTTACTTCATCACCAAACTGGAAATTACCGAACTAGTACCAACCCTCATGTATTTTGGCTACACCGCGTTGATGGTCCTTACATTCTGGTTATTGACCGGTACGATCGGTTTCTTTGCCGCGTACGCTTTCATCAGAAAGATATACGCGGCTGTCAAGATAGACTAGTCAAAATTTTCACTAATAGAGTAATGCGAGTGAATAAATAGATTTTTAATTTAATGAAGAGAAAATGAGAGAGAGAGAGAGAGAGAGAAAGAGATACGATTTAAGTTTTTTGTATAGAAACAATAAATGGAATAAGTGGATTCATTTACATCTTCCACAGAATTTCGAAACTGCAAATATTTGCATAGGATTTTGTGAGTGAAATATGTATACATGAATATTTGATGTGTCAAATATATAGGATTTCTATTTTCTGTTTATCACCTGTCATCATGACTGCAATGGAAGCTCCTTATTCATCATAAAGTTTACATCGTGTACACAAACTGTCAAATATAGAAATTATAAGGAGCAATGAGAAAAAAAATATATTGAAAAATTAATACATTTTTAAAGAGGAAATATGTTTTATAGCTTTAACATATTTTTTATTTTATATTAAATATTTACCTTAAATAGAAATAATGCTTTTTTTATAACATGCACTTTTTATGTTAATTTTTTTCCATTTACTTTATGTGTAATTTTTCTACTTTTGTGATTGTTCCGAATTGTGGAATTAAGGAAATATATCTATAAGGAATATATCGAATTAAGAATATATATGAATAAGGAATAGAAGAATGTAAAGCTTCCATTGTACAATACATATACTATTTTATTTCACTTTTAGTGTCGCGCGTTTTTTCTCTAAGTAAGTACTTATGATCTATGACACACATTCACACGAGAAAATAATCTATAAAATTCAACAGATTCATGTTGGCTATATCAATATCGTTCCTTGTCTCATGGAGTGAGAACAAGCATATAATTGTGTAAAAATATTCAAGTAATGTGATATTAGTGACAGTCAATGTGCGAAAGTATTATATAGTCTATAATGAATGAGCCAGTCTAAAGTGTTATTCGTTTCAGTTTTCTTTTTAGTAAAAACATTTTACATAAAAACATTTTACTTGCAGTTGTCTCGGCCGATCGTTGTTATAATAATAAGCATACATGCAATGAGTAAGAATAATGATACAAAGTTTGTGTATTTACATTCGCAATTAATCTGCAATTATATTTTTTCATTCCTTACTTTTTAGATATCACTGTTGGAAACTTTGAGCGTTTAATTTCATTAAATTTTTACTTGTAATATCGATCTTTTTTTTGTGACACATGTGTATAGTATCCATCAATATTTTATATATATATATATATATATATATATATATATATATATATATATATATATATATAATTTGTTGATAAATGTGTCTTGTGTCTTGTGTTTTCTGTAGTAAAGTTCTATGTACATCGAAATTGATATTGATTATCGTTATAAATAATTATACATATACCTATATATATATATTATAAAGTATTTTATACAATTACTAATGTAAATAATATGCAAATGATAGTGTGTATGAAAGATGTATACAAATTTGTCTCTATCACTTGAAGAATTATAGCCTCTATAAATTGCATTGTATATAGAATTATTATAACGCTGGTTCGTGTTTTAACATCACAATTGAATTTGTCATGACAGAGGAATTATTCAAGGCATCTTTAAACGAGAGTACGCATGCCGTCTCGGTCTGAGTTTTATAATCAAATATATCAATACACATGTAAGGCTAACCTTATAAATAATAATTACGGTAGATTCTACAGGCATGTAACACTTTGAAACAGAATAATTGCTTGGAGTGAACGTACCCTGGAATAAAAATATTCACAGATATATTGTGTTCCAAATAGAGATAATCCATCAAAGGTTATAATTTTATAATATAAGATATTCTAATTAAGAATTTCGATTACTATCTTCTCTAAAGATTTCAGATTGAAATACTAGAATCAAATAGATAAGAATATAAATTAAGTTAAGAAATATTTGAATAATTATATTGGAATATTTTTTGGTAATAGATAATATCCCTTATTTAGAGATCTCTGTTTTTTCACCTTTTATTTAGATTATTTATTTCATAAAACTATATAAGAATTATTGAAAATCTTGTTTCAAAAATAAGACATTGACCACTAATTTTAATATCAAAATCATAGTCAAGATTTACCATTAGAAGAGACGGATTGATTTTATTACGCCAGCTAAAGGACGGGATGGTGAATTCCAGCACGTCGTCCCGATGTATTCTTCTGCAACCATGATGAGTATGTCCGGCAACTATCAGTCGTGGATTCAAGATATCTAAAAGCTAATGAAACAAAATTGTTCAATTTTGCATCAATGTTATCATGTTTTCCATATATGATCGCAATCTACGAAATTGTCAAATAATATGTACTTGTTCCGAGGCTTCCTTCGATAAACATTCCCATCGTTCTCGAAACTTTATGGCCTTTATCTCATCGGGAGCCTGATCCAACTCGTTACAGATTTCGTCTGATTCTCGATACATCGGATAATGCTGAAATAAAAAAAGATCGATATATTTATCTGCTTTTTCAATCTAGAAATTAATCCTTTATATATTTAAAATTTTTCTAGTGCTACTTGTTTTCTTACGTGTTACTTGTAAAAGTAAGACAAAAATTTATATACATGTAGTATAACTAACTTGTAACAATATAGGCCTACTATATCTGGCTATTGCGCTGGCATTGCGGCAATCGTTGCTCATCTTTCTCGCACATTTCAAATCTTCTGTAATGTAATATGTAAAGATTTATATAACAATTAATCAGCTAAAAGAATCTTGGCTAGTATGCGAGCTCACTGGCTATCTTATTCACCGCGATCTCAGTGGGTCGGCACAGAAAACAGCCATCCCCTTCCAACGCCATGCTATTGATCAACACAAAATGATTGTCCCTTATACTCAGTCGCCGCACACTTGGGCTTTTCAAGCCGTTAATAAAACGCTGATTACGATATGGCGTGATTGCTGAAAGTTAAATGATAAACGTAGTTGAAAAATATGATTGGAAATATATTTTTTTAATCCAATTTAATTGCAAAGCATAGATGATTTTATTATTTACTGAGACAAATTCAGATGCGAATGTACTCTTTACTTTACCATAATGAAATCCCATATCGTGATTCCCAGCAACGACATAGAGACGAGTATCCTTGGGTACATGAAACAGGGAATGAAATCTTTGTATATAGTTTTCAAACTCTGTGGAGCTGCACCATTGTCCCTCATCAAAGACATCACCTAAATATTATATTGACAAAAAACAATGATTATTTTGAGAAAGAATGTCAATATAAGCATATGTACCTAATATAAAAACCACCTCTGGTCCGTATATCGACATCATAGTTTGGAATACTCTGTACATTTGCCACTCTCTGAAATAATAATTCTCAATAAGTTCTCTTTTAATAAATATTATATAACACAAACAATATGCAAAATCCAATATATTCTTAATATATAACTTAAGGGATACAAACCTTCGTAACTTATCGAACCAGTGACCTTCTTTGGGCCCTAATAAATGAGTGTCCGCAATGAACATTGCTTTGACAGGTCTGTCTGTTGCTTCCGTATGTAGAGCTAGGTCTTCTTTTTGAGGGTTTAAAACAGGCCATTGACACTAGAACCACAGATTAGAATTATTTCTAAACCTTGTCAAGGACAGATCTATTCCTATTAGACATTATGACTTATAGAGACTCACCTGTATAAGTACTATATAATATATAAGGTATTCACAGAAAAATAGGATAAATAATAAAGCTAAAACCACGTAGAAAAGCGTCGGAAGTAGTTTTCCGAAATGTATCATCTTTAAGATTTGATATAACTAATGAAGATTGTATATTAAACCGTTAATTACGTTATTTTTTGCTCATTTTAGTAGGGCTAAAAATGCAAGCATAAACAAGGACTCTCAGTTTAACCTAGCCTGACCCTCTTTAACTGTACTTAACTTTACACGATCGTGTATAGAACATCACGGGCCCATGCCTCTTTCGATTAAAGATAAACTTGTTTCTTTTATGTTATTTAAACTTTATTGCAAAAATAAGTATCCAAAAAATGGAGAAAATTAGTTATCAATATAATTACTGTCTTTAAAACATATAATTTTTTTCCGTTTCCATTTCCTCAACTATATTCAAAAAATTTAATGAATTTTGAAAGTAAATGAAATAATTCTTGAAATATAAGTTTTATACAGAAAGCATACAGTTTTATAAAGAAAGCATAAGTAAAAAATATAAATGAATAAAAATTTTTTAATATTCTATTTGACATAAATATTTGTACATAAAATATTTCCGCATTTTCTGCAATATCGTATATCACACTCAATATATTTCATATAAATTTTAATCAATTTTACACGACAGAATATATAATTTCACGCAGTCTTACATATAGGTCAATTCATTCAGTCAACTCGTCTTATCTTGTTGAGTACAACATGATATAGAGACGTTTATGGTAACAAAGAGATTTTAACGCGTTAACGATACAATGCGGCTATTAAAAAAATAAAAATATATAAAAAACGATAGTGATGTAACAATCGCAATGTTTTCCACACTATGTAAAATATAAAAAGAGCTATAAAATATAAATTAGAGATATAACAAATATTATTTAATTTCTCTAATTATTCTACAAACAGCTTATGTCGTTAATTATCTCGGCCATCATCTGTTTGTCCTGCAAGGCTGCGTCCAGTTCCTCCTGATCCCATTGTAAGTTTACTTTACACAAACGCGCCTCCTTTCTGCCTACTACTCTTAGAATGCCCCTGGTCTCTATCAATGAGCATAGGTTCACAAATTCGGAATCGTCAACGGCGAATATATTGCGCTTCTTGCAAACTTTTTTATACACCTCATGCAACTGAAACATGTAAAAGTGCTGTATAAGAAAGGAACACTTGCAATGATAATAATTTATTATATTATTATTTGTATGTAATTAAATTATTTTTAATTATATATTATTATTTATATGTAATTAAATTATTTTTAATTATATATAAATTTAGTAAATGAATTACACAATTCTATATTCGCTTATAACAAAACTCTAACATGAATTGTAACCAACTTACTTTTCCTACGGTAACATCTTTGTTTCTTCCTTTATTTAGGATAAGTAATAGAGAACAAAGTAACAATTTCTGTTGAAGAGGAAAAGTCTCTTGTTCTTGGTCGATATTCTGTGTGCCACCATAGACTCCATTTAGAATTGTAACTACCTCTTTTAAATCGACTGGCTTTTCTGTTACTTCCATCTCTTGCTTCAAGGGCTCTATGTTTGTGTCTAATTTAAAAAAAAAGAGAAAATTGGATATATGTATTGAATTATTCTAATTTCCTATTTATATGTTATTTATATTACATTTTTCATTTCTAAAAGTGAATCAATGTATTATCACTGATTTACTGATAGTGCTTATAACTGCTTATAATCAGTGACTATTTACTGTTTTCAGTGATAATATACTGATTCACTCTAGTGAAAGTAGTATATATTACTTTCACTAGAATGAATCAGTATATTATCACTGAAAAACAGTAAATAGTCACTGATTACAAGCAGTTATAAGCATTGTAAATCAGTGATAATACACTAATTCACTTTTAGAGAGTATTAATGTTTCCATATTTATGACTTACTCACATCATTTTATGTTGCATTGTATGCATGATCTATTGTCTTTAAAAAGAATTAATTACCATTGTCGTTTGTTGGACGTAACACCTGTGCCACTTGATGCGACTCTGCCAATTCTACCACTCTTCTGCTGATATCCAGGGCTCTTCTGATATCCCCGGAGATGGCGGCTACCTTGCCCGCGAGCAATTGTATCGCAGACGATGTAAACACACCGTTTGCGTTTACCTGATTCAGTCTTGAGGATATTATATCAGATATCTGTTGTTTGGTATATGGTGCAAAGTGCATCAACATTGGCTTCAGTTCACATCTGGCCTGCAATCTGGGTAATATCCTGTCAGTCAGATCCAAAGCATTGGCGATTCCAATGAGAATCAGCTTGGAATTTGATATAGATGGCCACTCAAATATAGAATAGAGCACTGACTGTTTTTTACTCTCCAATTGATCTATCTCATCCAACACTAGGAGCAGCATTGATTTCTTGGATGTTAAATATCTCTCTATAATGGCCTTGCCATTCTTCCCCGACTTTGTCGCACTGGTTATGGCCAGCTCTTGGATTATTTTCGCATATATGGCAGCCGCAGATTTCATGCTGGTGCAATTGATATAGACTATCTTGAGTTTGGATTTTAAGTCTGACTGCCGCATGATCTTAAATAGGCTGGCGGTTTTCCCAGTGCCTGGAGGACCTGAAACATACAGGGAACCCGATGTTCCTCGCTCCAGATGTCTCTGAAAAAATTCCTGCAGTTTGGCTAACTCTTTTTCCCTTCCAGGCAGCTCTTCCGTTTCAGAACTGTGCAATGCTTTACGCGCATTCTGATACTTATTGAGTCCAAATAATGAATTGAATAATAATGAATTACAATTTAATTCATCTTTCTCTTCTTTGGAGTGGGATTTAAATAATTGCTTAGGATTTAATCTGTTTTCTTTTGCAGTGGACAGCTCTAATTTGTTCAGAAGAGTAGACGGAGTCAAGGAAGACTTGTCCTTCCCTTGCAATTTGTCTCCTTCTTGCGATCTGTTTCTTCTCTGCTTATGTGGAGAAGGAGAGAGTTGTTCTGAAAGAAGGTACAATTTGTCTGTTTTATAACAATAAATAAAATATAAATTAAAAATAAAACAAAAAATAACAACATACATAATTGCCCTAAATTACAGGAGAGTTTCACGGTACAAGTTAATTGATAAAAAGTAAAATTAAATAAAATATGAAGTAATATTTTTTACCATCCACTTCGCCGCTACACTTGCGACGTCTCGATCTCGGCGTATTGTCTAAGCTGCTCGGTCGCCTGTCATCGATTATCCTATGTTGCTCTTCCGTCCTGCTGTTCTCGATATCGGACTCGGATTCGGACTCGGATTCGCTGCTAGTCAAAGTAACAATCTTCTTCACGGTCGGGGTATACTTGCACGGCGTGTATCTCGCCGTTGCGTTTGTGAAGTCTTCCTTTGCGACGTCGTCTTTTCGACCGTAAAAACTGCACTTCTTCCGTATGGGAAAAGAAATGCTGGTTTGCGTGGTCGACATCGCGCTCCAAAAAATCCGTCGATGCGTTTCTTGAATGAAAGTGAGATTAAGCGCAAGAATACATCACGTGGAAAGGATAAAGAAAGTCGACGATCCCTTCTCGTCGAGGAAGCGACAGGGTTCGATAGAATATTCACGTACCTTCTCGAGATCCTTCCCTCGTGGAAACAACGGGATCGCGATCTTGTGAACCGATTCTCGTGCAAAATGTCGTTATATTTATCCGAATTTAAACTTCCCGAAATGTTCCTCGAAATAGTCGGACGTCCACGTCACTAATAAATCACGCGATGCTCAAATTCGTGAACGGGACACGTCATTTATCGCGCAACAAGTGCACCGGTCGATCCTTCAGCTGTGTTGCAATTTTGGCGGGACGGACTTTAAACGCGGGAAAACAACGGAACACGGAATCGCACCGAAACGTGGACTCGGAATATATATATACGAACGTAGGGCATTGGTAAAATAATGCAAGAGGGTCAAACTGTCAGAGGATTCGATAGACATACACGGCAACCAATCGAAACAAGGGAACAAAAATTTCTTTGTTCTGATTGGTCAACTAAACTTCCAAGCATTTATTGGATGGTACCTGATTGACCACGTTGCCAATTGGCCAATTCAAAATAGGACTTTCTGATTGGATAATTGCTAGTTATTCTAGGCACTAATCGATATGATTGGCTGTGGTCAAATGAGGCGCTCCCGAATTTATTTCGCAAATTGAACGAATTTTCAATAATTATATTAAAAATATTATATTTTAATGTTAAATATAATATTTAAAAATATACTAAATATAATATTATTTATAGTAAATAATATACAATATTAATTATAATAAAAAAATTGGATATATAATATAATAAATGAAGAGTTTCCTATTGTATGAAACGATATTCTTTCTTTCCAATCTTGGTACTTTGTTTAATTCATGCCGTATTCAGCGCGCATGCTCCAATTCTTTTTTCACTACGTCCATTTTCTCAGATGAATCCGTCGGGTGCAGTTGGTGTGTAATAAAATCCAAAATAATCGAGCGATTCTGAGGGCGATCTGAGATCTTTTAATCTATAAGATGAGAGCTAAGGTGAGCTGATTTTCGTTATCATTGATCATTATTATTTTTCTCGGATATATATAATTATTTCTTGGTGAGAAATATGCGAGTGTTGGGGTATGGCAGCTTGTATTACGAATTTTATGTCGACATGCTGACAACAATTATGGAAAGAGTCTCCTTCTATCACATTAATAGGCTTATAATCTAATCAAGCTTGCCGATTATCGTTATTTCAAGCGAATCTTTTGTTTCATAATTTTGTTCCTTGCTGATTCCGTGAGTCATCATAACCTCGACTAACGGTGTGTTTAATTTAATTTACAGTGGCGTAAGAAGAGGATGCGCAGGCTAAAGCGCAAGAGGAGGAAGATGCGTGCGAGGTCCAAGTAAACAATCTCGTACGTGCAAACACCTATGCACGTAAGCTCTGTAAGTATAAATTTTATTTCACATAAGCAAATCTACTTATCCGCATAATTTAATTTTTTTGTTCTTATTCACAATTATTTTAGCCGTGGGAAGAATAGACTTGTGATAGTTTCACTAACTTTTCCAGCTATACCTTCAACTATGACGAAAATTCCAAAGAAGACTTGTTCAATGGACGTGTTTTTCGCATAGAGAGCATTTTATACATGTAAATCTTGGTTGGTTAAATGCAGCAACTATTCAAGATAAACTCACTGCTTTATATTTGAAACTTCCTCCTGTCCTTTCTTCCTGTAAATGTAATTTCTTTAATTTTAAACTGAGAGCTACATGTAAATTTATGAATTTATAAAATATATAAAAGTAAAATTGAGATTTATACTTTCAATTTGTGATATATTGATATAAAATAATTTTGATTTATGAACTGGTATGTAATGTGTATACAGAAAATTTGAAAGAACTTTATACAATCTACTTAATTATTTAAGAATGTCTTACAAAATTAAGTATTCAGGAAATATAATTTTATATACTTATTTATCTTTCTTATAAAACTTGTGATATTGGAAATAGACAAAGTAATTTAGAATAACGAATTTTACACATTAAAATTTTATATATTATATATATATATATTTTTATACATATTAAAATACATATAAAATATATTAAAATTTTATATATATATGGTATGTGTATTTTTTATTTTCAATAAATATATATATATATAATACATACTTAACCTAACTTACAACCTAACCTAATATTGTTTTTAGCCAGATTTGGTATATTGCTCAAGATGCGCATCCTGAGAAATTTACTTCGCGCTCAACGAATATCACGCAAATCTTTCAGCAGTAATCGTACACAATTACTAACGTACTCGCAATTGAAATTGACGAGGCAATTCGCAAGTAAGCCGGATAGAAAACCTGGTAACTGTGATACATCTAAAGAGAACGATGATAACCTCCCGACCGCTATTAATATGAAATACAAAGCCTTCCACGACGAGGATGCAGATGTTATTCTGGACGTGAGCGAGGAGATGCAGAAAATCAGTCTCGAGGAAATAAGCAAGCAGGAAATTCATGATCCTTACGCCGATATAAATTTAAGTCGTGAGTGCAAATCTAAAGAAATCACATGATAATGCGTGTAAGAATTGTATCAGAGGATTTTTAAAAATAATTAATAATAATTTTATAATTATAACTCTTATTTATATTATAAAACATTAAATATTTATAACAATATTTTAATAAAGTGTAATATACTTATTAATGATAATAGTTATAGAGTGTATTTATCACAAAAAGAATACCATGAATATAAAATGAAATTTGATAACAATTTATAACAGATATAGTAATAATAATAATGAAATTTATATGTGTGTTAGATGGTACTACTGGTGTATACGATATCGAGGATCTTGTTGCTCTGTTAGAGGGGGATAAGGCAAACAACATCTTTGTCGCTAAAGTACCAAAAGAATATGCTTATGTGGACTACATTGTTGTGGTGACTGGAAAATCACAAAAGCATATGAATGCTCTTGCTACTTTTGTACGCAAAGTTTATAAACAAAAGAGATATCAGACTGATTTGATACCCAAAATTGAAGGACAAAATTCGAAAGATTGGATAGCTCTAGATTTAGGTAGATAAATTTCTCTCTAAATTTAAAAATATATTTATGTGTATTTATCTTTTCCATGCTTCACAAGTCTTTTTTTAAATATTTTTTAGATTTATAGCAATTTGAAAATGCCCCTTAATAAAAATTTGTCCACATATTTATATAATTATATGAAAGTTTTGAAAAAAAAGTTTTTTAGTTGTATATTAAGAGATCAAAATAAAATATATAATCAATAAACATACAAATAGAAGAGATTAATAATATAGTGCATGTGCATAGTTGAATGTGAACATATCGTGTATAAACAGTTGTAGACTCAAAGAAGCTTATAAATTCATCAATCTTTTGAATTGTTAATTATTAAAATAAATTTTAAATCATTATTTATTGTAGGAAATATTGCTTTACACATCTTTTCTCTCTCTGCAAGAGAGCATTATGATTTAGAAACTTTATGGACAGTTGGTTCGCAATATGACGATAAGAGTAACAAGCCTGAGGAATTAAATATTATGGATAAATATAATGCCTTCTTGGCTGATCTTCATCCAGCTGACATTGCTTGATGATTCGTTCTTTGTACATTGTAGTATTAAATTCTTATAAGATAAATAAGTTCAATAAAAAATGATAAAATTAATAAGCAAAATTTGATTAATTGTATATCCTTCTATAATTATGAAACTTGTATTACATTGTCAAACTATACACCACAGATTTTATATCAAAAAATAATTTCTATAATTTCATTTCTAGAAAATAGATAACTATATTTTTAAAATATTAAATATTATGAATATGTTAATATCTTGTCAAGCTAGAAAAAGTTCTCAAGTTCGATTGTGTAAAGCTAATTATTTATCCAAGTAAGTTACTGATTTATGAAAATTAAAACTTGCTGATCCTAGTAACTTTCTAATTTCTAAAGACTTTAAAAGTTACTGTCAAAATAAATATTTTTTTAGACGAGTAACATATCCTTATATATTTTACTATTTATGATTTAATCTGTATATTTTTGCTTTTCTCGTGTTTTTTTAGTACTTGAGCAAGCATATGTTATTGACAAGTTATTACATAACCTAACTTTTAAATTGACATGTGATGACTAGTGTTTGCATAAAAACCGACAAGTATCTGCGATATTACTATTTTTTCCAAGCTTATTTTAAAAGAAAATAGATTTTATTGTATTGTAATTACAACAAATATATATTACACTCATCAATTATAATTGGAATATAATAAATGAAACGCTAAGAGGGAAAAGTGACATTGCGGAAAAATTTCTGTTTTTGTTGTTTTTCTTATTTCATCAGAGTTCATATTTTTAATCTCAAAGGGAAAAATATATTGTGTGTAATTTTTTTCTTATTCTGTCTTCAACATCAGATATATTTTAATGTTTATAGGATGAATTGATATTCGTGCCGGGGAGAAGGTTCAACTGGAGGAGACAGTTTCTAGAGGAACAATCCACGAGGAATCGTTATGGATGTGAGCGCGTTATTCAAGGCCAGCGTGAGGACGGTGGACTCGCGCAACAAAGACCTCGGCAACCCGGACAGCTCCCCGCCGAAGAGAACCGGTGCCAAGAGTACCTTCTGCTTGAAGGCGCACGCGGTCGTCGTGCAGATCTCAAAGCTGCGCGAGTTCCTGCTGGAGAATCGTAAAGCCTACCTGAACTTCTCCAGCTACCTGTCATCCGCGCCGCAAATGACAGACGCGGAACGCGACGAGATCGACGTCGGGGGACAGCGGATAATGAGCACCTGCTCACAGCTGGTCAAGGATCTCAGGAGAGAAATCGCGACATCCGCGGAAGATTTGTCCCGGCAGAACGTCGAGCACCGCGAGATCATGTTGCTGCTGATAGAGGATTATCTTAAGAACGTATGTCACATATACTCGGAACAGAAGGCTATGCGGGTGAAGAGAACTGTAGAGATGCAGAGGATCTCCAAGTTACAGGCGGAGCCTAAACTCGATCGATCAGACATCAGGAAATCGGCATTGAATGCGACAGAGAGATCCACGGATGATCGCGAGACTAGAAGTCTGTCGAACGAATCGAGTCCGATGAAGATACAAGAGATCAACGAGGATGTTACGAATACGTTGACGTATGAAGAAGAATTGTCAGCTGAAGATATCCAGATGTTCGAATCGGAGAATGAACAATTATATAACGAACTGAATAACGTGACAGAGGAAGTTAAACAGATCGAGAGCAAAGTGATTCACATTGCCGAACTTCAGGAGATCTTTACGGAAAAGGTTCTGGATCAAGACAAGGATCTAGACAGACTGATGACAACGGTGGTCGGATCCACGGAGAACGTGAAGGAAGCCAACGAGCAGATTCGACAAGCAATTCAACGGAACGCCGGTCTCAGGGTGTGGATCCTCTTTTTCCTTCTGGTAATGTCGTTTTCGCTATTGTTTCTCGATTGGTACAATCCATAAGAGTTACTTAATCTTAATTACTACTATATGTGAGGAAAGGAAGATTATTTGCAAAAAATATTGATACAATCTATAAAATGTAAATTTTTAATTATTAATTTGCAATTATTCTTAATAAATTATATTAAATTTTATGGATTGTATCAATTTGCATAATTTTTTTGTAAGTATAAAGCGGCGATTTAAGAAAAAATAGAAGAGTTTAAGAAGAGAGAAGTAAAAATATCTCCCAAAATATGTGTTGCTGTATTTTATCTCCTCAGACATTATTGTACATAAGCTACAATTAACTTATTTAGTAATAAAACTTGTATAACTAATATGTATATATATCTATATATTTACTTATGTACACGCGCATCTTACATATATGCACGGACACATATATACATATTTTCCATCGCTTGTTTTTTTTTTTTTTGTATTTTGTCAATTGTACTACTAACTGGTTGATAAATGCTAAGGAAATAAAGTACATATTGCTTTATAGAAAATTGTTCTTTAGCAATTATCAATCAGTATGTGTAGGTCTCTAAAAGTACGTTATTTGTAAAAAAATCTTTCACTTTTTTTGTAAAAAATGATTAAATCGATTAGATTCGATAGATAATTACATCTCGTACAAAATATATAAATGTCTATATTTGTAAAAATTAATAGAAAGCGGAATAAGAATTTGTGTTTGCTCATATAAAATTGTGATTCGACTATTCTGATTAAGATTTCTTTTTCCATTGTCTCGTTTTTACTTCAAAGTATAAACGTGATCACATAGTAATTTTGCATACTTTCAAAACTATGATAACTTACTATGTTACACATATTTTCTATTATATATATATATATATTATATAAATATAACTATTATATTTATATATAAATTAATAACAGAAAACAAAATGATTGCATCAATGATTTTTTTTAAAACATTAGAATAAGAACAAAATGACTACGTAGTGTATTATTACTGAATTATAAAAACAATAAAAATATGTAAAAAGATAAAATTGAAAAACTTCATAATATACAATCACGTAAAATCATTTTGTATCTTATACGAGATAATGAAAAAGAAATTTAAAAAATAAGAAGGAAAGGAAAATAGTCTCTATACAAATTACATTGTTCCTAAACAACGTAGGGTAAAAACAATAAACTAATCAGCTTTCTTAATTTTGTATATAATTGTATTTGAAACGCGGATGCTGGTCATATGAACAAAGTTTACCCTCGATTAAGCACTGAACTACCCATGTGGTTGATAGTACTGGAATTCGCAGGTGATTTGCTCTGCTCACAGCCCACGACGGACATGTTAGATTAGACAAAACTATTACGTTATTACTGCCGAAATCCATAGCTTCCATGGCTCCTAAAAAAAAAGGGGGGGTTTGATAAATTCTTGTACGAATATTGTAATCGACTAAGGCATATGTGTAATGCAATTATTTTATACATATATATATATATATATATATATATATATATATATATGTATATGTTTATATATAAATCTACTTTGCGAAAGAATCTATAATATTGGCAATAAAGAGAGAATATACAAATGAAAAAGTAAAGTACCCAAGTTATCGGCAATCAAGACCACCGCGCCCGCGTTCTCGCAAACTTGCCGCCAGAATATGGCAAACTCTTCGTCAGATACCAAATTGGGAATTATTACGATCTTCTCCGATAACGGCTTATTTTTACCCACTTGGAACGTTTCTACATAGGTTTTCTTCTGCAAACTCCAACCAGTTGGAAGCGCATAATCCGCCGCGTTCACAATCTTTCCCTAAAAACATGATTGCGATGATAAAAATAAAATTATTATAAATATAACAAATTATAACGAAAAAATTATAGTAATATTATAAGAAAAATATAGTGAAACAAAAAAACAATATATGTATGTATATATATATATATATATATATATAAATTAATATATTTTATATGTAAATATATAAAATATATAAATATATAAAAGTATAATATATAAATATATAATAAAATATAAATATATAATAAAATATAAATATATAAAATATAAATATATAATAATATATAAATATACAAAATATATATATTATTATATTTATATAATGTATATAAAATAATATATTTTATATATATTTTTATATAATATAATATAATATTTTATATATATATATATATATATATATATATATATATATAATATATATATATATATATATATATATATGTATGTATATATACATAACAAAAATATATAATATATAAAATACAACATCTTAAAAATATCCAACACGCACAATTAAGGAATTGGGATAAGAAATGTCAACTTACTTCTAAACAGCATCTAATTATCCACTTATGATTGTAGGCGGAGATGCCAACTGATAGGCACAGTATGTTTTTTGCTGTTCTGTTTGGCACGTTTGTAATGAGTTTTGTATTTTTGTACTCCTCCTTTGGTATTTGATCAAAGTCCTCGTAAATTTTACCGCCGCCCGCCAGGATCTGCGTGTGCAGCCTGTCACGCACGAACGGTTGCTCCATCCAATCATCCTCGTTCTCGGTCTCTGTATCGGTAGCTGTTTCTACGCTAGATATATCTTTATACCTAAAATAGGATAATTTAATAGATATTATGTGTAAAAAATATTTATATTTTAAAGTTATTAAAAATCTCTATAATTTACTAATATTTTTTATACTTCCAGTATTCTCTTAATTGAAATTCTCGCATAAATTTTGATAAATAAATGAGAAGAGAAGAAAGTACCTATCCAACTCTTTCATGAGCACGCAAGTGAGGATAAACGACATGCCCTTGAAAATATTAGAGTTTGCCTGTGGAATCGGGCCAAGTTTGGCAATGGTCTGCGGATCGTCTATCTTCTTCCTGCTGCGCGGCTTTCCTTTGATTCTATTCTGCGAACCTTTCGCAGTCTGTTCGTATGGTGTGCTGATAATTTCTCGTTGCACACCTTTCAGAACGTACATGTCCATTTGAGCCGATTCGACGTTCGAGTCACTCGATACGCTTTCATTTTCCAATGTGTCCTTTAATCTGACGGACACGCCGGACCCAGAGGGTTCCGAGGGTTTGATCTTGCTGCTAATCGAACTGCTAGTCCCGCTGCTCTTGGACTTGGGAGTCGAGAAGACCGGCGTACCGATTCGCTTAGAGCGCCTTTTGCCGTCCACCACATTATCGAGCGTTACCTGACCCAGTGCCTTCGGTGTGCTCGGCAAGGAGCTCTTGTCCGCGTAATCTACTTCCTCCTTAAGCACCTGCGCCTGATCAGCCGAAAGAAAGATGTCCCGTACTTGCACATGCAATGGCTCACCTTCGTCGATCTCCACCGTGTAATACGTGTCGCTATTATCCTTACTGTTGCTCATCGTCGATGATGTATGAGAGTCGACGATGATACCAACAGAGCCGTAATCATTGGCTTTCGTGGTCGCGTACACGGACAGACCCTCCCTCAGAATCTTTGGTATCGGTATCAAGAACTCTGGTATGAGTGTCTTGCTTTTGCCGTCATAAAAGTTCACTTTGTACTTGGTCTTGATTCGATCACCTACTATACCGGGATAATAATTGTTGTCCGACCATTTGGCGAACACACTTTTACCGATTAGTTCGTCGGCCGGATCGTTTTGCAGCGAACTCGCAGGTGAATTCGCTAGGACGTCTATGCCTAATTTACTTTCCGTACTTTCTAATCTGCTCTTCTTCCTGCCGGACGGTGTGTCGGTCTCTGCGAAGGAAACATGCAGAGCTGGTTCGGTATTTATATTCGTCACGTCCTCATTGCCGTTAGTCTGCGCGACATTTGTCCTCGTTAGTTTGCTCCTCGGTCTCTTCACAGCCTTTCCCTTTTTCGTGCTCTTCGGTGTAGCGGTTAACTCTATTTTCTCATCGGCAGCGGCATCTTCCGATGGTGTCGATGAACGTACAAAGTTCTCTCTTAAGTGCTGATTACGATGATCCATCAGCTCGACGTTGCTGACATTCGTGGTATTGAGTTCCGTGTTCGCGCAATTCAGAATTGTTGCAGTCACCAAGTGGTGATTTTTCCACTCGCGCGTCACGCGACTATAGGTCTCGTCCGATATCAACTTATCTGTCAGTACGTGTAGCGCTTCCTGGGAAGACAGCTTCTTTGCGTATTTCGTCGACCCACGTGCCTTTAGGGCGAGCTTCGCGGTTAGAGCAGCGGCACTGGACATCGAGCTCGATGAACTGATCGATGACATAATGGACAATCGGGAAGGTAGCTGATATAATTGGGGATTGCTATTGACAGAACAGGGCGGCGAATCCTTATTGTCGGAAATATCCGCCAGTGAAGATTGGCTGTCTTCGTTCTTTTGCCTACCCACCGTAGACTCGATTACCGCGGGTTCGCAATGTACTGCCGTTAGCTCCTTGTTCACATACTCCTTCGTGTTTTCGTCCATGTGAAGTACGCATTTAAGCTTGACGTACATACCGATCTCTCGCTCCATCTGTAATAACATTTATATAGGTATTTTCTATAGTTTTATACACACAATTTACACACACACACACAAATATCTTTTTTTTATACAATAAACTTTCTAGCTTTCTTTATATTAATAATAATGAATTTGTTAATATCTTTTTTATATTAAATATCTATTGTGCTTGTACCTGCACAGTCTTCGTCGATGTACCATTGTGAATTAGATCAGATTTGTTCTTCTCCTCCACATTGGATGTATCATTATCGCTTATATTGATCAACTCAATGTTGTCCGGATCCCTGAATACGAAAGAATTACTCTTGACGTTATCCGATTTTTTTATATTGTCTAGATTGCTGTCGGTTTTTGTAAAGATTGGCGCATCATAGACGGAGAAGGTATCGGATTCCGCGCTCAGAGTTACATCATTATCAGCTTTCTTGGATTCGAGACTACCGTTCATCACTTTATTGTCCGTCGTCGGTGGTCTCGAATCCAATGACGACTCTTTCATACTCTCCGTAGACTTGTAGTTGAAATCAACGCTGCTCTTATTCTCGAAACTGTTCTTTTCCATGACTTGTACCTCGGAACCCTCTCCTGAGTCTGGAACGAGTCCCGGACGAATCCTCTCGTTGTCCTCGCGCGAGTCATCTATAATCTCAACAATTTCCGGCTCCGGTTTGGTATTTTTACGATCGTAGATTACCTCGGTCGACGAATCTACAATCTTATCACCTTCATCCTCGTCGATCTCTACCACTTCCTTCGATTTATTTTCATCATTGTCGGCAATTTGACTCGTGCTTTCGTATATCAGTTCCACGCTGGTTCGCAGTTTGACTCGAGGAGTTTCTTTACCATCATCGGTAGTTTTCTTGATGCAATTCGTGTGCTCAATTTTATTGCTTTCGTTGGAAATCGTTTCGGTCTCCTTTACATTTACAGATTTATTTATCTCGTCTAATGTTTCAGTCGTGGATTTTTCGACAGTGACCGTTGAATCAGCATTCCTCTTCACTTCGCTCGGCAAATCATTGTCTTCTATTTGTGAATCACTTTCGTGCATGGAATTTACATTGACAATAATACTATCGTTGTCGCTGACGTCGGCCAATTTCGCGGAAACATTCAAATTCTCATTCTTCTCCATACTGCTACATTTCTCAGAGAAGACTTGCTCTTGTGGATTTGTTTGTTTGGAATGACAAGGATTCGGCGTCTTATTATCATCGGTTGTACTTTCAAGGGGACTCGCTAAAGAGTTTTGAATGAATTCTTGGTTGGTTGACTCTTGGGTCTCTTCTATTACGACGTTTTTGTCGACATTTTTGAACAGATCCTGACACGAATCATCAGATCCATCAGACTGATGACTTACCTCTTCTTCTTCCAGTCGTTTCTCAGCATCTGCTACATTTTCCACAGATGCTGTTCTAGCGATTTTAGCTGGCAATTCGTCCATGGACTCAGCTTTACGTTTTAGACTCGTAATATCGATATTACCAGCTCCTTTCTTAGGTGGTGAATGATTTTGTGGAGGTGTAGCTTGGATGATTTCATCTTCGTCAGAAAGTTCATCTTTCCTCGCTGAATCGTTTACATCGCTAAGTACATTCCCCACACTCTCGTCTTCTATTGTTTTTCCATCTGTGATATTTTTGATCTTTTCATCATTTGTGGCCATTATTTTATCATCTGTTTGTGACATATCTGGAATTTGTTGCAGATTTGATTGTTCAGTAGAATCTTGATGATTAGCATCTTCCATGGAGAGCTTTGTTCTGTCTGTCATGCTCTCATCTCCTTCGACAACGAGATGAAAATCTTGACTTTCGTTCCAGCTTGCATCTTCATTAAAATTTTTTTTATTCGGTTCTTCATTTGCATTTTTGTAGGCCTCTTGCGTATCTGATACGTAACTGTCCATTTCCTCTGAATTTGACATTGTCAATAGATTCTGATATGCATTCTAGAAATAAAATTAATATGATATTATATTTTATCTGTTCTGATAGATATTTTAATATCGATATAGACATTGCAACTATTATCAAATATTTTTTATAAAAGATAAAAACATTTCTATAAAACTAGAGAAGCAAACAGGTATGAATATCAATAAATATCAGTGAAAAAATTATTTATTTAAATAATTATTTAATGATAAATATAAAAAATTATTTTGCAGAAAAAATTAAAAAAATTCATAATTAATTCCCCTCACCATTAATTAAAAATTAAAAAATTTTAAAAATTCATAATTAATTCCCCTCACCATTAATTCCCCACCCCATTAATCCCTCTCTCGTTTATTCGATTCAGTAACATACGCGTGTAAAAGTGTTAAAAGAAAAATTTGAAACTTTAAAGAAAAAAAATTCTCTTTTAGAGAAAAAAAATTAACATGAAAAATTAACAAAAATGTTTGATCAAAATGGCTACAAATGATAATTTAATCTCATGTGTAGGCGTTAAATCAGTTGTGCGCAATAAAAAAAACTAAATACACTTTAAACCATACACGTTTACACGTGTATTTATTTAAGGAATGTATTTCGCGTGAAAAGAGCGTATAAGTTCCACGTACGATGAATTAGTAGATCCCGCGTGAGGTACGCATTTAATGGCGATGGAAAGTTACGGCGGGATCCGATGATGCAAACATTGGAAACCGTGACGGAAACACGAAACTCACCGATACTTGGCGTCGCGTCCCCTCCGACCGGGTGGTACCTACATCGACAACTCCGATCAACGCACCTGCTTGTCGCCTGTCAACGACCTGATCAGCCACGGGAGTCAGCGACACGTTTCGCTTAGTTTCCGCACACTTTCTGAGTAGTGCCGACAGAGAGGGAATCGTTCCGCGCGCAAAAATGCATCGGGGAAGCCGGTCGTGATCGTGGCCACTCTCGAGGTAATCGCGCGCCGAGACACCGCTTCCCTTTCCCCTCCTTCCGTTGTCTTGCGAAACTGAAGCCATCCAAGGTCACGTTCTAAAATTTACCTCTTGAAGCAGAGCATTCACTTGACCAATCAGAACTGACGAAAGAAAAATTCCTCTATCCCGATTGGTCAGTCAAAGGCTACTTCACTTTGAGAAATAAATTTTAGAACGCAACCCTGGAAGAAAATAGACAGGTAGACACATCGTCGCGTAATTGGCTGTCGAATAGGGAATTTTTCGAATCCGGAAGATGTTCCTATTCAATAGCCAATCGTTTCCGTAGGTATTTCTCCCTAGAAAACTTTCAAGATATCCTTCAAATCCGATTGGTGAATTCATGCGCGCAGATCCACCAATCGAATACTGTCTTTGAGGGAGGATGACGTTTGATTGGTCGGCCAAATGAACGTGCTCGATCGGATGACAGCGCATGCGCGTTGAAAATTTTATTTATCCAATCAAGTGTCATTTCATCCTTTTTTCTCATCGATGTTGACAAAGACAGACTGATGGAAAACACCCACTGTGAACACTTATACACGCAAGTTTATGGCGTGGTGTGCGCTCAAATATACATAGATATATGTGAGAGAGACACGTGTCTATATAAGATATTCCATGAATTTGCGTATCATTCTATCATTCCGCTTCTGAGAATGCTTCTGTTGATCGAGTCTCTTGGAGGCCGAGGAAACTTACGATGAGATGAATAAATATATTTATTATAATGATTTTATCTTCGCTAAGGTACCTACATGTAATTATTGTGATAACAAAACAAATGTCTTGTATAATCATTTTTACAGGATGATGACATCTGTACAACATTGTACGCACTATGTGTTTTTGTCTCGAAAATAAGAACGTTAATGTATACTTGAGACTTGTACAAGTACGTGATTTTCATCTCTTTTATCGTATTTCGAAAAAAAAGGCTATGTATGATAATTGTATTAATGGTACATTCATAATATAGTTGTATTAATGGTCATCTGTCGCAAATACTACATAAAGGAAATACTAATGCATTGTGATTATTATTGCATGGACTTAAACCTGTGGCAGGAAAAATTTCACATTTGTATATTGTATGATCGACGGTATTTATATATATTCATAGATACTTTTCACAATGCAAAAGCGGTTAACAATTCAGTCACTGATGCTTGTTATTTTGGCACTGTTTGCATTTATTGCAAAACAGTGCATGGTAGATGTACGTATAATATAATTTCCTTTACTGAACATTTATTATAAGAAATTGATCCATTTTTATAGAGTTATAAGTATGAATAATAAAAGTAAATTTTTTCAATTTATATTTTTCTGGCATGCATATGGCTTTGCATATTTGAAATAAATTGGGGAAGCTACTATAATTATGGGATTAAAATTTAATTCAAATATTTCTTATTAGAGTCTTAATACTGAACTGATAGCAGGAGAAGAAAATAGTCTTCTTGTATTTTCGACTCTTGGAGGATTATTTGTTGGTGTCAGTCAACAAACAGGAGAAATACGTTGGCAACAAGATGATGGTAATTATTTTGCTTTCTTACATTAGGAAATTATATATCTAATTGATTTATAATTTTTGTTATATTTATATACTATGGTTTATCATATTTCAGAACCAGTAGTCAAAGTGCCTATTAATCCATCAGAACCTAAGATGTATGTTATATTTATTATTTTTTTTATATTATATTAAATATGTTACATATAATAATATGAGATAATTAATATTTTATAATTTTACAAAACAATTTATGGTTTTAACATTTGTTATATCTATATTTATTAATTGAACTTTAACTACTTATATATTATGTATCTTGTATATTAAATAACACAAGATGCAATAATTGATATTCTTTTGAATTATTATTAAATGAATTTTTTATTTCTAGGCCAATGTTTCTGCCAGATCCCAGAGATGGTTCCCTCTATCTATTTGGCAGAGATTTAGGAGTATTAAAAAAATTGCCATTTACCATTCCTCAGTTAGTGGCCAATAGTCCTTGTAGAAGCAGCGAAGGTATATTGTACACTGGACGAAAAATAGATACTTGGTTTAGCATTGATTTAACAACTGGTGAAAGAGAACAGCTTTTAAGTTTTAATAGCGAGAAAAATACTTGCCCTTTGGAAATGCAGAATGCTATTTTTGTGGGTCGCACAGAATATAACATTATTATGGTAGACAGCAAGCATAAAGACAGAAAATGGAATATGACATTTTATGACTATTCTGCTTCAGAAATGGAACCTGATGTAATGAACAATTATGGTATGTTATTTATTTTTATAAGACAATTATGCATTTAAAAAATTTTTTTATAAATTATTTTATGGAAAATTTATAATTATAATTATTTTAAGTATTTTTAACATTTATAGTAATATAAATTTTATTTTCAGATTTATTACACTTTACAACAAGTTCAACAGGTCGTGTTGTGACTTTAGATAGATTAGGCAGAATTATTTGGAAATTAGATCTCAAAAGTCCAGTGAGAGCAATATACACTATAACTAAAAATGGTTTACTAACAATTCCTTTTAAAAGTATTGCTGATTCTTCATTAGAAAGTTTTGCAGAAAAACCAACTGATGTGCAATTATTGTAAGTTACAAAATATGTGAAAAAAAAAGATTTTGATAAAATTAAATAAAGATTTGAAAATTTAAAGGTGAACAATTAAAATTAACATAATCTTTTCTTGCTTCAGTCCTACCTTGTTTGTTGGGAAGCATCAACATGGTCCCTACGCATTACCATCACTCGTCGATTCGGCAACAACAGTATCGAACAATATTGAGCATTTATTGCTGGAAATTCCATTATTGACTTCACATATTGATGAAGCTGGTAATAAAATACCATTGCCAGGAGATTATGTTTTTATTCCTAATGTTGACACAGATAACAATGGTTATCAAAGTGTCGAATACAAAAATATGTTAGGTAATATCCAAATCATAAATGTACATTGTATATATTGTATTAGTAAAACAATAATTAGCATTAATAAAACATTATTATATTCTAGTTTTATTATAGCATTGTGCAAATTTAATACTTTTTGTAATTTAGATTATAATATATTTATAGGGTATCAACCACAGAGTCAATTTCTTCAAATAACCGGACGGTCCGATCCGATAATTTTGGAAACTGCATCATCGAATGTTACCGACATGAAGTTGCCAGTTGCCATGCAATTGGATATATCTAATAATACTGTGCAGTCAGAAAGCAATCATAATTGGAAGAAAATTCTATTAGATATGTATAATACGGCCAAAGTATGGATCAATCAACAAGAAAATACGGGTATAAAATTGGTCCTGATCATATTTGCAGGATGCATGATTGCTGCATTATGGTATCTATATGTGCAAAATAAACAGCAATCTCAGCAACTCTCGCAGGTAAAATATTTACTATATTATGCATTAGATTGTGAAATTAGAAGAACAATATAATGTTAATTTTTGGAGAAAGAATTTTTCAACAAATAGATTGTATATTTATATGAGAGCGCATATTAATCAATAAGTTTTCTTTTATTATTTTTAAAAAAATTAATTTTTTAATTAGAAGATGATTACATATTATACATATATCAAGCAACATGTTTATTAATTCGTTTGTTTTACCAAATCAAATTTTGTTAGTGATAATAGAAATCTACAATTCTGTTGCTGATTTATTTAAAAAATAAGATTCAACACAAAAGAAATTTATAAATTAAAAAGAAAGGTTTATAACATAGTAAATAATAATTAATTTTAAAAAAGTTAATTTATATAAAACGATTATTATTATAAAAATTAATTTATTAACTTATATTCTTATGCATTATTATGTTCATAATAAGCAGTTATACAATATCAATAAAAATAGAAATTAAATAAGCATTAAAGAAGAAAATGTTAATATTGTTATTTGATATATGTATATTTATCGTGATTATATTATAGTGTGATTGAACAATATTCAATTTTTTTATCTTTATCACACATAATGCAATCTCAATTTCAGTTTTTAATATATAGTTTGTATACAGGATTAATTAATATATTATTAAATTTAAATTATATTAAATTGTTTTTTAAGTTTTCTCGTGAAAACAGTCGCACGAATTATTCAGGCAATTCGATTATCATGCCAGAAGATATTGGAGAGGGCTTAGTGAAAGTGGGGAAAATTATTTTCGACACGGGACAGGTTCTCGGCAAAGGATGTGAAGGGACATTTGTATATAAGTATGTAATATTTCTAATATGTTTGTAATATTTATCTTGATTGCTTTAAATATTATTTTTTTCATGCAACGAAGTAAGTACGAGTAAATTTTTAATATGAAAAATCTAAATTAATTTTGATTCTTTATTCAGAGGTGAATTTGATGGTCGTGCAGTGGCTGTGAAGCGTCTGTTGCCGGATTGTTTTACGTTCGCTGATCGAGAGGTAGCTCTGTTAAGAGAATCAGACGCGCATGCAAATGTAGTCAGATATTTTTGTACTGAACAAGATCGTATGTTCAGATATATTGCCCTGGAACTAGCCGAAGCCACTTTACAAGATTACGTGACTGGCAAGTACGACAGGGAAAAGATATCTGTGAAAAATATTTTACATCAGGCTACCTCTGGATTGGCACATTTACATTTTTTAGATATCGGTGAGTCTATATATGTAACTTTGGAACATATCGAAAAAAATTTCTCGAATCTGTAATAAATTTGTAGGAAATTAATTCATAAATCTTATATAATTTTTGTATATAGTCCACAGGGACATTAAGCCTCATAATGTATTGCTCTCTGTTGCTGGACCTCGAGGAGAAGTACGTGCAATGATATCGGATTTCGGATTATGTAAGAAACTTCAACTTGGGCGCGTATCATTTTCCCGGAGATCCGGTATTACCGGGACTGATGGCTGGATAGCACCGGAAATGTTGAATGGGGAAAGAACAACATGTGCTGTCGATATCTTTTCACTTGGCTGTGTTTTTTATTATGTTCTCTCTGACGGCAAACATCCTTTCGGCGACCCCCTACGCAGACAAGCCAATATTCTTTGTAAATAGCAATTCAAATGAAATTTGAAGCTTTTCTATTCTAGCAAATTCTATTTTAAGTTTTAGTTATTATACATTAGTCATGTATTCTTATATACTTCTTATGCACTAATTAAGAATATCGACAATTATTTATTGAATCATCAATTATTTATTTGATTTGTTTTATTTCTGCAGGTGGGGAGACTAATCTGACCGCGCTCCGAGGAATATCCTCGAGTGACAAAGAATTAGCGTTATTATTAATTAAGGCGATGATATCAAGTAATCCTGCTGGGAGACCACCAGCTTCGGCAATTTGTAACTATCCGATCTTTTGGAATTCAATAGAGATTTTAAGTTTTTTCCAGGTTTGTAATTTTATTTTTCATATAAAATGTTTTAATATTTTCAAGATTAATTTCTCTATTCTTTTTGAATTCTAAATAGATAAAAAAATATATAGCAAAAGATATCTATTTAACAAAATTAAAGTTCTCTGATTTTACAGCAGCCATATTATTAAATTATTGTATAAATTGGATGTAAAAATTATGTGAATTTACTTGACTAACGTTCATTTGTCTCAATGGAGACAGAACTTTTTAATTGATTAATCACTAGGTCTTTTAGATTGGTTAACATGAATAATTGTGTCCATTCTACTGTACCTAAATGAATCTTTCTTATTATTTTGTATTTCCTTCATTTGTTCAATGTATTTATGATCTTGATCTCTATAAATATTAGTTAAATACGATATTTTATTGAAAAATGTATACTTATAGAAAAGTAATTATGATAATTGATATAACTAAAAATTTTATCATTATCATAATATATGTAACAGGATATTAGCGACCGAGTAGAAAAAGATCAATATGATAGTCCAGCTTTGATAGCCTTAGAAACTTCCAGAGAATACGTGATACGCGATGATTGGAGATTGTATATAGACTCGGAAGTTGCATCAGACTTGCGAAAATACAGAAGCTATCGAGGTGATAGCGTAAGAGACCTACTCAGAGCTTTACGGAACAAAGTTAGTGAAGAAATATGAATATAGATAAAAAATATAAACACTATATAATTAAAAAATTCTTTAGATGACAAGAATAATTAAAATTTACAAGTATAAAAAAATTAAAATTTTGAAAAATATTTTTTAACAAAAATCATTTACAACACAAAAAGCAACACACAATGTATTTGTATATATTTGTATATATTTAATACAACATATTCAATGGAATAAATTTGTTCTTCTATAATGTAAAATCTCATGTTAAAGAACATAATGATTTTTACAATTAGATAAGACGTGGCTTATTTACAGAACTAATAAATAAAGATATAAGTAAAAGGGAAATATAACATAATTTCAATAATATTTTAATTGTAATTTTCTATTTAACTTATTATTAATCTTAGAATGTGTTTTTTAGAAACATCACTACAGAGAACTAAGTCCAAAAGCGCAAGAGAGTCTCGGGGAAATTCCTGAAAAGTTTACAGAATATTGGCTGTCGAGATTTCCATGTTTATTGTGTCACGTATGGTGTGCGATGCAGAGTTTTCGAAACGAGTCGTGTTTGAAACAATATTATCATTCGCAATATATTTTCGCGAGTGGTTATGAAGAGCAACCATTAATGAAATTCGCACATGTAGAGCGAATTAATAATGTACTATCTACGTCAATCAAGATACGACAGACAGTCGATGTTGATTGGAATCCCAATCGAATAAAATATCGTGGTCAAAGAAGAAAACAGGAGAAGAGAAAACAAGAAGAACCCTCGCCATGGATATTACAACAATCGCCGAATTAAATTATTTTAAAATAGTAAAATATAATTATGAATTAAAAGTGAACAATAGTGTGAGTGTGTGCGAATATCTCAATCAAAATAAAATTTTTATCAGACTCATAGTTTGATAAAATGAAGTTTCGTTTTTGATTGAAGAAAAGAACTAGAATCATTTTTTATAAGTGATATTTTAAAAATTTTTATATCAGTTTAAAAATCTATCATAACACGGAATTATTATAGTCCGTAGAATTATTTTTTTATCAACTTTTTTGCAATCTTTAAATTTTTTAAAGATTTTCATTTTTTTAAAGAAACATGATAGAAGTATTAGTTAATATTAGTAATAAAAAAATTAATCTCTCCATCATTATTTATATTTTGAATTATGATATTAGAAATCATGTAAATTTTTTTTACATTATATATTGAAAGAAATGAGCTTTTTAATAAGTATAAATTGAAATATGCAAATAGCTTTTTTTTGGTTCATGGATTAATAAATTATAACTTTTAAATAACTTCAAAAATTTTGATTCACTTTTATACAACGTCTATTGTCATTGAAATACATTTTGCAATAAAACTTCTTTGTCTTATATCATGTAGCTAACAAAATATATTAAAAATCTTTTTTTTACAATTTTGAAAAGCAAATTTCTTAAAATTATAGAATTAAGCAATTTGGAAATCGAAATCGTATTCAATGTTAAAGATATTGGAAATTCATTAAATATATCAGAATTTCTAAATCAGACAAATTCCAAAATGGAAATACACATATATATTGATATTAAAGTTCTTTTAATTTATATTTTAAACAGTATGAATTTGTAAACTAAAGCAAAATATCTAGAAATTTTGACGAGAAAAGATTTTCTAAATTTTTTTGGGTCTATTTTTTGTATTCTTGTGTTTTTTTTTTTATTAAATAGTAATCCGAATCAAATTTTTTCTCTTATTTTCTCTTCTTTATAATTTTTATTTTTTTTCCAATTTAATACTTTAATATTTCAAGCAATCTGGTTGATTTTTTTCGAAATTTAATCTGTAATTACAATGTTTTTGAAATGCTAAAATATTAAATAAGAACGAACTTCGTCTCTCTTTTGATCCATTTATATATTAAATTTTTCTCTTTTTTTCTAATATTAAACTTTTAATTTCTATTTTTTCGATTATTAAAAATTGATTTAAATTCTCGAGTAAGTTACACAATTGATATAAGTTTTAAAATATATTAATAAATAATATTTTATATAGGCATAAAAGATAGAAGGCATGAACTATTCAAGTAAAAAATTATATAATATATTTATTTTTAATAATTATTTTAAAATAATATAAGTTTAATGTATAGTTATTTTAAAATAATAATTTTATAATATTATTATTTTGATATATGCATATATATATATATATATATATATATATATATAATTATTAAAATAATTTAATCATTTATTTTAATAATTATTAGAAAATAATAATATTATATTTTTTCTCATTCTGAAAGAGAAAGTATGTGTATATATATGTTTATATATTATATAATAAATTTTACATTATATATACAATAAAATCAGAAAATAGGAAAAAAACACGAAAATAAATTTTAAATACATACATATATGTGAACATGTGTGTACTGTAAAAAATTTATGTATGTACAATATGTACATTATGTATGTGTGTTTTGATTTATATACATACATATACATTATATATACATAGATCTAATTGTGAAATATTATTTCTATTACGATCATTATAATCGGTATTTTCTACATGAATCAATATAATAATAAATTATCTTGATGATAAATTATCAGCTGATATTTTCATTATTAAGAGAAACTCATTATTTCATGAAGAAATTGTCAATTTTGTAAAACACGTGCGTGAATATTAATTTATAACAATGGTACTGACAGCATTGACAGACATCTGTGTCATTAAGAGATTTATAATGTATGTATATAAAATTGTACAAGACAAATTTTTTTAGGCTAATATAAAATACAATATGGATGCAATGCGTGCATGTATCAAGTGTTTAATTGTAATAATTGTTGATAGACAACATCTATTATCTATTTGTAGAAATGTATTAAGTAAGCTTTTTTAAAAATAATTATTTTCAGATCTAATTAATTACGATTTTCAATTATTTCTTATTTCGACAAGATTTATTAATCATATATAGATAAAATATATATAACAAGTAATATTTTTATACAATATTTTTTAATTGAAACAGATGCATGGTCCTCGTGTCTTTTATCTCTTTTTTTGGAAATATAATTTCTTAATTAAATATTCCTTTATTACACATAGGAATCATCTCACTCGCTCACTCATTTTCTCACATGAACGAGTGCGTGCGTGCGTGCGTGTGTGTGCGTGCGTGCGTGCGTGCGTGCGTGTGTGTGTGTGTGTGTGTGTGTGTGTGTGTGTGTGTGTGTGTGTGTGTGTGTGTGTGTGTGTGTGTGTGTATATATGACTACTAAAAGAGTTTATAGACAGGAGTCCTTTAATACAACTTTGTAAACAAGAATTTATTATATATCTTTAATTAATTATTTTAATGTTATTATAGAGTTATTATATTACTTAAAAACATTTTTTTAACACTTAGAATTATGTTTCAGATCTTATACACGATATAACTCCGATGATATATACGTATATACGTGCTATGGGGAGGTGAATCCCGTTCACCGCTGCACTGCACTTTAACTCCAGCCTCGGAACGGATCATAAACGAAGACGAGAGAGAGCGGCCAGTCGATCAGTTGCCACGCTTTCAGCGTGCACACACGACATACAGTGTTTCGTGAACTGCGAGTTCACAGCACAATCCTTTCGAGAAACCTGTCCTCTCCCCTCTCACGCATATACACATACATGAAGAATGGACCATTCTCTCTCTTTTTGTCCTTGCTATCCAGGTCTCTAAAACCCGTTTCAGTCAGCCACGGGCTGTCCGTTCTTCCCGCGTTGTTGGTTTATTGCGAACAGTGGCTCATCAAGAAGGTATATTTGCAATTTTTTTTCTCAATACATTTCTGACTTTCTCATAAAAAAAGGACAGTAGGTGCACGTGTTTGTGTGTGCGTACGTTAGTTGTACAGAAGAATGCAGTAGAATGCATGTCCAGGAAAAATGCTTTCTGCTAAGGCTGTGCTTCTTAGGCGGGGTCGCCTTTTCCTTGACGACCGCCAATACCGAAGTGCAAATTGCCACAACACCCGGTGAGTTCTCCTTGAAGCTAAACCTGTCTTGTAATATATTTTTATAATATATCCTATATGTAAATTTATAGATGTATAAACAATGTATGAAAAAATAGTGCATGTGTAACAATTGGCATTTTTTAAATATATTTTTATAATTAATCATAATAGATTAATTATAAAAATAATTGATTTTGTAAATTAACAATTATAAATGCAAAGGTAAATTACTTATTGCAAAACTCAATTTATATTATAATTTTCATTCTATTATTGTCTCCAAAATATTTTTTTTTTAATTGTATGATAGCGATTTGACATTATTACATCGGACATTATACTGACTGCGTTATTTTGTATATTATTGTATACTTTTATTGCCATTAGACATTGCGAATGAACCGGAGAGGATCGAAACATCGGTGTTTTTATTTACTTTGAACTTCGATTTAACGGTCTTTATGTTCTCTTTGAAGAATAATATTCGATAAGTTATCTGTAATTACTTAATTTTGCATTTTTAATTTGTTTCTGTTCTTAAATTGCGTTGAACTTCAACGCTGGTGGTGATTAGCCTTTTTGAATAAGTTCTTATTGATAAAAATTATTTTTTCAAAATAGTTTTTAAAATTATAAAGTTAGTGATTAATATTCAATAATTTTTTTTATAATAAAATCATGTTTCTTACGTGAAAGACAGAGAAAGGAGAAAGATGTTATAGTCGGTCTTAAAGAGTTCAATGATTTAGAGCATCGTGATAAATTATTTTTAATAAGAGAATTAATTAATTAGTTTAGTGATTTAATTCTTGATTATAATATTTTTAATTACAATTTGAATTATTATTTGAGCGTGAAGTTTAAAATATAATTTTCACTCTTATTTTAATCGCACATGTCTAGAATAGAATCATTGCACGTCCCGCCTTTCACTCGCTTTCTCACTCTAACATCGTCACATGCTCGCATAACAAATGTAAATGGAAGAGCAGCATAGAAAGAGACCATTATTTTATGTGTGAACGTTAGTTGATTTACAAGATCATAATGCGAAACTTCATTATACGGATATGTGATAATATTAAAATTTATGGAATATATAAAATATTAGAATATTAGAATATATGTACGCTGGACTTTTTTATTTTATAAATTATAATTTATAAAAGAAAAGTATATTTTATAAATTATATATTACTTTTATAAATTGTACTATTTTATAAATTATATTTGCCAATACACTTTCTTCTTTTGAAAAAACTAGTCCACTGCACATCGAATAGCAAAATTCTGAGAGATTTATATGATTAAAAAATTTTGATTTTTAAAAACTTAATATAACGGCGTAAGAAAAAAATACAATAAGATATTAATTAATTAAGATATTAATTAATAGGAAAGCTAAAAGAAATTTATAAAATTTATATGTATATGTATTAAGTGTAAATCATATGTAGAAAGTAGAGCTGTAATTATATATGATTCGAATTTTGATTTTTTTTACATTTGCATATATGAATATATATATATATGTGTGCAGAATATTTAAATATTTAATATAATATTTAATACAATATAATTTAATATAATAATATTTTTAAAGAAATACTTTGTAAATATTCAAATTTTTTTAAGACATTTAAAACTAACTTTCAAGACTTTTTGATATGTTAAAGAATGTCCAGTTTCGAATAATATTCCAAGCCATTCGCGAGATTTTTATATAATTAAATTATTTAAAAACTTTCGAAAGAAAAATATTTGAAGTTTTATCATTACCTATCAAAGATAGATCGGTTAAATCTATATACAATTTTTATATTAAAATATGTAAAAAAACATATTGATATATAAATGAAAATATAAAAGAAAACATAAAATAAAAAAGAAAACATTTATTTTTAAATAATATAAATAAAATCTTACAACATTCTCTTTAAAATAATTTTACAAACTATATTACTATCGAAAAATCGGTAAAAAATAATATTATCGAAGAAGACAAAAATGTGTGCATCTATTTGAAGCATGAGTCTCCTTTTCGGATCGCGGTCAAATCCAATAATTTGTACCTGTGTATGTGTGACTTCCCTCTCCTGCCATTCCTTTCCTTTCACGTCATCCGTGTGACTACCGTTATTCGGCATATCTTGATTCCGTTGTTCTTTACGACTTAATTAATAGAAGATTAACATAATATCTTCTCTCTCTTCGGTATTTACGATCAGACATTCAGAGACATGAATGACCGCATAAGAGAGATGCTCGGTTTTCCTAAGACTTACGACACCCGCGAGTAAATCACATGGAAAGAGAAAATGTACAACATTAAAGTCAAGAATTACAAGATATGATTGACAAATATTTGGGAACATATATGAAACAAAAGGATCTGTGCTTAATTTTTATGTCATAAGAAGCTAACTATGTCTTATCACCGACAGCGATCTAATTCTCGACAAATGAATGGAAGATTTACACATTTTCATACATGTTTCACAATTTTCTCGAATTTTTTTTTATCTGAAAAAATCGTTATCAAACAAAGTTTTAACAAAGCAAGATTTTTAATATTTCTATTTTTTATCTGACTTTTATAAAATGTATTAAAAATTTATTGCATTTAAAGCAGCAAAATATTTAACAATTTTATTGGATATTTGAATTTTTCTGACATCGTATCTCCTTTTTTGTTCGTAGATATCAATAGCAAAGATACTCTAGGAGTGCAACCTCTTCAAACAGAATGGCAAAATAATATAACAGAATTGAAAGCGTACCCAGCGAAAGAAGTTGATATCAAGGCTGCAATTGAAGCAAAGAAAAAACCTCTAATAGACTTTAAAACCAAAGGTGATCAGAAATACCAAAAACCTGTAATCAAAGAAGATGATTCAAAGAAAAACGCAGATTCTGATGCTTTAATGACATTATCAATTTCATCTACGACTACTCCAATAAATTTCGATCAATCTTCGATGACAATGAAATCCATAAATGCCACAAGTATATCGATTCCATTTCTTCTTCGTGGAGAACCGATAATTTCTATGACGAAGACGACACTAATCAACAATCTTACTGCCCAGAATATGATGAACACGGTCGAGGCTCAAACGGAAGAAACAATGTCATCGAGAGGCAGAGCCTTAAACATTTCTTCTCCGGAACCGACGAACTCATTGCATACTAATATTACGGATCTTAGTGACATCAGTATGGATGAGGATGACAAGAATGTCGAAGGTGAACATTATAGAGAATAATAATGACGAATATTCATTTTTTTGCAATTAATGATTTACGGCGAAAATTATTATATTAAATCTAAAGAAAATGTGTTTAATGTAGTACAAGCAATAAATGTTTTAAAAAATATTGTGCTGCTGATAACGAGAGCAAATTTTAAAAGTACTATGAATAGCATACTTTAAGCATTACCATAGCATAAACATTTATATCTGAATTAAATAATATCGTCTGGATTTTCTCTAAGAAAAATAATTAATATTTATTTTTTAAGTAATTTTTTAAGTAATTATTTATAATACGATAAAAATTATTCTTTTCGGAAACAACTAAATATATAATATAATAATATAATAAAAATATACTATCAATATTATTTCTTAAAAATTTTTATTTGATTTTTTTAGTTGGAACATTAAAAAACATATTTTATAAATTATAAATTAAATAATTAATCAATATAAAATATTTTTTGTAAAAATCAAAATAGTGAATGAATTAAATTCCCATCTCTTTATAATTCAAATGTTTCGTCATTAATTTTAGTATATTTTTTACTATTAGGTGGAGAATACATTGCATCACACAATGAAACTGCTATAAACGTTTCCTCAACATTATTTCCGAAAATACCAACGTGCATCTATGGAAATCGTACTTATTCAGTAGGTGAAGAAGTTATCCGAGATTGCCAGGAAAAGTGCATATGTTCCGAAAATGGAATTACAAATTGTCAGCCGTTATGTGTTTCCCCTTATGTCAGGGCGGGCAAACGTATTGAAGATCCTTTGTGCGAAGAAAAATTAATCACTGAGGAATCATGCTGTGCCCTTGTTGTCTGTGCCACAGATTCGGGTACGTTTCCTTATATCTTCAAAAATTAATGAGCTCAGCACAGACTGAGGTAAGTTCATGATTTATAAATCCATAATTCGTTTGTTCACTTCTAAAGTAAAATAATACGAATAAATAAATTTTATAAATTGTAAACTTACCTCATTCTAATATTAAATTATTTAATTTCTTCATCTTTCTACTCGAGAGATTTTGTTAGTACATTTATCAATGTTTATTAACATTAGAATAGGAACAGTATTTGCTATCATTATTTACAGGAATGGAAAGAATTTTATATTATAGTTTAAATCTATTCTCTACAAACATATAATTCATAAGCAACATCAGAGCATAAACTTGTATTTTATTCAAGATTTTTTATATTTTTTGGGATAGTTTATTTTCATATTAAAAAACTTATTAAATATGAAAAAGAAATGTGCTGTTGCAGCTACTGAACCGGAAGAAACGTGCATATTCGGCAATAAGACTGTGACTAGAGGACAACGTATTGAAGATGGCTGTTCCAAAGTATGCATCTGCGAGGCTGACGGTCATTTAAAATGTCAACCCAGATGTCCACCAAATGATACTACTTCCATAATCAATCAGCATGAACGCTGTGTTGTATTAACCGATCCCAGGTATAATCTTCTTCTTTGAAAGAAAAATTAGCTATCATAAACGATTGGATCATGTGTGAAATATAATACTTCATAAACAAAATAATAACTAACATATTACTTGATCTTTAGAGATGCCTGCTGCACTATTACACTTTGCGATGTTACTTTGGGCGATCACGAAATTAAATCAGAGAATACCACAGATTTAAATGTACATTTGATAGACGCAAAAGTGTTGAACTCAACGGCAATCAAACTGAAGATGTCTGTAAAAAACATTCAAGATATTACTGTAGAAATCTCACAGAACAATCACGTGTGGAGACAACAAAAACCTGATAAAGGTTGATAAAGTTTTATCAATGAAAATGAAGAATTGTTAAAATTTATTTACTTTTCCTTTGCTAGCTTTCATTAATTACAATGCTATGTATAACTATATATTTTACAGACGGTATTCTTTCAAATTTGGAACCCGCACACACATATTATGTTCGTCTCGCAGACGGAAGTCGTACTGGACCAGCTATACAAGTGTTTCTGCCAGCTGAAGTAGTAAAGACGAATATTTCCGAGAAATCTGACAAGAATTCCTGCAACTACAGAGGAAAATCATATAAAATTGGCGCAGAATGGTATGATGAATGCATCAACTTCTGCGTATGCGCGGAAGATGGCAAAGCTGAATGTAATACAATAGAGTGTCCCACAGACTTTGGATTGGATGTGTTAGATCCTCACTGTCTAGATTGGGAAACAGTTCCAGAAAATTTTGTTCCAAAGCCACCACAATGTTGTCCTCAGGTATGATCTTTAATTTTGAACTGAAAGTTTATAGGGTGTTCTATATAAGTAAAGTACAGACCAAGGTTGTATATTTTTTGTCAAAAATATTTTTTTCTTTTGATACAAAATTTAAATTTTTCCAAAAAATAAATTAATTTTTATTCATTTATCTTATTTATTTATTTTGATTTAATTTAGATTTATTTAGATTTTATTATCTAGATATGTATATTGCTTAAGATATATTATTAAATCTTTGATAAGCATTATGTATGTAGTCGTTTTCAGATATTTTAAAAATATAATAATTATTTTTTTGCAAAAATCATTTTGTTTCGTATTAGAAGAATAACTTTTCTAGGAGGTACGCTGTAGAAATAATGGTTCCTGTAATTATGAAGGAGTTATCTATGATAATTGGAGCGAATTACCTTCAAACGTTACCGGTTGCGAGAAACGTTGTTATTGTGAAATGGGCAATGTGTCTTGTCGAGAAGCTTGTAAACCTGTACCAGCTCTACCACCTACTAATTTGCCGTGTCCTCCTCATCAAGCAACATTAATGCATCTACCTGTTAATCCATGCTGTTTACAATGGACTTGTAATCATTTGTCATCACAATTGCCAGGTAAATAACGATTAAATGGGAATAAAATATAATTTCTATACATATAAATATAATTTACATAACATAATCTATATAAGAAATATATAATTTATAATACATTTTCTAACAAATATATTACAATGTATTATAGGCTTGGAGCATAATATTGTACCCCCAGGCTTTTCACTATCTGGATTTGCAACTTCACCTTCTTCCAGTGAAGTCATAATGCAAGTATTGGAAGCACTAGATGAACATACAGTTCGGCTAGTATTTACTATACCTCAAGTTCTGGTAGGATTGCATGGAAGAGTCGAATTACGATATACTAGCGATAAGACGTAAGTACTGGGACATTAATTACGGAATTGCACAATTTATATTGGTAGCTACTATATTTATTTATTTTACAATTTATGCTAACACCACAATTTGTATTATATTTCATTAGCTTGCTTGATCAAAAGTGGTTTGCATGACGAAAAATCATTCATGTGATTGTAAGTTGCAAGAACCATTTGTATATACTTATCTCCATTTTTCTCATGTGTGCGGCATCATCATAATCCAATATATCCAATTTTAATATCTCTCAATCTTTGTATTTCTCATTTTCTAGAAATTTCGATCCATCTACATGGAAAGTACAAGTATTTGCTCCTCCTAACGACTTAATTGCAACACCTCAACTCGAGTTCGAGTTAGGTGATTTAAAGCCAATGACGGAATATAAAATGAAAATTACAGTGAAACTGAAGGATTTGACTAATAGTCCGACTAGCAAGATTTATAGTGTACGTACGTTAGAGAAACGTACGGAAACGATAACTTTGCCTCCGCAAATACCAATTGATACTGAACTTAGAATAATGCAAACAAACTCTACCTGGATCAATGTTATGTGGAAGAAATTCACAGAGTACGAGTTACAATTCATAGACGGCGTTCAATTGAGATATAAAGAACATGATGGTAAAGTTTATGCAACAACACCACTAATTCATCGTGCTGTGACGAATTATGTAATTGAAAACTTGAAACCATCAACCATATATGAAATCGGTATTTATTTTATACCATTTCCGGGTCAATCAACAGAGTTACTAAGTGAGAAAACGGTAAGTTATTTACTGATTATTAAAATTATTTTATATTTGTAATTTTTTATTTAATTATGAAAATACCTTAAACGTTAATCTTAATAATACTTGATAAATGATAATATATATATTGGATTAAAACATTATGAAAATTATATATAAAATTACAAAAAAATGCAAATTATGAATCTATAAAAATTGTTTTGTGTATTAATAATACATAGTATAATCTATTATAATAGATTCAAGTAGCTACATTGATGGAGCCAGATCCATATTCTTTTGATATAAAAGTTGAGATAAAGACAATCAAATCGACAAACGTAGAAGTGCTATGGAGTGGTGTGCCTTATCCAGAGGACAAATACGTAAATATCTATCGTGCAATTTACCAAAGTGACACTGGCAAAGAAGATACTAGTATCTTCAAAATTGCCAAAAGAGATTCTGATGCCAAAACTGTTATCAATGATCTCAAACCTGGCACTAGGTATCGATTATGGCTTGAAATATACTTAACAAATGGAAGAATAAAAAAGAGTAATGTGCAGGATTTCATCACTAAGCCAGGTCTCTTACCGGCTACTGTGTCTCAACAAGGTAATATTTTTTTTACAATTTTTTTGTTAAAAGAACATTATTTTTCTTTTATTATTATCATATCATAAAATTACTTTATTGAAAATTTATAGATGTTATATAAATTCCACAGAAATTAAAAAAAAAATCTCTTCACTATAAATCAAACTGAATCTTTTTTCAGCCGGAAAAATTGCATCATTTCCTCTTTACGAAGGAGATTATTATGGTCCCTTGGTGATAGTAGCCATTGTGGCTTCCTTGGCGATACTATCCACTCTGATATTGTTAATGATACTCATGAAAAGACGGACGAGTAGTAAGGCTGATATATCATCTCGTAAAACAACATCAGCGTATGACAATCCTTCCTACAAGGTAGAATTACAACAAGAAACTATGGGTAATTTACTATTATTTTTTTGCAACATGAAGTAAATGCATCAATATTTAAATCTATGCATCAATTGCTAAATTTATCTAAGCTATAATTTATTAAATGGTTTTAAAAAATTCAAATAAATTTATTAAAAATCTCATATTACATTTTAAAATATAAAATTATTATATATTGATAAAAACAATTTAAAAAATATGTAGTGAAATTTAAGTAGCTTTTTTAATTATGATGTCAGAAAGCTCTAGACATTGAGTACATTAAAAAATTATATAATGCAACTTGATATATTAAAACATTTTATAATGTATATTCTTAAGATGCTATTGGTGCGCTTATTTGCAATAGATTCTTTGTTTTATATAAATATACATATTTCATTGTACCAAAATATTAAAAACATTTATGAATTTTTTTTAGACTTGTGAAGATATGGTTATGATATCTAATGGGAGGAATAAAACAACAGATCATGAAATGGCAATCATCAATTTGAATATTAAGGAAACTGCCTAAAATTTTATAATTTATTAAATAAATATTTTTTTTTATTTATAGGATATATGTATACTCACGACAAATCATAAATAATAAAATTTTAACAATATTTCTTAATATACGTGTTAAATTAAATCTAGATAGACACTATATAGAATAAATATTGTTAATATTATTATAATTTATAAATTAATGTATGTAGATTATAATATATATAAAGAAATATTAAGAAATACTAAGAAATATTGTTAGATTTTATTTTAAAATAAATATTGTTATAAATAATTATATTAATATAATCAAGCTGCATCATTCGGCAAATTGTTTAATATTTAATTTACCTGAATAACTATTTATCAGAGGAAAAACAAGATGTTTTAACTCGACTTAGCCTCAGGAATACATTGTTAGAATAGTGTAATGTGAATGTCTATAGTCATTTTTTTGTCATATATATATAAAAAAATATCCTATTTCAAAAATTGTGAATTATAGAAAAAAAATATAAAAAGTTGTAGAATTTTAAGGAGTCCATTACTTGAAAAATAAAAAGAGCCATCATGCAGCATTTCATGTACCAGATATCACTATTTTATTTAAGAAACTTTCTTTATGTTAAATGATAAAACTGATGTTCATTATATAATTTTTAAGAATCATAATTAATAAATGTCATGGAACTTATTTATTTATACATATATATTTGCTACTCTTGATCAATCTTTTATAACTTAAATTAATTATAAATCAATATTTTTTGTATATTGATGGGTGTATATGTATGCCCATTAAATGCTAGAAAAATGGTGGAAAAATGCAAAAGAAGCATTTCATAAGAGCAACAGATTTCTAGCCAATTAATCGATGTAAAGAATGTAAAGCTAGTTATAATTGCATTATTTAATTGGAACATTTCTGAGAGTATCACTTGTTATCTTGCCGCCCATTGTAGTGAGTAGTAGATTCCCACTCCAAGATGCTGCACCATCTCCGTTTATCACCAAATCAACCTAATGATATAGTATTTTGTTATAAAATACTTTTTATCTTTAACTTCTTGAATTAAAAAAATGCATTTAATGCAAAGATTTAGTAGATCAACCTAATGCCATAATATTTTGTTAAAATACTTTTTATCTTTAACTTCTTGAATTAAAAAATGCATTTAATGCAAAGATTTAGTAGAATGTCCAGCACAAAATGATAAATTTAAATGATCAATATATATATATATATATATATATATATATATATATATATATATATATATATACCTGCAGTTTTTCCCACACTTTCTTCTTTGGATTTAACACATCATCTGCTGTCCCATCTTCATATCCCTCGATAATAATTTTATCACCTGGCATGCTGTTTGCAGGAGGTCTCAAAGGCTCTACTTGCCTCGTTGGTTCCTCACTATATTGAGTTATTTCGATTATTTATGCATATATTTTGCCTTATTCATATACAGTAGATGTATACATAAGTAAGACTTTAAGATGTTATTCATATAACAGAATATTTACACTGAAGCACATAGAACCATTCCATGTGATGAAATTCCTCTAAGAGTTGCTGGCTTTAAATTGGCCAAGATTACCACCATTCTATTTTCCATTTCATTCAAAGGTACAAAATTGACTAGTCCACTGACTATAGTACGTGGGCCACTTAATTCACCTAAATCTATTTTCTCAATGTAGAGTGAATCTGCATCAGGATGTTTCTTAACTTCGACTATCTTGCCTACTCGAATATCCAATCTTGCAGGAGTAATTTCCATCTCCAAGGGCTCTAAGTAAATCAAATGATAGATCATAATTCTCTAGCATTTCTAGACAGAAACAATTTTTTTACGAAATACACATAACAAACTAAATTACTCTGTTTTTTTGGTGGAGGATATGCTTTGCTTGCAAGCGTTTTCAACTTTGAATTTTCAAATTCCTTTCTTATTGGATCTAAGAGTTTATTGATGTATATCTCTACAGCGTTCTTCAAATCACCAGGATGTATATCTTGCTTTGCAAAGGCGGCTTCTAAATCCTCATACTTGGAAAAAGACACATCGCCGCCTAAAGTCACGGAAATTCGATAAAGAATATTTATTAAATTTTATTTTATTTGCTCATTTTTTTATAAAATCACATGCAGTATGATAAAATAATATAAAAAATTAAATACCAAATTACATACCAAATTCTATGGTTCTTGATACATTGAAAGCATCGCCATCTTTAAATAACGGGAATAAAATGTGTTTGGAAAATGCTAAGACTCCATTGTCTGCAATATTTCCAGGTTCACAAAATGCTTTCTTTAACTTTTTCTTTACTGTCGCAGCATTATCCAACAAGTCAATCTTGGAATCTTCTTCGGATGAAGACATTTTTGCTCCTGCCAAACCAGGAACTGGAAAGAAAATAAATGTGGAAGAGATGTATGAAAATTACAATATATTTGAGAGACATGTAAAAGCTTGTTCATTTTTCCTGTTTAATACTAACTCATTGGATTCATTAGATGAATACATTTCTGATATCCCATTATAGGCAGATACTTCTCTGCAAAAGTAAAGATTTTTCTCTGATCAACACCACCAAACTGTGCATCTATCTTTAAATGGTGTTCATCAAGTGCTTGTAATCCTGGATAAAGAAGACCAGATAACAGAGGATTAGAAACTTGTTTAACAACTTCAGCACCAGCTTTTTTCGCATCATGTTCTGTCACAAGCGAGCTTAGACGATATACATCCAACGTGTATTCCCTTGAAAAAAAAATTTGAATTAATTATAATTAATATGAATATACAGAATTAGGGAAAAAGTGATAAAATACTTTTTTGATAATTATAGATTTTAGATATAGATATTTGAAATAAAAAAATTGTTTCAGGAATTCAAATGACAATATTATTTCAATTTTAGATCACTCTAAGTTCTACAATTTTTATCCAAAATATTTTCCTTTAAAATTCATAATTTTCAAAATATCAGAACATTCCATGACTTTTTCTGTATCCTGTATATAAAAATATATATTACAAAAATCAATATAATGCAAAATGCAGTAAAATACAAGTTTTGAAATAATGCCAACCTACTTTGATAACTGATAATCTGTGCCTTTAACAAACTTTAATTTATCCAATGGAACATCAATGGATTTCAACATTGCTTTTATTACAGCTTCATAATATTGAGTACGAAGTTCCAAAAGTTCCCAAGGTGCCTTCATGTTATCTAAATATGCATGAAGATCTGCAAAGAGTACCGTCACCTCCACTCCTGCTCGTAAGAAATCAGCTATCTTGCACATAGGTGCAAAGTAACCAATGTGAGGCCTCCCTGTTGTAGCTGTACCCCAATACAGCTTGAGATCACGTTCCTTTAGAATGCTTTTGAGTTTCTCATCCCCTAACCATTCTGCCAGATTCCTGGTAATAAGTCTATATTTCTCATCCCATGTCAAGGTCATTTTTATTCCCCTTAATATCTGTCTTGCCAGTTTCCTAAAACAAATTACAATTTGTTAATTACATCATTGTTTCAGCATTCACCATTACAATTGCATCATTTCCTAAATTTTAATTGTGTCAAGTAGGCTACATACACACATATGTTCCATATGTATATCATTATTTTTATACATTTCAACAAATAGATTAAATTAACATATTGTAGTATACTATGTAAATGCACAAATTTCATAAATTCCATAAAATCTTTTTTATTAAATCAAATTTAAATGAGAAAAAGACATTTTCTTCGTTTACATTTCTTAAGATATATATCTATGAAAAATTTTGAAAGAATGTTCAAAAGAAAAGATTTTCAAAGCAACAATAAATCGAATCAACATATTTTCCTGATGCGAAAAATTTATTTAAAAATTCAAAATGCATGAGAAATAACCTAAAATGTCATACAAACCAAGAGAGTATGAAAAATAATTTGCCGGTCGAAATAGTTTCACGTGCGAACGCAGGAAATACGTCAAAATCAATGACTACAAACTTCTGTGCATAGACTTTTATATATTGCAGTAGCCAAAAATAGTAGCCATTGCACGTGAAATGATTTTAATTGAAACTATAAGCGAATCAACCAATCACAGTCAAATGTTCTTACATGGATAAAAATGCTTGACTGTCATTGGTCGATTTCAAACTTTTTCATGTGCACCAGCCTTAACTCCCGGATGGTAAAATTTGATGCGAGAGCGGCCATTTTTTGGGTGGGCAAAATGTCATCGCATCTATCTTTTTCTTATGTTTATGGATGTAACCTTCTGACTCGAAAAAGGAGGAAGGACGAATTTTTTGCAACATTTCATTCTCGACAAACGGAAATCCAGAAAAAATAATAAAAAAAACGAAGTACTGTATTGAGCTCTTTGAGATATTTGAATCACGAAGACTTGCAGCACTTTTTATCACAAACTACAATGCCGCGAGGTAAATGCATCCTTTAATCTTTTACTTTCGAGGGAATTTACTCCGAATTTTTTTCGTGTTATTATTACTATGATTATCTGCTTGTTATGCAGGAAAATTTGTAAATCACAAAGGCCGAAATCGACATTTTACGAATCCGGAAGAGCTGGAGGAACAGCGCCGCCAGGAAGAGAAAAAGCAACAATGGAGAGTCAGTATTTTTAGGTTAACCGATAGTCATTGCGTGATTACTTAAGTATATCGTGACTATTAGTTCGTATTACCTACTGTGTAAGCTTTTTACGCTACAGATTTAATTTTCTCATATATATATATAATCGATTTATGCAAATAAAATTACGCAATATTCGATAAATATGTTAGATACATACGAATACAAGGTTATAGTTTCTGCTACATATGATTAAGAAATGGAGTACTATTTGTAATACTAAAACATATTTGTGTTCAATTAAGTTATATTATTCAAAATTTATATAACTATTTTAACAGTATTTATAAAAGCAGATAATTCTGTAAATTTTGATAACACTTAGAAAATTCTTTTGTGATTGTGTTGATTTTTCGAGATTTATTTCTTTTTTTTTATTAGATTTAAAAGATTATTTATTTCCACTATATTATAATGTATATTATAACACGTAATATATATTTATAGAAAAATTTTTTATATTGATTTAATTTATTCTAAGAGCATTAAGAGATATAAGCTCGATTGAAAATAATTGACTGTTTAAATTTAAATCTTTTCTCAAAATTATATATAAAAATTGTATATATATATATATATATATATATATATCAATACATTATAAATTTGCAGTTTACTTAACACACATCTAATAATAACATTGAAAAAAAATTTAAATTAGTAATCAAATACGAAATAATATATTTATGCAATGGAATATATATAAATGAAGTTACAAATATTTCTAATATTTTCTGATATTTTTGATGTCATAAAAGAGCTAGAAATAATAATTGTAATGATTTAATTTATAACAAACTAAAAGTTCATCTCAAATCCTATATTATTATGTTACATTGTTCAAAACCAAGATTAACTTAAAAATTATTTTATAGAAAAATAAAGAACAGGACAGTTCTGATGAGGAAGAAGAAGATGATGAAAAACCCAAAGCAAGTGGCACTAAATCAAGAAATCTTAGTGCCACAGATAGTGAGAGCGAATCAGAATCGGAGTCAGAAACAGAGGTATTAAGAAACAGAGTACTTAAACTAAAAGAATTTTTCATATAGTTGTATTTAATAATAAAAACTTTTTATGTAGTCTAATTTCTTATTAATATCCTATTTGTATAGGGAGGCAAAGCAAAAGGCGTAGAGAATTTAATTGAAGTAGAAAATCCAAATAGAATACAAAAAAAAACTAAGAAACTATGCCAATTGAATCAGTCATTAGATACCGCAAAACCAGAATTATCTCGAAGGGAGCGGTATGTGCATTATAGCTTTAAACATAATCATTATTCAATTATCGAATAATGTTGTTTCATGTCAAAGATATATCCATTTTTTTAATTCTATGATTTTCAGAGAGCAATTAGAAAAACAAAGAGCCTATGCAAATTATCAAAAATTACATGCAGCTGGTAAGACGGAAGAAGCTCGGGCAGATCTAGCACGATTAGCTATAATTAAACAGCAACGAGAAGAGGCAGCAAAGCGACGAGAGGAAGAAAAGAGGCAAAAGGAGATGGCACAACAGAAAAAAACCGAATTGACGCAAAAAGCACTCGGGAAAAAATCCTAAAACCTTCCGATAGTTAATTGCATGACTAATTGATTACTGCAATATTAATCTCTTCACATCTGATTAAGTAATGATAAAATTTGACGAACCAATACAATATGTTTGCTATATGCGTTTTATGATATGTTAATCATTGTTTATATATAAATACAATTGAATCTAAATCAAGTCTAGCATTTACTATTTTATTAATCAGATTGAAATTATATATGTAATGATATGACATGTTTGTAGTATATCCATAATTTGTAATGCATATATTAATTTATTGTATAATTCACATATCAAATTACGATTTTATATCGGTAACAGAAGTATACTATAATCTCGTATAGAGTTTGACGATTTTTTAATTAGAAACATACCTTTATAATATATTCATATACATTTGCGGCGCATGCGCGAAAAATTCGGCTCGCTTTCCAACACTGGTATATAAGAGTTATAATACAGGTTATAGAGTTCATCGAGTTCAACGATCAATCTTATTCATTGAGGTTATAACTAAAATGTTTGGAATATAATTCAATTTGATTATATGTAATTTTTTTATGTGGTTTATACTATAAACATAAAATCGCACAAGATGATCTTATTAAGAAGCTTTATAAACTTTATTGTGCCTTTTCTAATCTTAGGTAAAAAAGACAGTTTAGTTACATATATATATTTTTTTAAATTTTATATATTTACGTTAGAAAATTTATGTAATAATTAAATTTTTAAAATCTACATTAATTCTATTATATATACACATAATATATATATAAAATCTATAAATATAATATTTTAAAAATATGTTAATCTGATATAAGTAATAAAAGTTTGTAATTTAATTAATTTTTTAAAATAAATATCCGTTGCATCGTTTTTAGTTACTAATATAACCAGTGAAGAGACTACAGAAGAAATTGTAACACAAGCAATTGTCAAAGATGCTGAACAAGAAAGTGAACAAGTACATACAAGTGAAGAAAAAGATTCTGTAAAAATAAATGCTGAACTGGCAGTAAATGCCACTAATACGATCTCAACTAACAATATTACAAAAATTAATTGTTCATTAGAGAAGATATATGGTCCTGTTGAGGTTGGACATATATATAAAATATTATTATATAGAATAAACAAGAAATATTCTTTTTAATCTCTCTTACACTATATTGCAGATTGTTAATGCAACAAGGCTTATGGAATTATTAATCTTAGAACCTGGTCCATCTAATCGTTCAAGAAATGACAAAGATGGCAAACAATTACCAGGAACATGTGTTTTAGTATTATTTTATGCTAGATGGTGCATATTCAGCAGTCATGCTGCACCGCATTTTAATGCCATACCACGCTCCTTTCCTCATATAAAAGCTGTAGCCATTGATGCTATAAAACATCAAAGGTATGCATGTAAAATATTCACAAAAATAAAATTTATATTAGTTTTTTGTCAGTTTTTGGAATTGATAAAGTAATCTAAAGAAAATATGTTTTTTTTTAGCTTCAATGCTCAATATGGAATAGTTGGGGTACCAACATTGATGCTAGTTCACAATGGCAAGCCTGTCGCCAAATTCAATGACACTGTTTATACCCTGGAATTGTTTGCTAAATTTGTGTCTCATCTAACAAATCTGCAACCAAATGGTTCATTGTATGTTACATCGGCAGATTTCAAGGGACCGGTAGCAAATACACCTTCCAATGAAGTGGACTATTGTCTAGTGTTATCATGGATCTTCATAATTGCTTGCGTGTTGTACTTTACGTCGCGCAGCAGATGGTGGCAACAATTTGTCGAGCTTATTCAGAATACTTGGCGTGAGAGTAATGCACAGCACGAACATGTCGATTAAATATAAGATTTTATTACTATTAAGTTATCAAGTTATTTATTCAGGAACTTTGTAAATATGGTGTGTATATAATACAAATATATTTATATAGAGAGAAAGAGAAAAGAAGAAAAATAAATATATAAAATTTAATTATTTCATATGTATCTATCAAAAATATTTTAAAATATATAATAGTTACTTGAAATCAAAATAGAATAATTCATGCTTATAAAAAAGACAATTAATTATGAACCATGATACAAAAATCACATACAGTGAATTTTCATTTGATATTAAATAATTTTTATAAAATTACATTTCTTATATGAGACTGTAAATATCAAAGCTTAATCATATTATTGTACATAAAGACTCTTAATCATATTATTGTACATAAAGACTCTAGATCAATTTTGACTTTAAATTTCGTATATAAAATAAAATTTTTTTATGTCTGACTTTAATTTTATATTTTAAGATACTTTCTGTTAAAAAAATTAATTTTTCGTATATCATAATTAAAGGAAAGAAAAAAATATCTTAAAAATAATATATTTTTATTCTAAAGAATTAATTACGTATCTAATAAAAAATAGCGAGCAACGCATTCATTCTTTCATCAGACACATAACTGATATATTTATCTATACATATTTATATTATACGTTTATACAAGAACTATTTATGCAAGTTTGTTAGACCTCAACTTAATTTTGGCGGCGACATATAAACTGAATGGTCGTAATGGCCGACTTCGAGATTCACTTATCAATTTCCCAACTTCACGATTGTTGTGTGCGGCATTTGTTTGCGATGAAGTTTGTCTCCAATGGATATGTTATTGTGAAGGACTAGAGACTAGACTGCCAGTATTGTGGATCGTTTATGAAAAAAAGGGATTTTCGGCGAGCGTATAATTTTGCCGAATAATCAAATGAAATGAAATTTTCGTATACAAGTCATCTCAACACTTCTTCCAACATTCTACGCTAGGTTAGATCATCCAAACGAACCTATGGTGGTCATATTAACGCAATAGAAATTTAACTTTGAGAAGTGAACATAGTTAATTATGGGTTCGCTGAATCTTATCTGCCCAATGTGTTGTGGTGAAACTTTTAATAATTCTGAGTCTCTCAAATACCACTTGTTAAGTATTACGGACAATCTCTATTGTCCTGGCTGTTCACAGCGTTCTGATTCTGTGGCAGCGCTCATTCAGCATCTTGATAAATGCAAACAAGATTTGGAGCGCAAGGTGAGACTTGACGTTCTGACAGATAAACTCCGGAAAGAGACCGAAGCCAAAATGGTTGGTAGAGAAAATTAAATAAAAAGTTTAGCATGCATTTCATACAAGTTTGCCATTCGTACAAGTCTGTCATTTTTAAAAGTTTGTGTTATTTTTTAAGTATTATCTAAAATCAAGAGCTTTTGAAGATCTTTCAAAACATTTTTTTCCAAGAAAGATGTTGAGAAAGGCCTTAATTTTTAAGTCAGAAAAGTTTATATAAATGAATTATATATAAATAATTAAGGGAAAAAGCTTTTTCATAAATAAAGTTATAAGCAGCACAATAGATGTGATTTTTTATGTAATTTTAAGTATTTTTAATAAAACTTTAATTTTTCAAGGCTTGGTTATAAGAATGTAAAAATTGAAATATTTAAAACTGATTGGAAAATTGATTGTAAATTGATTGAGAAACCTCTCGTTACAATTAAGTTAAAAGTTATAAGATTCTACATATATATATATATATATTATGCTTTAACTTTCTATAAATATTCTTTACATAAGATATAGGCTGGTTTGCTAATTTTAAATAATATTTGAGAAATGATTTAAAATTTTTTGTTGGAAATTTAAAATATTCTAAATAAAAAATTAATCCATCTTTTGTTCCAAGATATCTTGTGAATATAATAATTGATTTCAGGATGCTAAAGTGATTAATCGAAGCTTTCTTGCGACTGTGAGTGACAATGGAATTGTTATAATGGGTGATCCACAGACGATACAAATGGATGAGAATGGTTCGTAGAATTACTGCTTTGTTGCATAAGGGTTTTCCAAGAATGAATATTATTTCTAATGAAAACATCAGGAGAAATTAAAGTCATAGAAAAGATGGACACGGAAGAAATACAACCAGATCAAAATTCTTTGGATTTCAAGATGTCTGAAGAGCTTTGTGGAGTTAGTGACAGAGTACAAAAAAGACTACAGCCAATGCAAGAATTAATAGCTGTTCCTGTATCAAACTCCAGTACAGAATCCAAGGCACTGACAGAAAAGAGCGTAATTGCTGTATTACCGGAAAATTCCGAGTTTCTGGATGCCACTACCTTGATTGACGTTGACCGTATAAATGAGGCAGAAGAGATGGATGAAGCTGGTCTTCTGCATGTCAAGCAAGAACTATGTGAGGTAAAGATATTAATGAAAATTAGATGTCATTCAAGTTATTTCTTGTACAAAATTGACAGATATCTCATTATATCAAATAATTTGTATTAATGTATATTTGCAACTAATATTGTTTATTGTTTTTTTGCAGATGGAATCTGATGCTGTATATAGCTGCACTAGCTGTGAAATCAGTTTCAACTCCATTCTAGAACATATCAAACAGTTCCATGATGGTCAGGAAGTATTGCTCGAAATGGCAGAGCAGTTAAACGATCTGTCGACGCCCACGAACCAAGTTTCCGCAATACCAGATTCAAGTTCTGAAAACATAGTAAATGCACGACAACGGCAAACAATGAACACGCTGCGTACAGAGGAATGTGTAGACAATGAGGGTAGGTTCTACACGAGAAAAGTAGTGCAAATTGAAAGATTCTGGGACCGTACACCAATCCAGATTACATCGCAATCAACAAAAGCTCCGATGATTGAGAAGTTCTTTTCGAATGTGGAAGGTGTTAAGGTGTGATCCGCTTGATTTTTAACGAAAGAATAATCTTGTGCGAGATCTTAAGGATTAACATATAAGGATAATGTGAGATTATATAAGAAGAGGATTATGTAAGAAATTACATATAAGGATTAACATCTACAATATATAATATCGCAGGTACGAGAGAAGCGTTTGGCGACTGCGTCAATGCGAATGTACAGATGCAATCAATGCTTGCAGCAATTCTCCAAGTTAGGAAACTTTCGTGTGCATGCCTGTGTTCATGGCAACAATCGCTGCGAGCACTGCGATCAAAGCTTCGCGACACTCAAGGCTTTGCAGCTCCATGTGAAAGTACACGAAGGCGACATCGATCCAGGCCAAAAGTCATTTATTTGTACCATTTGTGGAACCGAGTTTTGTTCTCACAAAAGCTTACGTTTGCATTCGAGAATGCATGCTCCGGTAAGGGCCAGACATGTTGATGCACCAGAAGGAACTCCTAACGCGACTTTCACTTGTCCAGAATGTGGTAATAAATTCTTTTCTTGCATTTATTCTTTGAATTAACTTAATTTCATTTATACTATAAATAGACCCATTAATTTTTCTTATTTACTGAGCTAGTAATCAAATATAATACACTTAATTTTATAATGAAATTATTATTTGTTATATTACAATACATCTCTCTAATTTAATATGTATGATCAGGTTGTATCATTTTATCTGTCTAGTATTCTCAAAATATTAATGCTTCACAGGTAAAACTCTATCAGAATCATACAAAGATACACATATGGCACTACATACTGGTGATTCAGTGACATGCGCTGTCTGTAATCGGAAATTTGACTCCGCGGATAGTTTAACAATGCATGCAGCAGTGCATAGTGAAATAGCACTTCCGCAGTCGCCTACTCCGCCTGTTCCTATTTCATTCTCATCGACCAAAGAGACGGCAGTAACAACAACAACGACAATGGCGACGACGATTGCAATAACGTCAACAACGATGACAGCAACGACGACAACAGCGACAGTGGAAAGTAGTGATAGCCAGAAACCCTATCAGTGCCAGCATTGTGGTCGCAGATTTACCAGACCTCACGAAAAAGTGAAACATGAACGAATTCATACTGGGGAGAAACCACATGCTTGTGAGGTAGAAGACAATCATCATATAATCATATAATCGGATCTTGGGCTAAATATTGCTCAAAAACACAAATGCATAGTTTGAGAAATAGAATAAGACATCTAAAAATTGCAAGGAAGTGTTAATATGTAGTGTTAGAGATTGATCGAAAAAGATTGTTGAACAGAAATAGAAAAGTATTGCTTTAATGCATAAAGAAAAGATGCCAAAATCGACATATATTATTTTATTTTTGAATTATATTTTCTAGCTAAAAATTCAAAATAAAAATTTATAATTATGGATATTTATTAAAGACTGCTATTAGACCATATCAATTTTGATAATATTTAAAATTTGCCTATTTTCACAGATAAAATAACAATGAAAAAAAAAAGAAAAAGGAGAGAAAAAACAAAAGACTTTGTTATAATAATAAATTTAGTACACAATTTACATATAATAATTTTAATTTTCTAGTAATGTACATGAATGATAAAACCATACATTAACAATAAAACAATAATAAATTAATTCATAAATTTTTTGAAATTTTCTAATTGTCGATTACATGAAGTTAAACAAAAAAAAAGATGATGTCTATGTCTGCCGGTAGGTTTGTGGAAAGACTTTTCGCGTGTCCTATTGCCTGACCTTACACATGCGTACACATACCGGCGTGCGGCCTTATGCCTGCCAGCACTGTGGTAAACGATTCAAGGCATCCTCCGTCTATAATCATCACCTGCTAACACATGGCGAAGAGCGCGCTTATATGTGTCCGTATTGTCCGAAGACGTTCAAGACACGAGTGCAGCTGGCTGGTCACAAGAACAGCCACACGAAGCCATTTCGATGTACAGAGTGCTCGCGACCATTTGCATCGCTGTACGCCGTTCGCGCGCACATCCAAACGCACAAGAAAGATAATAATCTCAAGTTTAGCTGCTACATATGTGGTGCATCATATGGTCGGGCTTTCGCTCTAAAGGATCACCTGAAGCAACACGGTCAGAATGTGCTGGCACCACCAGAACCTGCACGGGAAGAGGAAGTACACGAGGACTTTCTCCTCAAGGAAGAAGGAACCGATCTCGTAGTCCCATCGGCTTCGCTTCCTCTCGTCACGCATCCCTCCGATGTGGATGATACCGATTAAAATCAATTATTATTGCAATTCGAGTCTAGTCGAATCTTAGTGCGTGATTACAAGATTCACGAATGATATGGTCGCTGTGTTGATCTGTGAGTCGCTTTCGTGGATCTGTGAGTCTATCTTTGTTTTAGCGATTATATGTTCCATGAGTTATTGCATAAGCGATAACGAATTTTTTACTAAAAGTCAGAAGTAATTGACATCTAGTTATATGTAAGAATTGTTAATTCGTTAATAAAGTTTACTCGTTCGTATTTCATATATATGAAATACATAGTTAATCGTTCTTGATTATAAATTTGTGAATTGAATTAGCAATGGCAGGATTTTATCAAAAATGATAATTGGCGCAAGAATGTAAATGTTATATAATTTTAATGATTTTAATTACATATAATTAATATAAAGAATTCACTGTTTTTTTAGTTTTCTGAAGATACTTGAATATATTTTCTAGTAATATTCTGACAATAAATTCACTTTTCTCCATATGACAACATATAATATGTTGCTTCAATTGTTATATTATTAAATTTTTATATATTTTGTAATACAGAAAAGAAAATTAAAAAATTATATGTATACATACATATAAAAAAGTAACAGACAAAAAAATTCGTTTTAGAGTTTTTTAAATGTTATTTAATAAATTATACAATGTCATATGAAACTATAAAATTTAGTTCGAATAGAAATTAATTTGAGATTATTTTAAATTTAAAATATAATGCTTTAGTTTCAATGAAACATACCTTTAATGTTATATAATTTATATTGTTATTATATGTGACGTTTGTGTATTTTCAGATGGATTCAACTTTTATCTAGAAAGTTTCATGTTAATAAATTTTTGTTTTGTTACATTAAATTTAATTATATCTAAAAAATAAAAAAGACAAAAAATAGTTCAATATTATTTTTCTTTTCTTATACATAACACACTAGTAAATATGTGTATACGTATGATGTACACACTTGCTTATTTCTTCATTCACTCACTTTCATTCTTTCTCTCGCTATTTCTCTTCTCCTCCTTCCCTCTCTTATTTTTTTCACACTAAATAAAATTTAAAGTGGTTATATATCTTGTACCTTTTTTTCTATATATTTTGTATCCTGCAATTTACGAATCCTTCACGTGACATCTCCAAGTGCGACTTTACATATCAATGCTTTCTTGAAAGACCTTCGTTGCTCTTGCCGTTACCACATAATTTATAATCTTTAATGTACATTTTCAGTTATATTGTATTATTTTCTCAAAATTAAGATTTAATAAAATAGGAGTGTTAAAATGCAAATTGTTTTTGTAAAACTTTTATTAGTGTCTAACACTATAATTATTATATGATAATTAGTATTAACATGATTACTGATTTAATTTATGAAGACCAGAAGTAACATGTGTAAATATGCATCCTGATTGACTACACATATTCATTGTTCCTGATTTCTAATAATTTCATTATTTTTGTAGTAAAAGGAAGATAAAAGTAAGCTTCACGGGTTTTACTGTGTTTGCATAACAAACTTTGGCAGTATTTTAATTAATCTATTACAATATAATAATATAATAATTTATAGTGTTATATTGCAAAAAAGTTGTGTCTGGTATTTTTGTATCTGCCTTTTATCATTTAAAAATTTAATTTGAAAAACTGTAACTTAATGAAAATCACAAAAGATCGAAGAATTCAAATTTTAAAAGGTTGCTTCCTCGAACGAGTGATGACTGAATAAATTCTCAACAACACTTTTACGATAGATGTGATTTAATTTATTGTTTGGCCAACGATTCTGCTTTTGCTACTACTTCCTCGATCGGGCCGACCATATAAAATGCTACTTCCGGTAGATGATCTAATTCTCCGCCCAATATTTTTTGGAATCCTTTGATGGTTTCCTGCAATGGTACTAATTTTCCGGCGTGACCAGTAAACACCTCGGCGACCTAGAATGATTCATTTTTTAGTACATTATTAAATGATGTATAATTAAAAAATATGTTAAATAATTAAATAAACTATGTTCACATAACATAGTAATGATATTGCTATTTTGAAAGAGGATTACTAAGATTATTGGAAAAAGAATAACATCAGACACACAAAAATTATTTCTAACAAATTTTAAAAAATATGCATTTTATATAAAAATTTTTCAGATAAAGTTAGTTTCAAGAACATCCTTCTTGCCAGTACAGGAAAATATCTTCTTTATAGAAATTATATTTAAAAATTTATGAAAGTAGTTTTTGGTAATTTCCACATATATAGTATATTTCACCTGGAATGGCTGGGACAAAAATCTCTGGATTTTGCGTGCACGAGCAACCGTCAGTTTGTCTTCTTCCGATAACTCGTCCATACCCAAAATGGCAATGATATCTTGAAGTGATTTATAATCTTGAAGAATCTTCTGTACACCACGAGCGATGTTATAATGTTCCGCGCCGATGATATTGGGGTCCATGATACGGGATGTGGAGTCGAGAGGATCGACGGCCGGATAAATACCTATTTTATCAATAAATTCATATTTGAATTACAGACATTGTTGTGCAATATATTTAATTCTCAGAACAATATATACCCAGCTCAGCAATGGCACGTGACAACACAGTAGTAGCATCCAAGTGAGCGAAAGTAGTCGCAGGTGCAGGGTCTGTCAAGTCATCAGCAGGCACGTAAATAGCTTGTACAGAAGTGATGGATCCCTTCTTCGTCGTAGTAATACGTTCCTGCATGGTACCCATGTCAGTAGCTAATGTGGGTTGATAACCTACAGCAGATGGAATACGACCTAGCAAGGCAGACACCTAAAACATGTATACATTACAAATATATATATTATGTAGCATACTCAAAAATGTCGCTTCATTTATTTTAATTTGCTTAATAAACTGTATATACTTATACTTTTTCTCTTACCTCGGAACCAGCCTGGGTAAACCTGAAGATGTTATCAATGAACAATAGTACATCTTGACCTTCCTGGTCACGGAAATATTCAGCGACAGTAAGTCCAGTGAGTGCCACACGGGCACGAGCGCCTGGCGGTTCATTCATCTGTCCATACACTAGTGCTACCTTAGAGGTTTTATCTTTGAGGGAAATGACACCAGATTCTATCATTTCATGATAGAGATCGTTGCCTTCGCGCGTCCTCTCGCCCACGCCGGCGAATACTGAATAACCACCATGAGCCTTGGCTACATTGTTAATCAGTTCCATAATGAGTACAGTTTTGCCGACTCCAGCACCACCGAATAAACCTAATAAATAATATCATTATTAGTGCAAGTGATCAGCAATATGTAATCTTGATATTTTTGCTAAGGAAAGATTGATCTTTTAAATTAATCTATAATTAATTCTATTTCAATAATGCCTCACCAATCTTTCCACCCTTTGCATAGGGAGCCAATAAATCCACGACCTTAATGCCCGTTACTAGAATCTCTTGCTCAACAGACATCTCTACGAATTCGGGAGCATCCGCGTGAATAGGAGCCAATTTATCAGTAGGAATAGGTCCACGCTCGTCAATGGGTTCACCAATGACATTGATAATGCGACCCAGGGTTTCAGCTCCCACAGGAATACGAATAGGATATCCAGAATCCAAAACATTTTGACCACGCACCAAACCTTCCGTACCTATAATACAAAATTGATAGTAGATTACAATTTTACTAAATTGTAATAAAAAATAATAATCATTAATACTTTATAATGATGTTAAGATGTGGATCTTGAATACAGGATGTGATTGTATTGAAATAAGCAAAAATCTGTAACTTGTAAATATCTGAAATAATAATTCTAATGAAGAAATCTAATCAGCTGGAGATAATTACTCTTTCAGAGGACATTGGTGTTAAGGAAAAAAGTAATTTATCTTTTAGAAATCAATTTTTTAATCTTTGAAAAATAATATGGAAATGAAGGATTCAAAATACAAGCTGAAGTTTATAAACTAGTATAGTCAGATTTGATAGGAAAAAGTAAGCTTTTAATATTACTCTAAATTCTTCTAAGTTATAAGAAATATATCTAATTTCTTATATGATTCTTATATCTTTTAAGGAATATATGTTTAGTACAATTTCACAGAGTTCAAGTTATAGTACTGTAGATGTGTGTGTGTGTGTGACTGACATGTTATGTTAGAAGAGTGATCTACAGTAAATGGATAAATTTGCTAAAAAATTTTCAATCTCTAGGTAAAGCATAGTGGGTGTTTAATAACACTTTAAAATTTTTATATAAAAATTCATAATTGTTATAAACTCTTACTATTAAATTCATAAAACTTACATATTATATAATATTTGTAACATATTACCATCCATAGCAATGGTGCGGACTGTATTTTCTCCAAGATGTTGAGCAACCTCAAGTACAAGCCTGGGTGTACGATTTTGAACTTCCAAGGCATTGAGAATTGGTGGAAGAGCATCTTCAAATTGCACATCAACAACAGCACCAATGACAGCAACTACCTTCCCTTGTGCGCCTCCCTTTGGCGCAGCTGCAGCTTTCGCCGCATAGTCTCTTTCTATTTAAAAGAACGTTTGTATACGACTAAATATATAGATTAAATGTCTCTTTAATTCTCTCATTTTTATAAGAGAGAACATAATTTCAAAATTTCAAATATCTTTACAAAGATTGACTTACAAACACAAGAAATGCATGTTACATAACAAAAAAATATACTTGTATGTATAAATATTGTAATAAATTATTCTCTAAGTTATGAATTCCATTGAGCATTATTTAATGTAACTTTGTTACGCTACATTTTCAAATATATTCTAAAAAATATTCAAATAGAGAAATAGAGGAAAATAGGGAGAAATAAAATATTGATTATAAAAACAAAAATTATTAAACAAATCATAAAACAGATAACTCTATATGAACTCTGGAATAAAATAATAAATTATTGCATAATTATGTTGAGCTTTAATTCATTCACTAAGAAAATGCAATGAACGAATGTGACTTTAGGCCGCCATATTGAGCAGTGGAACCTGCGACAATCGATCACCGATTATATAATCGTTGTAATAAATGTTTTTCCCTCATATCTCGAATATAATCTGTATGAAATTTAAATATATTGATTGTCATATGTCATGAACAAATGACACTTTAAATCAAATCGTGAATTGAGGAACGCTTTCGGAACAAGGGGTGGATTGCGAGAGACGGCGAATACATCGACAAGATTTCGCGTTATCGGCAATTTTTCAATGCATTAAATAGCGAAATGCATACTCACTGTTAATAGCGAGAGCGCTCGATACTTTCGCTATTTCATTTTGAAAGAGGCAGGGCTTTACAGCCCTCAAGGCTGCTTTCGATACAGCACTCAACATCATGGCCGGTCGATTAAAACGAGACTGCCACTGCTGAGAGACAGGTTTCGTAGATCTCCCGTCAAGTTCAGTCAAGTTTCGTCGAATAGAGACTGCGTAACTAGTGTTATTGCAGACTCATTGCGCATGTGTGGCGAGCTCGACGTCATTGGCCGCATCCAGCGGACTCAATAGTTGGGCAACATTACTAGATTATCCGATGTAACTCGACGCTGATTGGTCGGACCTGAAAGTAGAAACCAATCACGTTCGATTGTTACTTAGTGATCGAGTCCGCTGAATGCGGCCAATCATAGATCTCGTAGCATAAAACACCCTAGATTTGAACATCGATCAAAGAGAAGAATTCATTTGGACACAACCATTCACATTGACCGATGCTAGAGTAACTAGAACAATTGACCAATCAGAGAGCCCTGTTTTCAACTAGCCAATAGACAATGCGTTTAATTGGACGTCATCCAATGAAGAATGAAGATTAAAATTTGACCAATCAGAAGAGGGAAAGTTTAGTTCCTTTTATTCTGATTGGTCCAGTTCTAATCTTTAATCTTGTGAATGTTTCGCTCTATGTTTCTTTTTTTTAATGGAGTTAGAATTTTACAAACGCGCGCCATTTACTCTGTACTGTTTATTTGTTGTATATTGATCTAATTTATTTATCGTTTGATATTCATAACAAGTATATTAATTAATCAATCATTAAGCTAATTTATTAATCATTTACTATTTGATACGCGTATCATTGGTGTAAAAACTATGCACAAATTCATCGATAAGGTAAATTTTTTTATTTTTTAATAGATATTTTTGTCAACGAAAACATGATAACAACAGTAATGTAAAAATATAAAATAATAAGAGTAATAATGATAAAATATTATAAGTAATATTTTAAAAATAATAAAAGTATATATAAATGATAATAATAATGTAGTATGTATACACACACACATACGCATATACACACACATACATACACAACATAACACATATATATGTATATATATACACACATATTAAAAAAAAGTACAATTAATTACAAAAATAAATTTAATGGTAAGAACAATTAATTGGAAATAATTTTTTTCTTAATAAAGAAAAAATATATTTCAAGTATATTATTAATATTATGTACATATATATTCAGTGCAACAATTTACTGTATATACAATATATATGTATTTCGACTAATCTTGCCCCAGGTAGCAAGATTATGTCTTTAAGACATCTTTAAGATGTCTTTAAGCGTATTTCTGTTTTTTTTTTCATTTTGTACAATTAAAATATCGCATAAAACAGAAAACGCGGTTCTAATTTGCCAATTTTGATTCAATTTTTAATTATTATTATTCGAACCAAGGTTCATTTAAATCTTTATAATTGTCCTTGCCGTGTATGCATTCTTTTATGAGCGCATACTATTTATACGCACGCATGTACGCAATTTTTTGTAGGCTTCAACTGTAATTAATAAACAAAATTATAAACCTGAGAATTTCTCTCTCTCTCTCTCTCTCTTTCTCTCTCGCGCGCGATTACACCTGTAATTCAATTCATTCACTGGATCCACACAATACGCTTCTTAGTCAGAATTGATAACGGAGATCTCAAAGTTTTCTGAGAAAAGCAGCTTTTATTAACGTCAGTATGTATACATAATGTATACGGCCTTATTTACAGGATGAATTGAACAGAGAAAAACGAGGCAAGATGACTCATTCGACGAAAGCGAATGGAACATTCCATCGGTGGATGGAATCATAAAATGTATATATTGCGTAGAACATATTTGTGGATACTGCAATGGGAAGTAAAATAAGAATTTTCTGAACTAAACAGTTTATTTAAAATTTTGTCTTTATTGATGTTTCTTTTATTTTTTATCAGTAATAATAATATAGTAATTATTATAATATAGTAATTATAATAACAATAATAGAGTAATAATAAATTGATACTTGATGACTTACTCTATATATATATATATATATATATATATATATATATATATATATATATTTAATAATACTAACAAAGATTTTATGTATACACAAAAATATAACATGAAATAATGTGTTAATTTAAGTATAGAAATTGTTTAATGCAGGACTAGACCAAAGAGAGAAAGAGAGAGAGAGAGAGAAAATAAGAAAATAAAGAATAAACAACAAAAAGAAAAATTTTTTCAAAAAGGAGAAAAAATAAGGAACAGAGTTAAAAAGAAGAAAAAGAAAGAAGAACAGGTAAATATTCATTGAAATATTAAAAATATACATATATAAATATAAATTAATATCGATATTATATAAATAAATATACATGCCAAATTTTTTTCTATTTATATTAAAAACTTTTATCAGCACCGTTTTACTTTTAAATGCTGTTTATAAATTATTGTAATGATCATAATTTACAATTGGATATAACGAATAAACAAACAAACAACAATTGCGAATTATCATTATTAAAATCAGAGATATTGATTTAATAAACATAAGCAGAATTTTTAATATTTTATATTCGTTCATTAAGGCATTTCAAAATTTATTTTTAGTACTAGAAATCTATAATCTATCTATTATAAACATCGAATATTAATAGTAAATTTCGAAACGTCGATAATAATAGATAATAGATACATCAGAGAAAGTTTGACATGTAGATAATATATATGTCAAAGAAAGCTTATACGTAATGTTATTATGCATTCGTTGTATTGCTTCTGGATCTCATGCTTTATTATCGTGCTATTTTTATCATTCAATTTTTACATTATTATCATTCATATTTTTATATCATCTATTTTTATTTTTTCTTTTTTTATCAAATAATAATAACGATAAAGCTTGCGCATGTGCAGTAATTATTGCATCTGATAATTTTATGTTTATGCATGCAGTGTCTAATCTGAATACAATTGTTCTCGGCACAAATGTGCCGAGAATTCGCATTCGTTGTTTGTTTATTCATCGTACTGATCTTATAATAAAAAGTTACAGCTGCATAATTTAAATTGAAAGTGCAAATCCAAGTTTCTAATTTAAGCCGTCTATTTGGATCGATAACACTTTGAAATCATGACGATTGGACGCGCTTTGATTAATTAAGGGTTCGAAGGGTAGTTATAAATAATACAGTGAAAAGAACACATTCACGCGTGGACATAATCCACGAAAACTCCGATAACAAAAATCGATTCTTAAGTATTCCTTTTGATATACATGTAAACAGAATATCCTTCGATTAATATAGATTTTTACATCTCTCTAAAAATTTATATTATACATCGATAATTAAAATTTGGCTTTAAATAATTTTAAAATAATTTTAAATATTACTCCGGTAAAATTTTTCATGATATCGTTAAAAAGATATTTGCTATCCGTTACGTAATTGTTGAATTTTTCTATTCTGTACTATTTTCATTTCGTGTTTTATTCAATTTACACCTAAACATATAGACATTATGGAAAAATTCTGGGCACTTAAAAATGTATGCAAAATATAATCGATTTTTTACTAATGTGAACTTATAAATCATTTCTTCTAGCGTTTGAATCGGCAAATCTGCACATCTTTATATATATTTTTGATACAAAGCAATTACTTGGCAACAAATACCAGAAGTACGGCCAATAAGGTGGCAAGGGCGAATCTGACGGATTCGGCACTGGCGGTAAAATCCGGCCATTCCGGCGCCGTTCCATTCTCGTAATATTGATAACTCTTGACTCCTAAATGTGTTCGAATCAAACGATAGTTGGGTACACTGATATTGACACGATTGTTCAAAAAGTTTTGTAACATGTTAGTGACACACCAAAAGTTACCGTCTTCGTCGAACGTGAAGCTATCGGGCCACTGCGTCAACACATGATCGCGCGATATAATTCGTCGACCGACAGCAAAGGAAGATTTTTTGGTATCCCACATAACGATAGCGTCGTCAGCTAATAAGCCGAAATAAAGCACGCCAGTAGCCGACATTGCCATACCATCGGTCTGCGATTCCTTCCGCCCGAGTTCCTTCACGAACTGATCAATGTTCGTCACGTTGTCTCTCGCAGCGGATACCGGGATTGAGTACAAATGAAACGAAGATAATGGCGAGTAGTAAATCTGCCTGAAACAGATTTCCATTCGTTAAAATCTCTTGCATAAATTTGAAATTTACTTATTAAAAATACTGCGGAGAAAAAATTTCTTAATATAAATAAAATTAGGGCTGTACTCGCGAGATATATAATAGAAATATTTATACTCGTTTGACTTATAATCCGCACCTTCTTAATAGCTCATCAAAGATATATTTTTCATTCATTCATCATTCTTTTATAAATCGAAAGTTGCTCTTGTTACTCCCAGTGTTATTTGGAATCAATAAAACGTCAAAGACGTTTGATCTTTTTGAAATACTCTTTTACTTTCAGAAAATTATTTTTTTACACATATTAATACAAATAATAATAAAAATATTTATAGTTACTGCTTTGAAAATATTTTTTTAAGTATGAGTACAATAGTAAAAAAATAAAAACAATACAATAGAAATAGCATTGAATATTTAGCATTGATTATTTAAAAATATACATACGATAAGATACATATGAAGATAATATGTTTTAAACATTAAAAATCTAGCTAGCCATTTTTGAGCTTGTGAGATAAATCGAAGGTTAATAAATAGAATGATACAGCATGATGAATATGTAAATCCAATCGCAAAATTTATACAGTAATACACAATAACATAATTTTATTTGCAATTACTTGCATTGTGCTATAAAAATTTTACTATCGCAAAAAATGTTACGTATCGTAATGCATTTCTATTAATAAAATATTTGATATTAATATTTTTTTTATTATAGCAATCAAGATGTTATATCTTGCATGTTAAAACTATCCAGGACACTGATATAAATGTTTCTTTTAGACATCACTCAAAGGGGATCATTTCTCGAAATTTTTCGCACAGGTTTAGAAACACCCTGTATTATATTCAATTCTCATGTGATCCCTTGCGTAAGAAAAAAAAATTTTAATTTTTTTTAAAATACCTGTTGGACTCGCTTGCAGGTGAGAGCGCTATGCCGTCCACGTTCACCGGGTTGATCACACGCGTTTTCGCTACCATAAACCCGACCGCCTCTTTCTCCGCCTTCATGGAGTCGTGCCGAATCTTCCAAGAGGTATTATTCTTCACGGAATACACGATGATGCCAGGATCGTCGAGACCATTGTCAGTAATGTATGCCATGCCACCGTTCTCGTGATCAAGGACAATATCGTTGAGATATGTCACACCGCGGCGAGCTACGTAATCAGGGAATTCGTAAGTGCGTATTATTTTGCCGTTGTCTTCGAGATCAAGGATGACTAGGCGAGCCGGACAATCTCTTTTATTTTCCATCCGCAGAGCTGTAGATCGACCGGTATCTAGCACCCACATGCGACCTTTAGGATCGATTTCTATGCTGTGGACTAATTGAAAAGCCGAGCAGTCGCCCAGCTTCTGCATATCCCAGGTGGGAAAGGGGTCCAGAAAGGGCGCCGTTTCATTATTGTTCACCGGTTTTGCCGACGTGACCCCCAATGTCACTGGCACCCCGTCCTTCCATCGTGGTATTGTCAGGTACATCTTATCCTTCCAGAACTTCACGGTGGTGATGAAGTTGTTCATTGGTATGTAATCGCCACGCAATAGAGCATATTTTCGTACTTCCTCTGACGGCCACTTAAAGTCAATCGACTTCCACTCGAAGATTACTTGGAATTGTTCATGACACAATACTACGACAAGTGAAAGAGTCAACAGTAGTAATCGTTGCATTTTATCGTTGGAATCAATTCGATGTTTTACTGCACACGTAGTATTATGTTTTACGGGTGCTGTCTTTCCACTCTTTTTTTACGAATCCAATGTATATATGCCGGAGAATTATTTAACCCTGTTTTTAAGAATTAAATATAAAATTCACAATTAATGTACGTGATATATAGAGAAATTTCAGTGAAGCGTTTATGTAAAATGTATTAAAAGATCCATTTAAAGCAAAAAAGATTGGAAATGCTTCCCCTTCGAAATGGATGTTAATTATCAAAATTATTTATTATATAAAAAACAAACAATAATTTAAAAGTTCTCATAAGCACATGCGCGTATGAAGTATATACAGTAATATGGTATATATATTTTTTCATACAATAAACTTAATATAAAATCACATTGAGAGATTTATATTTGTATAAATCTTTCATACATCTTATGTATTCTTTGTTGTATATGTACTTTTTATAAAAAAAGATTCCATTGTAACATATATATAATTTGCAAATTCATGTCAATATTTCAGGAGTTATGTGTTTAGAGAAAAAAATATACATATATAAATTTGTAAATTTTATCATTGATAACTCAGGAATTATATGTAAAATCCATTTTTATACACCATTTTTCACTTTTTAATGTTTAAATATAAAATAGATATATAATTTTATAAGAGAAAAAATAATCCCGTTTAAATATCAATTATCGATTTATAATATTTATTTATTTATTATCAATTAATGTTTTAAATTGTCTTTTTTTCGATTTTTTCTATGGACCTATAAAAAAATCGTAAAGTTGCGGAATATAAGTCGCAAAGTGCGTGAAATCTCGGAAGAAGTCGTAACTCCGTGATAGCTTAGTTCTTGATGAAAATGTTATTTTCGTATGTGTAGATATATATATAAGCGCACGGCGAGGTGCTACATTTGTATACCAAGTGCAACGTTAAATGGTCACGCAACGACGATCACAATTTGACTGACGAGAGACGCCTTCGTACTTCGCCAACATCGTCGGTTAGGGAGGCGATCTCCCACTCATTCGTTTGGTGTGTGTATTTACACTAGCGGTCAGAGAGATGAGGGGAAGACGTCACGCATGTAACACTGACATAAGCCTACGTAGGTAGCAAAGGACGCAGAAATGCAAAGATTGCTGCATTTTCTGCTTGATCGCGCTACGAATTGGTCCAATAATGTAACCGAAAATAGCCAGCCCCCCTTAACTAATTCTTTACAGATAAATAATTATAAAATATAGGAGCAAATTAATAAACAATTGGAAAATAATTGGCAATTAAAATTTATAATTGTTAAATTATTCATGTGCATTTTATTTCATTTTTTTTATTTTTAATAATTTCTTAACTTTTATCTTTGAAGAAAAAATTGTTTTTGTGCGAATTTAATTTTGTATAATAAATCTGTTTATTGCTATCTAAAACTGTCATATATTTTGTATTATTACCATCAAAAATATATTATTATGATAAAAGCAATTTATTTCTTAAATAAAAATGATTACTTATTAATAATTCTTTCTGATAAATAATACTTTTAAGAAATAATCACAAAATATATATAAGAAAATAATTAAAAACGTAACTAACTGACATTTATGATAATTTATAACTGGATGTGGTTTGTTTACGTGCGTTTCATTTTCTTTCATTTTTAATAATTTCAATAATTCTCTAACTTATCTTCAAAGAAAAAAAAAAGGAAATTGTATATTTTTTTAAATAAATGCTAATATAATTTATATTCTTAAAATTTAGCATTAACATCAAATTATAAGTATATTTCATACAACAAAAATATCAAATATACAATGAGTTCATGGTTACTCTCCGCTCATGTCTCTGAGAGTGAGGATGACTTATCCCACTTATTTGTCTTTGAGGTGTAGGAAAACCTTGAAAGTAATACGTTTATAGTAGATATTTGATGTAAAAGAATTGCCTTGAGTTCCATGAACGTGATTCTCATGCGAATTTTGTCATGTATATGATACATATTAATGTACATACAATCGTCATTAGTGGATGCTGTATATCGTAGGTATTTTTGAGAATTACATCAACGGGATGCAATGTTATTGCAGCGTCGAACAACAGGCTATTACGCAATGATACTATGTGCCTTCTTCCCTCCTCACCACGGTCTGCTTCCCGCGACCGACATGGATCAGGCATACACATAATGCATCGTATGTTGACACGACGACTCTTCTGCATTATGCTTCATCGTTGCAATCTTGTATCAAGATCGAGAAAATATTCGCAAGAGTTAATGTTGAAATGGAGATTTAAATGAATAGATTTTTCCATGCCCATATACATGGAATTAAATATAATCTTAAGTAAATTTAATGAAAGAGAGAATTTTCTTGTGTTTGATTTTGGAAGATAGAATTTTGCAAGAGAGATCTTTTTTCTAAGATTTAGTATATAATATCTTGTAAAATAAGCAAAATAAAAAAATTTCCTTGCTTCTACGAAAGCTATCCCGTAAAATGTACATAAGATAGATATAGAATATGGAATATAAGCGGGATATGCAAATCTTTAGCATAACTTTTATAAATTGAAAGGGATACATTTTTTTCAATAAATCAATATTTTCTCTCTAAAGTCTTCTGGAGATAGGAGATTTATATGCGAAAATATTCCAATTAATATTTTTTTTTTTTTTTAGTTTAAGTAACCGACATTTATTTTAACTATATTGGTTTACTTTTTTTAATAATATTGAACTCAAAAAAATATTTATTTAGAATTATGAAATTAAATATAATGGATCTAATATCATAATAAATTTTATATTTTATAATGATTTATTATAATTTAATAAAATTTAATAAAGTTAATATCTGAGAATTTTTTTTATTAGCGTTCCGCATTTGAATCTGCAATTCCGATAATGCTATTTACGGCAGAGATCAAAATGATCGAAGGTGCATAAAATATTCAATACTTATTGTTAGACGTTTTCAATAATAAATTGTTAAAGAATACGGCTCTATGTATTTAACAACATGATAATTATGAAACGAGCGATAAGAGCCTAAAAACGCGGATGGTATTGCGTAAATTTTTTTTAACAATTAATGTTTGAAAAAAAAAAAAAAAAATTACGCAATACCATCCGCGTTTTCAATAATGTTGAGAAGGAATCTAAAAAAAATATATTTAAATATACTTAATAAATATATACTTTATAAAATTGGATTGATTTTAATGTTTTTACGCTCTCTATATGTATCTTATATTATTATTCTGTATATTAAAAATTTTATAAATTAGGAAGATATTAAGTTCTTGTTGTTATTTCAGACTTTTAATGCAATTCTTTCTATGATGATGCTCTAATATAACAAACATCCATTAAACTCGATAAAAGTCAGCATTAGTCTTATTCCGAACCCATTTAATCTCGATCAATCGCAATTTCCGGCTTTGATCGGTTTCTATCCTGTATACACATATCCCTTTATCACATATATGCATACATATACAATGTATATTTCTCGTTGTCGTTGCTGTCCCTAATTCATTGGAGCTATTAGATGTTGCTCTTCGAATGGGGATGCTATTTCGAGCGACCTCGGGCACATGTCGATTTTACTAGGCCAGTGGGAAACGAAAGTGGAGCTTTTGCCACATTTATGTTCGTTTAAATCAGACTTATTCTACCGATGATAGCATTTCTGTTCCATTCTAAACATAAAAAAAATGCCATACCTTAACAATTATATTTTAATCAATTATACCTTAACAGTTTTTTATAAAAATTTAACGTTTAAAAACAAAATATAAATTAATGGCATAAAAAATTACTAAAATTACAAAAGAATACAAGTATGTTTAAAACTTTAGAAAAATAACAATAGAAAGATTTTTCGCTTTTTATTAGCATTCACAAGCTACAAGAAAAAAAACACAAGGACATGGCATTCAGTGTTTAACAAGTTTTTACAAACAGTATCTTTTTCAAGAAAATTTTTCTTAATTTTTTATCTACGTAACAATAAATAAAATGAATTTAATTTACAGAATCTCAATTACATGGAATGAATAAAACTGCTTTTGAATTCTTTCAGTTTCGTTCGTGCTCTTCATTCAATTTCTTAATTTTCTGCGAACGTTCTCGGGCGATATGCTCCAAGCTATGATAAAATTCCGAGCCTTTGGCAAAAAGACGCTTGAAATCACGACGATGCAAGCGAAGTAGCTCGCACACTTCCAGAGCGATAACAGATTCCGCTCTACGCCGATCCGGATGGACCATACCAGCTTCGCCAAAATGATCACCATCGTGTAAGTGACATATCTTAAAAACATTTTATTAATTTTAATTGTAATTTTAAGCGAAACAAAGGTTCATTTTTTTCACGTAAACAGGTGCAATCTCTTACTTCTCTTCCTGAGAATGTGATTAATACAACAGCTCCGCTGGCTATAAAATACATACAATCACTATCAGTGCTAGCTTTATAAATTATATCTCCTGCTAGATATATCACCGGTTTCATTAAATCTACGACAAACAGATAAAATTTTCAATTTTTAAAACAAATAATAGACCAATAATAAGTAGATTAATGATGAATAGTAGAAAACGAATATTACATTAATGCATATGACAATAATATATAATTATATAAATATCGATTATTAATATTGTTTTATTTTTAATTATTATTTATATTTATTATCTATTTTTTTAATAAAATATATTTTTTTAATAAAATAATATTTTTTTAATATAAGAAGAAGAAATAATTACTTATTAAATCACCAAGAACATTGCGGGGCAAATTATGAAGAATCATGGTATCTATTAAACCTTGGCTGCTATGAAATAAAATTTCTTGATTTAAATGACCTAGAATAAATGAAATAAAAAGTATATATGATATTGAAAATATTGAAGGAAATGTAAGCTGTATAAATAGACTGTAAACTTTCCTTGCATAAAGATAATGTTAATGGAGAGTAGAGTCAGATGTATGCGTGTGTGCGTTTTTCTTATTGTTAAATTATTTATTAAATAAAGAAGACATTTACCTCTCTATTGTCTTTTCTTAACATTCATGTCATCAATGCGAGAGTGCGCAGTCTATTTATATAATTATATGAAAAATATACTTTTATAATTATATTTCAATTCCTTTCTTAGAATTTTAATAAAATTTTATTGCTTTTAACTAACTTGAAAGAGTGTCAAAAATAACATTTTCTTTGAAGAAATTGCCTTGATAACGATACTCATAGTAAAAGATAAGCTTATCTTGTAAATATAATGGAAGTTTTTTTTGACGAATATATTCCTTTACTTGATGCATGATTCGTTGATATTTAAGTTCAGGCTCTGCTAATGACTCCAAAAATTGCAGGATTGTTACTGTGATCATAAGAGCATATTGTAAGAAATTATTATTAAATCATTAAACATTATTATTATATCATTAATAAATTATTAAATTATTCTTTTTAATTAACAAAACTTGATATAAAATAGTGACAAACAAATACCAATCAAATAAATTGTATAGCCTTTCCCGAACAGCAAAAGTGTGCATCGTATTACTTTATCACAAATTCCAAAACTGTCGAATTCCATGAAACTCGAGCCAATTAAATTACTTACTCCAATATGTACAAATATTAAATACACTTTCCAATGTGGTTTATTATAAAGTTCTGTGACTATATAATACACATCGGAATTCTAAAATTATCGTGTTATATAAGTATAAAAAATATTTTAATATAACAATTTATATAAACTGTTTATCGAAAAAAAAGAAAACGATTACAATATATGTATAAGTACTGAATATACTTTTATCGGTTTTTCTTGTATATGCATAACGATGTAAGGAAAGACGAAACTTATACAGCTACTCCAGTGGAATATCAATAATGTTAAGATAACAAGCCATATTGCTGTCTCTCGAGTTTGAGAAATACCAAAAATTTTCTATTTAAAAACGATTCAAATTTATTTACTTTGCTTACAAAATTCAAATCGGCAATTTGAGAATATTGTTATGTATACGTGATATAAAAGTATGAATTACTGCATTGATGTGTTGAACATTGCGTCGTACTGTAGGTATGCGAATTATTTTCAAAATAGGTAGAAATTCAACAATAAGCAATACAGAATTTGAATCCGGACCAGGTGGTAAGATACGTGTTGGATAGAACCACATATATGGGAGTGTACTGATAAAATCAATGAAAAAATATCCTTTCACGTAATGTCTATAATAAATATGTACAATTTTCATTTATACTGAAATTTTTGAAGGAAGCGGAGTCGAGCGATTTTTGGTAAGATTAATTTATACGTAATCACACATGAATCATCGGAATCACCGTGCGATTAAAGCAGTATCAAGAAGAATCTCATTTCTATCCGAGGACACATATCCAGTAATAAAATTAAGAAATATATCGATGATGCAAATGACGTAACTTGGATACACAATATTCCAATATTCAGGGTCACTACTTCTTCCAATTCTGTAGAAGCATACAATATGCGGGACCATCACGAAGATATACAGAAATGTAATAGTCATTATCGCATCCCAGTAGAATCTGTGATAATTTTTCTTTTACTGCACATATATTTACACAAAAATCTATTTCCCTTAATTATTATACCTTAACATACTACAAGGATGAATTATCCATTGATTAGGTGATCTTGAGTGTCTTCTTTTTTCGAAGGCAACAGCTGCCTGACTGCGAAAGATTAATCGTGTCAAGGGATGCTGAGCGGAGACAAGAACGAGCTTTTGAAGATTCCGCTTCCAACGACTGTAGAATTTCGCGTTCGGAGGTAATTTAGGCAAATTGCTGCCAGACGTTCTAGGCAAGTCGCATATATGTGTGCGTAGGCTTGCTCGCTTTTTCGAAATGTTCGAGTCTATCGCCATGTTGACACATGTCAACGATTGTTGAACGCAAAATATGGCGATTGGCAATCGCTTTGGGACAAATTCAAGTTTTAAATAAATATTACCATAGGAACAAGTAGCAAATGCTTTTAAATCTAACTAAATATTTTTTTTACGTTTCAGGAAAAAAGATACTTTTGCGTCAAATCGCTAACATGGAAAAAAAGCTCTCCGATGAATCAATTCATCTTCGTAAATGCATTTCTAAATTTTGTATCGGTAAATTTACTGCTAATTATGTGTGTGAAAATTAATAATTTTTTCAATCTTATAAAATATATAAATTATATATAAAATATATAAATATATATAATATATATAAAATATATAAATTATATATAAAATATATAAATTATATTATTTGTAATACATATATATATAATTTTTTTCGAAATTATATTTATGCTCTTTTGTACTCACAGATGATTCGAATCGGATGATTTTATGCTTCAAAGAAGAACTTATCGTCGCTTTAAAGGGTGATTCGATGAATGATATCGAGCAAATAGGTAGATTTTGTATTCAAGTAGAACCGATTGGTCCTCAGGATCGCGAATTTCTGGTATATGTGTATTCCTTGATAACTATTGATGGTTGTTTAAATGAAACAAGACTCATCAGCTCGATGATGGACAATCTGCAATGCCTGGAAGAAAAACATACCGAGTATAATTCATGATTACAACACGATTTACTAAAATACAAAAGATAGTCCAGAAATAATGGCAATGTTCATATTATTTCGATGAATGCTATTTTAAATAATACCATTAACAATAATATTAACTCAACGTTATTCGATGATATGAATGCAAATGGCGAACTGATAACAATGAATTGTTATCAGTTTGCCATTTGCATTCATGTACATCTAAGAATTTTCTTAACAAAAACATTTTTTCTTTAACTTATCAAATTGGAATTCCTATTTTTTAATAAAAAATATATATTTTAAAGATATTTAAAATTTTATTATATTAAAAATATTATGCAATGTGGCGGAGATAAGGCTATTGATCCACACTACATATAGCAGTAAATAATTTAAAAAAATATTTATCGATTGTAATAAAATTATGAACTAATTTCAAAAAATATTTCAATGCCAAAGAAACATATTTTAAGTAAAACAATTTTGCCATTACGATTATTATTTGATTTTAGTTTCAATCCGATTATTTTTTAGCCATACCATTATTTATGGATTCCGTTTCGTAAATTCAATATATGTAGAATTTTTAATAAATTTTTAATAAAATTTTGTCGCAAAAGAGCATATATCTTTTCTTTTCGTATTAGGTTTCTTTACAAGAAAATTGGTCTAATGGTCTGTGAAAAGTCATTGTTTATAGGTCTTGAAGAGGATACATATCACGTCGAGATTACGTACTTTTGTCCTTATTGTTTATCGACATTAACAGAGAACAAAGACTTGAAACTTTGTCAATATGAAAGTTTAATTAATGAAGGTTCCAATATATTACTAATGCGATATCTCTCAATAACAAATTTCGAAGGCACTTTATATTTTCAGAATATTACAATAAATGGGAGCGTAACTACTAGCGAATATGTAAGATTGATTATATATCTTTGACAAAACTTTTTTAAATATATACCATTTAGAAAATCATGATTGCACGTAGATAAACTTCGTATGAATCTAAAATTAAGAATTGAAACTAATCTGACAATTAAGCTTATTTAATTGTTTATAATATAATAATATTAAAATCTATACTTTATTGATCAACTCCGGATTAGAAAATTTGATAAAAGAAAATATTTCCTAATAAATCTAAGACAGTATAATATATTAAATAGAGAAAATAAAATTACTATTAAATAATATATTATCAATGCAGATTTGTACCGCATTACAAAATATGGAGTTGCATGGAAATCATCAGGAAATATATACTATTGAACGAAGAATTTATAAAAAAGATAGCTTTACAGAACGAGTCAAAATTTATTTGACATCACGAGGAAGAATACTTGTGTACGATTGGTTGGATACACCTTACAGAGCACAAAAAAATATATCCATAATGGACAATATAAACAAGAATATAAACGTGCAAATTTCATTCAACTCAAAAGAGTCTTCGATGCAAAATATCGAAATGCTTTCCAAATATTTGGATATGAAAGTAATTCTTTTATTTTTTTAAATCAATGCTTTTTTATATTATATTAATAAATAAAATTAATATATTAGAATTATATATAATTATAATTATTATAATTATATTTATGTGTTATTTCTTTTTACTATTTAAGAATGCATTGCTAATAAACTGCACATTTAATTGCATAATTGAATACTGCTTTCAAATGTAGAAAATGTTTAATTAAAACTATACACGTATAAAGATATATGCATACAAATTTTAAAATAAGTTTTTATATTAATTTCTCCCTTTTTTCTCTTTTTTTCCAGGCTTACAATATAGCTCAATACACAGAATATCTGATAGATCATCCTGAAATAAAACAATTAATTGCAGATTACATTCAGATTCTTCTCATTGGTAATAACTCATTCATTGAATAAATTTTAATAATTTACTTTTTTTTACTCTCTTTAATAATTTACTCCTTTTTTGTATTATACACACTTAATTGTTTATTATCGATCTTTGATTAGTGAAACCTATCGACGTTATGGACTTCACGATACAACATTTCAAAGCGTTTGCCAGAGAATTAAGAATCTAGAATATTATTAATGAGTTATCAAAATAATTTGAAACAAATTCGCATTTATTGAGAGACTAATTTAAAATTGTCCACAACTATTATGGAATCTATATCAAATGAACAATTGAATAAACTATGATTTAAATAAAGTAAATTCATAAGAAATATTAAGGAAGTCTCTATCCTGTAATGAAATAATAAAAATATTTTTTTCAAAATCTATAAAATTTGATTGCATGAATTGAGAAAAATTTTTATTATAGATTTTCATTCAAGACTATTATTTCTCAATTAGAACCTGTCTGTTTCATAAGTAACTTCAACTTATTTATTATATAAAAATTTTTTATACATTAGTGCAAAACATAATTTTGGTCACACAATGAAATATGACACTATACTTCACTTTGAACTTTGGATATTGCACATGTCACATAATATAGTGCTATTACTTTTATCATTTTCTGCCAAGTGTCATCTCCTGCGAGTTGCATATCACACAATTTTCCTATAAAAAAAGAAGCATTATGATACACCAACAATAGAATAATATAAATAAATATATAAAAAAAACATATTATACATACAACAAATTCAAAGTTAGGTAGACAATCCTCGTGAAAACAATGCTTACAATAAAATACAACTATATTCCGTAGCTCTAAAAGAAAAGATTAAAAAATGAATTATATATAATTGTATAATTTATATTATAATTAGCATTGCAACACTTATAAATACCTCTTACAATTATCTTCCTATGGCAAGCTCCACACATTTGATCATCTAAAACAAAAAGAAAAGAAAAATGATAATTTTATTTTATGTAATAAACAGTTTACTAATCTTAATTAAATTGTTACATATTAAATGTATTAATTTCTAATACATCTAATGCAATCTATTAAAATGTTAAGATGTTTAATCACATACACAATTCTTTATTCAAAGCGGTTAAGATTTCTAAAAATAGATATATAATTTTTGTTTTTTGAGATCAATATTTTTATAAAGTCATATATATTACCATCGACAAATATGCCTTTTTGCTGACAACGAACAAGTCGTTCATGGAGATTGAAATAATCATTAGATAGTATCTTTTTGCAACCTTCTTGAACAGATACTTGCAGATTATAATCGCACATCATTTTGACTAATGCTTTCTTCAGCCCTGGAATTTCCAAAGTAGGTTCTATCCTTTGTACCATAAGTCGGGGATCAACGTAGGTGCCAATCTTTTGAAGAAGAAATGTAATTGCCGCTAAAATCCGTGAAATTATTTCTTGTAATGAAAATTATTTTATCTGAAGATCCATAATATGTTAAAGTAGATTCTTTTTTGGAATCTTCGCATGTACATACGCACGTATATGTATATATATACATTTTAAAAATAACAATATGATTCGTACTAGGTTTGTCGAGCGAGTAATTAACTAGATCGTTCCATAATTCTTCGTCATCGTGTTCTTGACAAAATGCAATCGCACTCTCCATATCGTCGAGTTCTCTCGTCATGAGCGCCAAAGCTTCAGAAGTGTTTCCTATCCTGCCCAACAAATACACCATTTCCGGATAAAATTGACGCTGGCTACAGATATCTAAAGCTTGTTGTATTGGATAATTATCAGAGCGACGTAGAAGCGGCAATAACTTGTCTCTTGAATAATCAGCATATAGTCGCACTAGTAAGCCATGATATTTGCCCTTAGAGTCTTTAGTATCTCTCTTGTCTAAGGCATCTAAATACTAAAAAGAAATAATTATATAATTATTTAAAAGCGCTAAAAATTTCTATATCTATTTTAATAAAAAAAATTCAAAATATACAAAAGAATTTATAATAGATTGATTACAATATGTTAAATATGTTTTTTGAAATTATATATTTCTCATATGAATAATATAAATTATTATGTCATTACCAAGTATAAATAACGATGATTATGTTGTAATTTCTGTACAATGACATCAGATGCTACTCTATCTTTTTCCAAAAAAAATTGTATGGCACGTTCAGTGTCTAGATCCATTAGACCTTCGATCATATCATAAACAGAATTATACAACTGATACTTCTGAATCAGCTGAAAGACGTCTTTGTGTCGCAGTTTCAAGTACATGGCGAGTGCTTTATCGTATTTTCCATCATGGATGTATAAAATAGCTAATGCTTCCAATAATACATTCTGTCGTTGATTGTGGACTAGTAAATGCTCCAATACGCCATTAACTACCGCTGCCACTGTGTATAAGGTTGGAGACCATTCTTTGACCAACTGCAAGAAACCGTCGGGATCCATCTTTAAATACTCATATAGCACCATCTCATACACTAGTGGATCAAGGGTGACATCGCCTCGAGGCAAATAAGATGAAATAGAGCGTAACTGGTGCAGTCTGGCGAATTTATAAACCTGTCTCGGAAAAATTTAAATCATACTAAAGCTACTAAAGCTGCTAAAGCGAAAAAATTTCGCAGATACAAGTACAAATTATTATTTGCAACACGGATTATTCTATTATGTGATATTAAATAAAATTCTCACCTCTTCTTCCCACAACTTTTTATTTCTTCCTAGAATTTTCAGGCAAAGTTTTCCAGCCTCATCATATTTCTCATATGCTAACAAGTGATCCAAATAAATTCGTCCCACGTCTAATACAGTATGCCTTTTGCAATCTTTGCCATTGTTCGTTGTTACTGCTTCTAAAGCTTGCTCAAATTTCCCGTGGCTCAATAACCATTCGATTCTGTCATCTGTATCGTATAAACTAGCTACCACGATATCTTTTGGACTTACGATAAAAAACCTATAAAAAAATTTTCGCATGAGAAACAAAAATAACATAAAGATAAAACGTAATCAATTGAAAAAAGATTTCAAAATTTCTAAAAATAAGAAAATATATTTATATTCAAAACTATTTTTTTCTCATTTTAAATATCAATATAAAAGTTTATAATTAATTGTATTGACATTTTCTCTATTAAAAATATATATATTATTCTCTGCTAAAAAATTAATGTTTCATATGCTTAAAAATTATTATTAAGTGAATATTATTCAAAAACAAATTAATATAATTATATTTGATTAATACATAATTTTAAAACTGAAAGAAAGATTAATAAATGGGTTATAGCTGATAGTATATATGTGTTTATTAAATAGAAAAAATTTTTACACATATTAAATCCAAAGATTTTAATCTTAGAAAGAGAGAAAGACAGAAAAGAAGAGAAAAGATTTGGGATTTAGTATAAAAAAAAAGTTTTTTAACATCTTTACTTAATCGAATTTTACTAAAAAAAATTATCTCGCAAATTAAATATCAAAACTATAATTAAAAGTAAATAATAAATCCTCTATTATATACTCTATATGTATTAAGTTAATTTTACCACTTACCTATTTTCCTCCTTTAAACAATCCAAATGATAATCATTGCAGCTGTATTCTTTGTAGCCACGTAGAGTAAGTGAGTTTGCACATAGCACTGAAAAATCCTGATATTTTGGTTCAACCACGTGCAGTGTCGGACGTTGATTTTTTCCATCTTCGTCTAATTCTTTTAAGCATCCCAGCAATACCAATTGATTTTTCAATGGCGCTATACCAGATATATAAAAATCTACTTGAAATGTAGATACTGAAAAAGAATATGCAATTCATTAAATAAATAATTAGTATATTATATTGTATCAAATAATTATCATATATACATATTACCATGTTATATTGATTTTTTAACATTTGAAACAGATTGAAGAACAGGTATTTTATTGATTACCTGGATCTACTACAAATTCAGGCAAATCTCGATTCACCATCTCCTGCATGGTACGTTTTCTGATATGACAAATGCGTACAATGTCCACCCATCCAATTAACAATGTTTTACTGTCTGACCACTGTAAATTGCATCTATAGTGCTCTGGCAATGTACTGTGTAAAATAACATACAAAGATATAGAAAACAAGGATATGTAACACATATTACAAAAGAAATTTTGAGTGAATCATTAATTCAAAAATTTAAATGATTTATAATCAATTTGTTTAAGAAAGATACAAGATAAATAGTTTCATCAAAAGCTTTTCAAACAATTTCTAAACCTTTTTTGAGATTTTGCAATATACAAAATATTGTAACTGTTAATTTGTATCAATACTTACTCTGGAGTACGAGACCATTTGATAAGTCCCAATGAACATCTAGCATCGAGATCATAGACTCTCACACCAGTATCAGAGGCCCATGCTACAAAGCGACCAGACCATGCAACGGATTTGACTCCACCTTCCGCTTCACAGAGTACTGTTGGCTTCATCCTGGCCAAAAAAGTCTTTTCATAGAGCACCAACTTGTCATCACCTGAATTGTATAAATATATTTCTTTTATATATAACTAGAAAAATATTATATATAATATTTTAAAGATTAATTCCATTTAATTATAAAAATTATATCCAGTTAAACCTGTAATAAATCTTCTGCCACTGCCACTTTTATAATAATTTGGGTCAATTGCTATGCTTTTAACTAGTCTACCCATGCTCATATTGTGATTATCCTCTGTACTGTATAATCCATAAATGAAAACTTTTCCATCATCACTGCAAGAAGCGATGAAGTCCCCATTATGATCTATGGAGATTTGATTAACTGCCACTGTATGTGCCTGTAGTGTTTTAGACTTTACATTATTACCCTGATGATCTAGAAGATGGATCATTCCCCAATGTGATCCCAAACAGAGAAACTAAGAAAAAAAGATATGACAAATAAGTACAACAAAAAAGTTTTACATTTTTATTCATATTTCTATCTTACTTAAATCTTTAAAATTGATAAAATTAAATATTTTATTTAAATATTTTTAAATTAAAATTCTGTTTATATTCTTAGAAAAATAATTATGTAATTATAATATTTTTATAATGCTTACCTTTGGATGCACAGCAATACAACTAGCTGCATCATTTTGCAGAATATGTTCTAAATCATTGCGTATCCGTATATACTTTAGTCTGGGTTCTACCTCATCCATTTCTGAAGAATCTGAATCTTCTTGATTGTTTTGCTCCTCCTATAAATTTTCGTGACCATTACACACACAATCATTCTATATATATTTTACATGTTTATTTACTATTACTTTAGAAAACGAAAACGAAATTACATATAAATAACAACTTTAATGTCTATAAAATTAATTATAAATAAAAAAGAAATTTAATACGTAGATAATCAAAAGATAATGAAACATATAAATAAAAACATTCAAGAAATGGTGTTTAAGTATTATATATGGAATAAAGAAAAGAATTAATAAATCGCGATGATACTTTACTTTGCTAGATGTGGACTCCATTCTTGTTTTTCTCAAACTTTCTCGACGCAATGTTATTACAGAGTACAATGAGTCAAACAGAATTGTCAAAATTATTTCAAAGTTAAATGAGAGAGAGAAAGAAAGATATAATCACAGATAAGAGATGAGTGGCGATGTGAGCTCAATAATAGAACTCAAGTCAGGTTAAGTAAGCTCCATGATACTAGCATATATATATATATATATATATATATATATATATATATATATATATATATATATATTTCTCACAAAGATGGTAAAGGAAGAATGTGATGCGTTAATAATAAACATAAATAAACATTATTTATAATTCGTAAATATATCAAATTTCATCATAAAATACATTATATGTACATATTTTTGCATTTACGTACTTTAATTTTCATTACGTATGTAAATTTTTTTCCCTCTCTTCCTCTCTACCTCCCGTAAATTTCCTTATCAAACATTAAACATCTGTCAAACTCAATTTCTGTGAAGTCCGTATCAGACAGACCAATCAGAATAAAAGAATTTAAGTTTCTTTTGTCCTGATTGGTTTAATTTTAATTTTCAAATGTCTACATTTTATAGTCGTTCTATGGTCGAGAAGACGCTCTGGAAGCTTTGAAACATTTGATTGACCAACCAGATTAAAAAATTCTTTATTCCTTTTGTTTTGATTAGTCAAACGCATCAAAGCATCTAGAACGTCTTCTCGACCGCAGCCATAGAGGCGCTTTGAATATGAAATGTCCCTAGAAGATTTAAAAACAAGGAACGTTCCATTTAATTACGTTGCGATTGGTTACAGCTAATTATATCGATCTGTACCTAGGGTAATTAGATTGACCAATCAGAGAGTCATATTTTGAATTGGCCAATTAGCGACGTGGTCAATCAGGTGCTACCCAGGCGCTTTGAATACAAAATGTCCCTAGAAGTTCTAGAGACACTAAAGTTCTACCCATGAACGTCTTCTCGACCGCAGCCATAGAGGTGCTTTGAATATAAAATGTCCCTAGAAGATTTAAGAATAAGGAACGTTCCATTTGATCACGTTGCGATTGGTTACAGCTAATTATATCGATCTGTGCCTAGAGTAACTAGATTGACCAATCAGAGAGTCATATTTTGAATTGGCCAATCGGCGACGTGGTCAATCAGGTGCTACCCAGACGCTTTGAAAATAAAATGTCCCTAGAAGTTCTAGAGACACTAAAGTTCTACCCATGTCTTCTCGACCGCAGCCATAGAGGCGCTTTGAATATGAAATGTCCCTAGAAGATTTAGGAATAAGGAACGTTCCATTTGATCACGTTGCGATTGATTACAGCTAATTATATCGATCTGTGCCTAGGGTAATTAGATTGACCAATCAGAGAGTCATATTTTGAATTGGCCAATTGGCAACGTGGTCAATCAGGTGCTACCTAGGCGCTTTGAATACAAAATGTTCCTAGAAGTTCTAGAGACACTAAAGTTCTACCCATGTCTTCTCGACTGCAGCCATAGAGGCGCTTTGAATATGAAATGTCCCTAGAAGATTTAGGAACATGGAACGTCTACCCATGGACGTCAGAAAATCAGGTAGCGCTGAAAATCATTTTTATATTTCCAAGAGAGATTTTTTTTTTGACAACGTATAGAAAAGTGAGGAGATACGTGTATCAATAAATTAGCGTAATAATATATCAAGTAATGTAACAACAGAGTTTAAATACGATTGCATATCGATTTTTGATCATTATACAAATATACATGTACTTTTCGTCATCTCTCCAAAAAAATGCGCAATTGTATTTTAACCTCAATTGTACATAAATTATATATATATATAAAATAGCAAATGAGAAAATAATTACAAGTCATAGCATAAATTTTTTAAATAACGGAATTTCATTTTAGCTGTATAAAATATCATTTATTTAAATGAAATCTAAAAGTGTAAATTTATAAATATATAAATATAATGCTAACTGCTAATATAGATAATATAGAAAAAATTAAATTTAAAAATTTATGATATTGTGTATTTATTTATCTTGGAATTATCAACAGTAAACAAGGAAAATGCAGCGTCTAAGAATTCAAGTTGTTCGTAATATCTTGGGTACCAAGACATATACCACTGTTCCTAAACAAGAGCAAGTGGTATCTGCTACATTTAAAGTTCAGGACCCCAAGGATTTTAATGAACGTGTAAAAAACTCCAAAGTACCTGTCATTGTAGATTTTTTTGCAACGTACGCATTTAGTATTTTAATTATTAAAATACTGCACATTCTTATTTAATTGAAAAATTATAAAAATATAGTAATTTTTAGTTGCAAACACCATTTGTTAAATAAAATAATTATTCATTATAATTAATAAGACTATGAATGACTTATGAAACATTATAATTTCTTGTTTTTGTAATTATTTCTTGTAATTTCAGATGGTGTAATCCATGTCGTATGTTAACTCCGAGAATAGAAACAGTTGTTGCCGAAAAACAAGGAAAAATATTATTAGCTAAAGTTGACATTGATGAAAATACAGATCTTGCTCTTGATTATCATGTAAGTGTTTTTACAATAATCATGTAAAATTAGATATTAATTAAATTTTATTGAATTCAATTTCAAAATCATAAGTTCATAATATGCTTATTCTTTAATTTTAAATAAATCTTATATAAAATTTTAGAATTAATTAAGCATTTTTTTTCATGACTTTTTAACTTTGATGAAATCTATTGTTAAGATTCCTGTATCTTCAATGAAATTGAATTATGAATTATGATTGCAAAAATAAATTATTGTGAAATATATTGAAATAAATTTTTTTTTATGATTACTTGTAGTTAATGATATGAATTGGTAAAATATATTAAAGACTTTTGATTCATCAATTAATAAATAGCAATAAATTTTAACTATGAATAATAACATTTAAAAGAATTTATTTCAATATAATTTGTAAGAAAAAAAATTTATATGATTTTTTGAAGTTGTAATTCAATATGACATCAGTAAAGGACTTAAAAAACAACGCATTGAATTATTTATTCAATTATATATAAATTTTTAGGTAGGATCAGTGCCTGTACTCATTGCTATGAAGGATGGGAAAGTTTTAGAAAGAATAGTTGGTCTTCAAGATACTGATAAACTTAGACAATTTGTTAACAAATATGCAGAGTAATACATCTAAAAATTATGTAAAACACTTTTAAAATGGTTGCAGTTTATTAATTCTTGTACAGATATTTACTATATGTAATATGCTTTGCATTTTACAACCATATTTATAGTGAATTTTCTTTAGTTGTCGAGTAAATAATATATAAATAGATGTATCTTTCAATGTAAATTTAAAAGATTTCGATTAGTAAAATATTATAGATTATAATTTTCAAATATACACATTTATACAATAGATTGTCAAATAAAATTATTAATTAAAAATTAATTTAATTATTTAATCCCATTTTACAAATTGTGCTAAGTAAGTTCTATAAATGTACTGTGCATATAAGTTATATGTGTGCGCATGATTCCACAAACTTAATTTTTAATATCTAAATTAACAAAAGAATTTTGCTAATAATAAAAAAGAATCTTTTCCTTACAAAGAGCTGTCCTTATTATATTTTATCCAGATTTGATATAGATTTAAACTGTTTTTTTAACACTCTTTTATTAATAAAATTTTTTTAGACTTAAAACTATATATCAGATGGTAAAACTTGCAAAAGTTGCCTTGCTCGCTTATAAGCAGTTGACTCTATAATATCGTTTTTGATTTCATCATTTTCTTCAGCTTTTTTTATAACATCCATTCCTTTTTGTACTAATACTTTACGTGCTGTGCCTTTGCAAGCTTCAAAGTATTCAAGAACAAGAGGAAAAATTGTATCAGGAATGGAGTTTTCATCCAACAAATTATCCATTAACCAAATCTGCTTAAGCTTCTCGAATTTCCATTCACTTCTAGAATGTTTCCACTGCAAAAATGCAATAAATTTCGAAAAAGTAAATATATCACTAAACTGTTTGAGATTATTTATACAGACAAGAAAAAATAACCACATTTATCTTATATCTACATAAACATATTGCAAAATATATCTTTTAAGAATTAAAAATTTTAACAAACGATTCTACAACTTACCATAGATATATAATTCAAGACCTTCTGCATGGTATTTATTCTACTACTTTCCTTTTTTTGATTAGCTGCTTGGATAGCTCTTTCTCTTTTCAACTGCCTTTTCGATGGCTTTTTTGGAATCTTTGCATTTTCATTAGTATCTTCTTTTTTCAGGGTAATCGTATCAGCAGGAACATTGCTAATAAAAAAAGTTATTTTATAAAATTTGTCAATCATTATCAATTACATATTTTTGTATTGCTATTTCTTATTCTATATGGAAAACTCTAAAAATTTATAATTTAATATATTTGTTACATTAAAATATTTTTTGTAATAAGAAATAATTTTAAAAAATAATTTTTTGATATATATGTATACACAGTGACATAAAATTTTGAAATTGTGATATAAAATTTTGAAACTTTTTACCTAACTTGTTTCAGTTGTTTTATTGAACCACCCTCAATTTCTTGCACTGTGGATTTTCTCTTTCTCTTTTTTATTTGTTTTTTTTGCATAACATTCTCCTGAAATACTTTGTCATCATCTATGAAAAATTATTATATAGTATTATTACATGTTACATATAAATATTATTTTTAAAACAAATGATTAAATAGTACATTTTATTCATGATAAAAATAAAAAATAGTTATTAACACATTTTAAGAAATATTATTATATATTTAAATAGTATTTTATTACTTGCTTATAGATCCAAAACACTCTATTTTAATTTATTATATATAAAACTCACATATTATTAGGATAACCTAAATATTCTTATATTCCTCAAAACATAATACAATAATTTTTTTCAAACATTATTAATATTTTCACAAGCAAAATGAATTTAAATAAATAAGTTAGGTCGCTAAAAACTTACCGTCAATCTCTTCCTTTTTTATATTATATTTTATCTTTGTGTCCATATTTTATAGTAAATTAATATTATAAATTGAGATCAAGTTAGGTAAAGTTAGGTTAGATAAGATATTCACAAACAGCTGACGAGATCAAAGTGTTGTTAAAGAAAAAGAAATAAATTGACTGCATTGAAAATTATTGGTGCTGTATTTCGTTTCTTCCAATTGATAAGAAAGACATATGATTTCTTATTTATTATTAATACTTAATTACTTTTTTATTTAATTAGAAATATTTGTTTGTACAATACAATGTGTTAAGATATTCAGGTAATTATCTGTAGAAGAGAGTACCCGAATATAAAATGATAAACAATTTGTTAATTTTTATCCCACAAGAATTGTGTATCAAACAATCTGGATATATGTTTGGTAAAGTGATACATGATAAACACAGTGATTTGAAAAAATTTTATATTATTAATTTATCTAAGATAGGCTTTTCAGAATTAACTAAATGTATGTTAGACACTATCGGGTATTGCTCTAATATGAACGATGAAATCAAAGAATTTTTAGACTATAAGCATTCAGACTGGATACAAATTACAACAAAGTGTTCTGAGAATAGACAGGATGAATATCATTTGGCAAATATTGTTCTCGATAATAAAAGAATAGATTTATCGACGATACGTGCAACAATTATTTTGTATAATCACAGAGCATTACAGGAAACAGAATTGTTTGAGAGCAGAGCTGTATCAGGCGATCATTTTTATGAACTAATGAAGCTAATACAAAACATGAAAGATGAACTGAAGAGCAAATCTAAATTTGTTTGCATCTGGGAAACTCTGTTGACTTATCCCATATTCTTTCTTTTATATCCTGTTTTATGGCTGTCCACGATAACAAAAAAATTATTGCCAGTTTTAAAGTACTCTTCTCTTGGCTTGCATGTCTATAACTGGTTGGAAAATATTAAGTGGATGCTAATCACAATTTTACACGACAAAAATTTTAAGCTTAAAACCGCAAATTATGCATCGGCAATTGTGGTAGATATAGCACTAGGAATCTTTGTGTTACGATTATTGCAATATTATATTGAAGATCAACCATCACAGTTGCTTCTAGACAATGCAGAGGTAAATTTGAAAAAGTACCTTAAAGATATGTTTAAAGATGTACACCACAATAAAATAATTTATATTATTAAAAATAAAATTGAGTTAAATATTTTGAATTTTACTTCCATTTCTCTCTCTTTATCACACAATTTTAATTAAAATTTTTCTTTAACACAGAAAGTTGTGGAGACTTTAAAGGATCTAATTAATTGGTTGATGGGTGTACCAGCTGGCTTGAAACTTAATCATGCTCTAAATAATAGTATGGGAAAGTTTTTCTTGTATCACATACAGCTCTGGTGGACCTTTCTGACATTTTTAAAGCCATTTCTAGATTTTGCATTCAAAATATTGCTATTATTTGGAAGATTGGGTGTCACATTTCAAATATCTATTATTGCAGACCTTCTAGCTCTCGCTAGTTTTCATACATACTGTATCTATGTTTATGCAGCAAGGTGTATATACTTTTTTAAATATTTAATAAAATTCATGTCAAATATTTTATCTCAAAAAATTAAATAGCCAAGTTTATTACAGGCTTTTCAATATGCAGTTAAAAGGAATTACAGCTCTCTTTAGACTTCTTCTTGGGAAAAAGAAAAATCCTTTACGTGAAAGGGTAGATTCTTGTCAATATCAAACAGATCAATTGTTTGTTGGGACACTGTCATTTACCATTCTTTTATTCTTAATGCCAACAACATGGATATATTATACTGTATTTACACTAGTAAGATGTTTGTTTTATTCTTAACTTTTTTAGCATACTCTTTCAAAGCAATTACAATATTATTTATACTCTTTATAGCTCAGGCTAATATCGATCGGGTTTGGTGGTTTTTTGACTAGATTGAAATTTTATCTACAAATTATGCCTGTTTATACTTTCTGGAAGTGGTTGTTGCAATCTTATAGTACCTGTAGTAAGTACCATAGTGGTAATAATAACATATGTTGCATCATGGGAAGAGAATAATAATTCTTTGCCATCTGTCACACGATTAGAATATTATTAACCATAATTCCTCCCATAGGCACTGTTGATATCAGATTGCATTCTCACTGCACAGAGGGATTTACAATATTATCAATGACTATGGTTGTTGCACCTTGGAGATGTACATGGAGGAAATGTATCGCAGATACAATTATTCGCCATCCATCCATTGAATGGTGCACAATATTAAATAATATTATATGGGGTCAGTTGTTATAGAATTATGTTATATGAAAAATAAATTAATTTTCAATTTGTATATATATATATATATATATATATATATATATAATTAAAAATTAATTAACATTTTTTATATGTACATTATAAACACATACATATGCATATACATGTAATGTATATATAAAAAATATATTTTTAACATGTTTTTTTCTAATATTTTGTACAGAAAATATATATAATATTGAAATTATTAAATAATAAAATAATTAGCATTTACTGTATCTATTATAACATCTATTATATCTGTTATAGAAAAAAAGATATTAAATTATGAAGAACAAATAATTATTTTATTACATAACAAGGACAATAATATTACATAAAATAAGCTAAGGTGATATACTTAAAACTATCATGATTTAGCTTCTTTTTGTGTTGATTTTTCGACTTTTTTTAGTGTATCTTCCAAATTAGTGTAGAGTATCGAATCGATGTCATTTTCCTCTCTTAAGATACAGAAATATATTAGAAAAGCAGCCAAGCTGAACACTATGCTATATATTTGATACCATGGTTCTTCATATTCAGATGGTTGACGATATTCGTTTATTCTCATAGAGGCAGCTTTTGAAGAAGAGAATTTAATAGGTTCATCATTAACATCGTCATTATCAGTTTCTGTCGCTCCATGTTGATTTTTAGTAGATACAGTACTTTGTTTATTTCTAATATTAAATATTACTTGTGATAAATTGTTTCTGTAATAAAAATGAACATGATTATCAGACAGTTATATTATAAATTATTTAATATAGAGTTCAACTTATCTTGGAATTATATAGTTTGGTTGGAAATATATATTTCAATATTTATTTTTAATAAAAAAATAATATTAATAAGAATTTGTGAAATTTTTAAGACACTATAACCTTATCTTAGTAAATATATATATATATACACGAAATATAGGATATAGTAAAACTAAAATACTTTTTTTCACTTTTAATTACCTTTTAAATAATATATTTTTATCTCGCGATAAGAGAGAAAAACCATTTCTAATATTGCCTAACATTTTTGCATCATTACAATATCACACACATAGGCAAACGGAATACATAAATAGATAAATAAGATTTATTTCGCGAGAAATGTCCAACACTGCTTTCGAGATTACGTTCTAAAATTTATTCCTCGGAATAAAGTAACTCTGGCTGGACCAATCAGGACAAAGCAATTTCTGTTTCTCTTATCCCGATTGGTCAGCCGTACGCTACTTCTGTTCCAAGGAGTAAATTTTCGAACGTAACCCAAAAATGCCTTAAGTATACACGTTATTGTGGATAAGCCCTTAGGTCGCGCATGTGTCACGACGTTGACGCTGCGATTGGTCAGTGGGAGGCGCATGCGCGAGAACGTCCAACGCTAACGCACTGCCACAGGCACGCTCAATAAACGGCGCTAGTGTTTGTCAAGTGTCATAGCCGTTCCCATCGGCCCGACAGTGTTGCAAGACTTAAATCGGTGATTTAATTAGGAATAACGTACCTCTTTTTTTTAGTAAAATTGTGAAACTTTAAGCAATAATGACCGACAAAAAAGGTAACTATATGTCATAATCATGCGTTATTGTTCATTGCGTGTGTAATGTGTATTGAGGCAGTGTGAGGGAAATATACAGACACACATACGCATATCATCGCGCGTTCACGTACACGTATACACGCGTATGCGCGCACACACCACATACATACACACACACACACGCACACGACATAATACGAATACAAGTACTCGTCGAGATAAGCCGTATACCTCGCCACTTGTTATTCGATGGGACGCCGACGTCGACGCGACTCCTGGTGCAAACGGCCCACAGCGCGACCGTGGTGTCGCTTGACCCTAGTGCGTTGAAGCCCAGGCGCCGGCATGGATCGCTCGAGTGCCTAGCCCGAGTTGACAGAACAAATCAATACCGTACATCGCGCTGGGCATACAAAATGGCCTCCGGAGACTTGTTCATTCTCTTTCTTCCAAGAGAGAAAGAGAGAGAGAGTGAGAGAGAGAGAAAGAATATTTTTTTGTAGTTATACAAGGATCTTTTCTGCTTTCTTTCCAAAATCTTATCTCTAACCAGATTTCTCCATCAGAAATTATCTCTAACTAGAATCCTCAAATTCCTCCTATTCTCGAGATTTCGTCATCTTCGCGAATCCTTCATTTTCTTTTGTATTCGCGAAACTTGGAAATTTACATTCATAAGCTTAAATTTCCAACTTTTTTTTCTATTGTTCTTGCTGTGTATCTAAATTTTTAGATTGCCAATTGTTGGACACTTTGAAATTTTTGAAATGCGAATTCCTTGTAATCTTTAATTTTTTTAAATAATTGAACTATTTTTTAAATTCCTAATTGAATTATTAACTTGACTTTCTTTACTAATTTACTTTTTATTTTTGAATTCGCAGATTCCCAGCTCTTTGAATTATAAGTTTTTATTTTTAGATATTTAAAACTTTTATCTAAAAATATTTCAAGCAAAAAGTTATTCTCCAGGGATATGTAAAGTATTGATTTTAGTTTGCCCTTGAGGTAAAATTTGAAAAATCAATCTATTTTAAATGCAAGAAATCTGTCAAATTTTATTAACATACAAAATTTTTATCAAGCAATTTGATAATCAAATTTTTCTATGTAATAATAATAAGAAAAAATACAATAAGATAAAATTGGATTATTAAGATGCTTCATATATATATATTTATATATATATATATATATTATTTATATATATATATATATATATATATATATATATATATATTATTTATATATATATATATATATATTATTTTATATATATATATATATATTATTTTATATATATATATATATATATATATATATAACTTTATATATTGTATATTAATAAAATTGACAGGTTTTTTCTACTCAAAAAGATTTGATTTTTCAACCATTTATTCCCAAATAAAATAGTCAAATAATTTCAGCAACTTCCTTCAATTGTCACTCTCTGTACATATATATCTACTCTATGCATATATATTTACATAAATACATGTGTAAAGTGTGTCGGAAATGGTGCTATATACAAATGAAATGGAGATGATTTTTCATGTAAATGCAAATGAAAAATGTAGGATAAAACTTTTTCACACAAGGTTTTATTGTCGATAAAATCGGCTTTGACTTTCAAATAGAGATATACATGTGTTGACTAATAATCAGAATCAGCTGAATGAATCTCGCAATTATTTCTGTTCTGATTTGTAAACGATGTCATGATGTAAATAATGTTACATTCTGTCTCCTATCATTTCTACTATTTTTTACTTGAGGAAATAAGGAACACATTAAGAAAACTATCAATGATTAAAATTATATAAAATTACAATTACAAGATAGTAATATATAAATTCGAAGAAGTGAAAATTCTAAACATATGGTTACCTATTATAGTTCACATTTCTTTAATTCGTCGAGCAACATTTTGTGTAAAAAGAAGGGCGATATTTTTATCAATTTCTAATTTAACGAAATAAATGCACCATTGAATTTATTGCATTTTTTTAATTTGTACCAAGTTATATTCTTTATAAACAAAATCAGAAATAGATATATATGTAACAAGATTCATTGAATTTCGAATTTATCAGAATTTCAAAATCGAAAACAGTTTTGTATGAAAAAATTTCATTTTACATTTTTAACTCGCGTTTGCATTTGAAATAATTTTCATTTTGCTTGTATCACGATACACATTGTATACATATATATTCGGTAATAAAAATATGTGATTTAATAATACACAGACACACACACATATACGCATACATGCGTACGAGTAGACACACGTATATGCTTGTATCTATGTATGCAGATGTGTGTATATCAAATGTATAATACTATTATATGTATGCATATATATACATGTACAGAATGTCCTCTTATCATAATCATCCTAAATATCTTCGTTATTAAAATGATATAAACATTTGTCTAAAAAAATAATTTGTTCTTCCAGAAGGTACATGATTAGTGAGAAGTCTTTTTTAAGATTACAGTTTTCTACGATTTCAAGATGATTAAAAAACTATTTTAAATAATTTATCGATTCGATATTATAATTGATGATCCTTAAAGGATTATTAAATATGAGAAATATTTGTTTTAATCAATTTTAATATATTATGGGAAAGGTAATGTTTAAGAGTACTTATGATATTTTATATAAAAAAGCTGAGAGTCGGAAATCGTAGTACAAGTAAAATATAAATATAATTTTTTAAGAGTAAATCTAAAGGTGTATATATAAAATAAATTTTTTTATACAAGGATTTTGTTTCGAAAAAATTGTTAAATATGAAAGTGCACGTGGCTTTTGTAATGAATGATGTAACAAAATTAAAAGTAGTTTTGATATTTTATACTCTATTATATACCATACTGTAAGCACACATACATATATATCTTTTTCTTCTTAGTAATTTAAAGTATTTTAAATCATTTTACTAAATGGAAAATATAATACTTTTATCTTTATATCAACAGCTGATAAATCGAGATGAATTAGGCAATATATAACATAAGATTATTATAAATCATACTCAAAATAAAACAAATATGTTATTAATTTTCCAATTTTTAACATTATTTTTTCAAAAACACAAAACTGTATGAATTTAAAGAGAAATTTTTTTTCTCATTTTTACATAAGAAATCACTTCTATTTTAGTTGTGCTACGGTCTCCGATTAATCTTGTGTGCGTGTGTATGTGCGTATGTTATATAATCATGAAATCATACATTGTCAAGTGTTAAATTGTATACTTTTTTTTCGCAAATAACACATCTATGAAAACACATCGTGAAACTATGATAAACTCGGTGATTCTCAAACATTTTACGAATACAAACTCATTCTCATTTTTTTTAGTTTTCATTAGAGTGATATTTGTGATACATTATTGAGCTCCGGAGGTCATCTCTTGGTATTACTCGGTGGTATTTTTGCAGATTCAGCGGCTGGTTGCAAAAGTAAGAATGTACAAACAACAAAAAGAGAGAAAGAGAAAGAGAGAGAGAGAGAGAAAGTGTGTATGATTAAAAGACTCGTAGGATTTAAGACTCAAAGTTTCCTAAATAGTTTGGTTCGATAATAAAATCGAACAGACACTGAATCCGTAGCGATCGAGTCCACTTGTAAGCATTATCGTTCATCTGCTCAAGCCATTCCAGGATCCTTATCTCGGATCCTCCTGTTTTGTTCCTCCTGCATGACGGAACGGGGTCTCTGAAACAGCTCCCTGGAATAGTTTTGGCAGAAATCACTTTCACATAAGTAAAAAGTACACGGTAACTTCGACGGTGCGACATTTCATTATCAGGTCTGGTCTGTCTGTCTGTCCCTAAGCAGGTGCTGCGCTCCTATAGAGCACAGTAGATACATATTAAGGATACATAAAGCTTAATCTAAGTAAGCGGAGAGCTGAGATGGCCCTCCTTATCATAATAATATTATTAGTAATATGTGAAGACACGGCGGCGGGCGTGCAGACTGCTGCTGCGAGTCTGCTACCATTTATATGTGTATGGCGGTGTAGCGGTTGAGCGCGGAAGGATAGCGCCTACAGTTTGGCTGTCAATATGTTTGCAGCGGACCATTACAAAGACGATTTGATCCCAGTCAGTAGGTGGAGCTCCGGAGATCGGCGCAGCCTAAGCCACGTATCTAACCTCACCTTACTCTATATATTACCTTAACTCACTACGTGTTTATATACCAACATATATTACGTACACACACACAACACACACGCATACATATATGTGTATATATAATATATATATGTATGTATATATTTTTATATATATACGCATATGTATGTATATATTACCTGTTATATATACGTTGAGGCTGATGCAGAGGAATCGATTGCTTCTGTCAACGCATCCTTTTGCAATAAGGATGGCAGTCGAGATAAGATGTCGCGAAAAATTTTCGAAAACACGATATCTCGTGTCTCGAGCGATATCATTTTTTATTATATATAATTATATTAATAATATATTTTTTTATTATATAAGTTTTTATTATATTACAATTTAAGTTATATAATATAATTTTATAGGGTAAATGCTATAGCATTTTATCCTTTGGATTTTTTAACAATAATTTGAAAGTACAATATAATAATTTTTTTATTTTCAAATGCAGATGATACTATAAAGATAGAAATTTATACATTGTGTAACAGACACATGCATATGCAATTAATACTAGTTAGATGTAACATTGCAGGAGCTATTGTTCTACAATTAATATAATGCAATTCCTGAATCCATTGTTCCAGAATTATTGTAAAACGTATTATAATCTTAGAATTGCAGATTCATATATTGTAATTTTAAAAACAAGCATTCACGAATGAAATTATCCGAGTTAAAGTTTTTTCTTGTAGAAAAATTTAATATTTTTTAAATTATAACAAATCACAATTTCTAATATTACATATATCTATAGAAAAAAAACTAATGTGTTAATTATATTATATGATATATAAATTTTTCTATACGATTCGTTAGATTATTTAAAATTGAATAATTAAACCTTAAAAAGGGAGAATATAAATAATTTTGAAGTAAATTTGATTCACTTGAAATTTTATTATATGTAGAAACTTTCTTTATATAACGGACATTAATTTATTTTATATTTAAATTTTCTTTATCGACAAATTTTTGTTTTGTGAAAGAATTTTTAGCTTATCAATAAATAATTCCTCCAAAGATATTTTTCTGAAAGAAGCGATCGCTAATTTTCTGCTAGCCTCAACGTGCATAAAGGTATAGAATGCACCAGGCGTCTCTCGATTCAAAATAGAAAACGCCCCACGTTTAAATTGCGAATAAAATGTGACTTTCAGCGCAGCTACATGTGACATTTTAAAACCTGTCGCTTAAGAGACATACGAAAATTTCTCACTTTCAAGTTCTTCAGACTTTAACGATCAAAATGCAACATGATCGTAATC